AAGATTGTTTAATAATCGAGTTTAAGTGTTGAAACAATCACTACTACAGTCCGCCATCACGTCATCCTTTCCCAATGACGTACACATTCACTGTCAATTCCACTTTCCTACTGCTATTTGTCTCTAAGAGCCAATAATAAACCATCCCCAACCACCTCCATTTCTAATTCATTTTCATTTACCAACTGTCCATCGCATTTCGCCATGTGATCATCCAATGCCATGAAAAGACGACAATCACTCGCACAAATACCATCAGCGGAATTCGGCAGAGGAGGCGCAGTGAGGTGTGACGAGGCAGTGTCCATCCATCTCCCTTCCTTAAGCATGTTCAATGTGATGTGTCCTCTCACGGGTTACTTTCCCAATAGCATGAGGCCATGTGCTGTCACCTGCCACTTCGACTTCTCCCACACCCCTTCACTTCTTCCAACTGCTTTCTATGAAAAACTTCCTGTGCACCGTCAAGGTGTTACGTACCGGCCAAATACATCTCAGCCATAATTTTGTCATGCTCACCGAGTCAGCAATTCCTTGTGAGCAATTTTGTCTGCAGTTCGCCACACACACGCACCACACATACTTAGTCCCAGGAGAAAGTGGTTCATGTCTTAGAAGCACAAAGTAAGGAGCAATTAAAACGATCGTTTGAGGGCCACCACTATATCACTGACTCGACCACTCAACGAATCTTCGCCTGCAATAGTCGCTTCCCATCACAAGTCAAGCAGTCAGTCAGTCAACCAGTCGATCAGCAAATCAACCTTCCCCACCCACGCCTTTCTGTAATATCAGGTGACAACGTGAAGAAGAACAGAACAGCCTTTGAAGTCTACTGTCTCGCATCTGTTGGCGCATGTGAGTGCCACCCAATTTCTTAGCTTCCGCTACCCTCCCTTCCCATTGGATGCACGTGTAGGTCGATTGTTTCTTCACACACCCTATGCATTGCTGAAAGTTCCTCCCCACACCTTCATCTCCATCAATCTCCACAACGACAACACATAGTGCTCCATGATCAACGAGCTCAGGGGGTCCTTCCGCACTTAACGCATCTGCATTTGAGGGTCCCATCATTACAGCGTCTTCTGACAATGCACTACACTACCGCATACCGCACCGTCTCCAAGTGCCCCAAAACCGAGTTTACGAGAGCTATCTGCAGTCTCGCGAACGAGTTCAGCTCGGTTTGTGAAGCAGTTAAACTCGAATCCCATCCATCGGGTACACGCGACATTATACTCTACGGCGTTCAGGGCAGCGAGGAAATCGTAGAGCACACAACCAAGAGTACTGTGCCGATTGACTGGCGCAACATGCAAGTATGCCCTATGATGCATGCTTCCGAACGATCGTGTACATTTAACCCGTCTTTTCACGCTCAAAGAAGTATTGTAGCTAGCTATTGAGGAAATCACACAAACCGCTTTGATCCACCGGTATGTTCAAGCATAGGAAGAGTCCACAAAAGATGTCCTTGATACATCCATTTCCACTGCCGCATTTTCTAAGTCCCCTCTCATTTTCGTATCCAAAACCCATGCAGGTTGCAGTATTCTGTTCATATTGTCGTAGTTTTTAATGCGATTTGTGGTTAATTCGCGAATAAAGAATAAGCATTAATTGAAATCCAGAATTAAGGATTCACATTTTAAATCTAAGCTGTTAAAGGTTAAAAGTATCAATTATACAAGCCCTATAAATTCACAACAGAATGCAGGAAGCATGATTTTTGAACCTATTTTGTTTGACCTTAGTAATGGTTATATTATCTGTAATACAGACAGCCCATATACATGCGCATATATACGGGTTTTGAAGCCATTGGATTCATGTAGAAAGAATAATGAAGGCGAAAAAAAAACTGAAATTCTAGAAAATCGTTTCGGTTTAGATTTAACGATGCTTTACTTTCGGAAATCTGCGTCATACAGATATGCATGATGAAGCAATTCAAGTGTTGGATGGAAAATTGAGCAGTTAACAGCAGTTATTTGATCCATTTATGGCTAGCTGCTGAAAACTACTTCAACTGGATAACTGAAGACGTGCCAGTGCATATATAATATTATTACATAATGACAAAACCACTTCCAATCATCTGGCCAGTCGGCGAGTACTTACTATTAATACAAACTCGAAAAAACAACGAAGTTATGCAAATTTAGCTGCAAAACGCAAAACACTCAAAGAAATATTGACTCAAGTAATCCAAGCGAGTACTGAATTGTTTTTTGCTATTAGCGTGTAAAAAGAGCCCTGAAGAGGCTCAATCGAGTAAGTGTAATAATGCTATTAATATCTTTAGAAGCGCGCTAACTTTGCCAAATTAAAACCATGTAGATCCCACTTTAGGCCAAAATTATCACTTTCTCTTAAGCACAAAAGCATCCCCAAAATAACGACAAAGCACCACTTACCTTCGGTGGTGCAATTTTCGAAAGCACTCGAATAATCGTGCTGCGTTCATCTTCCGCTATTCCGATGGTCGCAGTACCAGCGGCGGCAGCAGCGGTTGTTGGGGTGACGAAGGGTAAGGTATGCGGTACACCGAGTAGTGGTGCTCCAGTGGGCACCGCCCCCGTAGTGGGATGTAGAGGACTCGGCAACCCATGGGTAATCGGCGGAGGGGGTAACTGGAAGGAGAGGTACGGTGCGCCTGCCACCACAGCAGTCGGATTGCCCGATGAAAATAGATAAGGCGGAGGGGGTTGTACGGGGGAGTGGTGTGGCGGTGGGGGAGGCATGAAACAAGAGGGCGGTGGTGGTGGGGGTGGACCGAAGTGAGTGTGCGGGGGTGCAGGAAAGAACGGGGAGGGATGTGGGGTCGCGGTATTACAGAAAGGCGGGGCTGAGTAGTAGGGATGTTGGGTGGTGTTTGGAAGGAAGGTAGTAGCTGTTTCTGTGACGTCCAGCGTGGTTGTGACGATGGCATTGGTATTGGGTGCTGCAGTGGAAGATAGCGTATTAGTGCCGCTGTTTTGCTGCTGGTCCTTTTTGGGAGTTTTCTTATCGTCAGAGTTGCTTTCAAAATTCCCCTTTGGTTTCGATACTTCACCTGAAGAGTATCAAAAAAGGATAATTCCTAAATAAGCATTATTTGGGAAGGTAACACGATAAATCCTTCTAAAGGCTTATGAAACTAACTCAAGTGTGACTGATGGTGGATTAAGCCCACTTTTTTTCTTGACAAAATAATCGAATTAAAAACCAAAAAGACGTTTGTCTGAAAGAAACTAATGCTTTGCATTAATTTGGATATTACGAAACCGGCAGCTACTGACACTTATGCTGCAGCTGCCAAACTCTAGTTTGTTTTTTCCTATCTAGCACTTTACATATTTCTTCTAACAACTGTTTAAAATCCCTTTAAAACATCACCCATTCTTTTAATTTGCCCTGTTTTTGTCTAACTCATTTATGGTCAAAATAACTCCAAATGCTTAGAATCGGAAAATTTCTAGGATTTTAAAAGTGATGAAGCAAACATGATGTTGTCCCCTACAGGAGATGACCTCTAGAGTCCTTCATCAATGACCTTGTGGTTTATGCATACTTGAATATGAGACATACAGAAAGGTTTCTTTCAAGTCCTTCTAGCAAATTTGTGTTAAAAAAGAGAAGTCACTTAAAATGCTAAGTGCACCTGATCTGCGACTCAAGTTAGCAAAACTACTTTGTGTGTCAGCACTATAAGCAGAATAACAAATCATTTTCAGAGCGTCTTTGCAACGTTTGCTTTATAACTGTAACATTCGTTTATGTCCAAGACTGTTTTGTTATGCTTTATTTTAGCTGCCATTCACGCGCAACGTCTCTAAAGGTTGAAGTAAGATCACCTCTGGGTTAAATAATAGACTTATTTGGGAAGTACGCATGACCAAAAATAGATTATATCTATTTGAGGTAACACTTTAGCCAACTCCTACGGCCTTTCTATCCGCTAACTTTGCCATTGGCTTGCGCCGAAGCACCGGATGGGTCAAAGACTACTTAGCGTGGGCGTTGCCACCTTTCAATTCGTGCATCTAAGGTCGACCTTTCAAATGCAGCCAATGGGAATAGAAGGCTGTAATTTGAGTTAATTATAGCCAACCAATGGGATGAGAAGTAGAACTGATGAAATTTGGTCAGAAATCTGGAGGGAAAATGGGAGCACATGTTCCCAATATGTAAAGGCTAAGTATTGTAGCGCTATTGCACTTTATCCACTTAGTACCACTTCTGTTTTTGCGCAGTAGAAACAAACCAAAAGTTAGCATGTTGTCGTGGTACTTAGTTGACAAATCAATTAGGCTTTTCCTGTGGGGGGTGTTTATAATTGATACCCATATTTTTCGCAACCTTCAACCTTCATGCACAAGCTACTTGTAAGTAAATGACATTTCACGATTTAAAAATCCGATCAGTTCGATGTAACAAGACATAGTTGCATCGAATGCTGTTGGCCTGCCTTCGATTGTAGAGGCATAAAAACAGATCAACATAAAATAAAATAGAAGCTCCAACAATCTAAGTACTGCTGATAAAGCATGCCAGGTCGGGATTCAGTAATACTAACAAAAAATCAGGCATTTCAATCGGGCAGACTGACAAATGTGTCAGGAAATTGCTAGGACGTCTAGGTTACGCATTGAAGTAAAGTATTAGCAACATAAGGAGTAAGTGTTTGATGTGTAGATCACTGAAGGTGCAACATAGTTACATATTCCGATTCTCCGCAGTTTTTTTTATTAAATAAAAGATGTTTTAATAATAACTAATAACATTTTGGTGTTTTCCCTATTCCTGGTACCATTGAGAACATTCCTTGTAGACAGGAATACACAACAAAGTAGATAGTTTTTGTAATTACAAATGCGTGAACCCTTTAATGCAATCTAAACTTGGCGTCACATTTCGGAAAATAGTACTAAACCCAGCATAATACAGAATGGTTGTTTCTCAGTACGTAGTAGGCAATAATTTCCGGGAAAGGATTTAAGCAATGACAAAAGAAATTCACTCTGAAAGCGGAATTAAGCTTAGCGCGAAATATTTTTCAAAAATGTTATGGGAGAGAGAGAAAGTTAGGTAAGTAGTGAGACGCATCTGTTGGTTTTAGCATTAAGATTACTTCATGCGAAAACGTAGCAATTAATAGCGCAGCCACTTTTTGTTATAATTTTGTTGATGATGGAACCTTTTATTGGACGAAAAAGGTAGCTGGTGAAGGTCCATAAAATACTCTTTTATCCGACCGCTTTTGTAAGTTTTCTCTTTTTCTCCCTGAGTAATGATTTGCGTGAGTCACGCTAAAGTAGTGACCCGAATGAGAAGGGTAAGAGCAGGGCTGTAAGGTCAAAAAGGACCATATGCCTAAACTAATCGCACATTGAAATAGTAAATATCATCAGCATGGTTCTCGGCAGGTAGCGTAATGATTCTCCTCTCTTACATCTTCCTCCATTCCTTCTGGCTCTGCCTCCCTGCCTTCCCCTATCTGAATATGAGGCGCCGCTTTTTTTCCAAAACTTTGATACAAATTCCTGTGAGGATTGACAAGGCACATCTGCAGCCACCTTCCCATATCAATAATCAGCTAAAGAAAGCCGTTTAATTGTTTAGAGATCTATTACGCGCCTTTTGCAACATGCATAATGCTCTTCTATTACTGAAGTTGGGACAATAATAAAATTTGTAAAGCAAACGAAGCTATACGAATACTGTTATAACAGAGAGGCAGATTGATACTAGAACGATTTATCACGCCCTTGTATTAAAACATTCTCGCCTCCAAATTCAAAATATCAGCCCCCCAGAGTGGAAGGGGATGTCTAAAGATTATCGAAAGAGGATCTATTAGCTGTCGGCTATCAGTGTGTAGGCAGAACTCTGGCAAAAAGCTCCAGTAGACACATATACACCTAGAGTGGACCAAAAAAACAAAAACGTAAATGTTGCGATAACTCGTGGAACTATTAACACCAAATGCCCCCCTTCACCAATCATACCTAGAATAAACACCTGTCTCCTACAAGAGGCCTGGTTCCTTCATCAAAAAAGGCCACCAGACAAACTAATCACACACATACACGCACCATTCTTGGAGGCCTTCTTGCGGTTCTCTGAAACACCCTGTTTGCCAGCGGCGGTGGCAGGGGTGACGGTAGTGGATTTCGTGGGAGTGGTGGAAATGGTGGAAGAGGACATATGCTTTGGTTTCTCTCCAATTCTGTCGAATTTGCCAGTAGTCACAGTGGTGGTGGTAGTGGCAGCAGGGGTTTCTACGTGGCCACCCAGGGCGGCTAACTTGCGCGCAGTCCACACATTGTCCGGTTGATTGGCTACCTTGACGGGTGAGGAGACGGCTGGGGATGAAGAAGGATTGAGAGGCTTTCCATTCACCCGTCCGAGGGAGGCCTTTAGTTCACAGGCCTCTGCAGGCGTCAGATCACCGTTTATTGCTGATAATAGACGCCCTGAAAGACATCAGAACTAAGTGAACTGACTCTAATAGTGTTAAAAAACTGGCGGTTTTATATACTTGTTTGTAGACAAATCGCCTTTCTACCAAACACTGAACACGCTTTACGAGTAGTATGATTGACTAGTTTGAGCTATTAGATGAACTAATATTTCTTCCTCACGAGATGTTTGTTTTGGACCTTAACGAAGGCTGCAACCTTTATTAATGATAAAGTCGGTAAACTCGACGACTTCATAATTGGTGAATTAACTATAATAGATATTTTATTTTCAGAACTCCCATACGATGAAGATCCATAAGTTGCAGAAATCGCTCCTCATCCTATATCTTTTAGTAAAGTATCAAACTTCATATCGATGAAAATAAAAGATTGTACTTTGGTTTTAAATTCGATAGGGATGATCGCAAAGGATGAAGCAGAAATGAAAGTATATTGAGAGGGGAAAACTGGTAAACGTGTAGATAAAAGATGAACTGCAGTTGCCTCTCCGTAAAATCAGAAAACAAGATAGCTTTCGAATCGACTCTAGCTAGACAAGGAAAATCTCCAGTAGCTTTGAAGGTGGAGGAAGATATGCAGGGGTTTTTGCAGTGGTAATGATCATGTGTAATATTTTAATTGTTTTTTTTTAACTCTCGGTTTTAGTGATGAGCTACTTAGAGCTCCACCATCGTGTCCTTGTCGGGCGGCCTAGCTTCCGGGTCATGACAGTTCCCCCCGAGCCCTTCTGTATGTCGGCAATTCATTTTCTGCCCTAGTATTATGTCTTCTTTCGTCTTGTGGGAGGCCTTGGGATGCTATACATGCATCATCTCATTTCAAAAAGACAGGAAGAGTGTCTTGGGTATAACAGGACAAGAAAAGGTCGGTAGGTGGATAAAGGGCAACCCATTTCTAATTGAAAATGCAGAAATCTTGCAATAATTGATTCATCAAAGCAATTACCTCAATCAAATCCATAAATGTGTCACATAATTAAAATGCAACAAAAATACCTCCTTTATGTGTGTTGAGTGCTAAATTTCAAATTTTTAGTGTTCAGAACTGTTTAGCACGAACGTCGCCCCAACTTTACATAAAAGTAGCCTAGGGCATTAACACCCAATTTGAAAGAAAATGGATTAAAAACCTACTGACAACTTGTTTATAAACGCACCTGTGATAGAATGTAACTGGTGCACCAGACTCACAAATTGATCTTGCTAAATTACGGTTCCATTAGTCCAACTTGGTGGACTAGGCGAAGTGTTACAAAATTATTGCATCATAAGAACTTGTGGAGCCTTGAGGTAATTATGTTATTGTACGAATGACACATGTGTTTTTCATCCCAGCTGCCGCGTTTTGTGGTGAATGCGAAGAGATGTATGAGCATTAAAAGAATGGTTATTAACTGCATTCATTTTGTGACTCAAAAACATCGAAAATATGGGAAAATTGAAGAATTCAGTTGAATGGACTTTTACTTTTTATCGATCCAGTATGTGGGTTTAAAGGCACAGTGTATTTGAATGTTATCACATTAAAATTTCAAACAGTAACTTTGTAAATATGTAGAGAACTCAATGTTGACACTGCCTCCTTTGCTAAACTGGCTCAAAAGTCTACAAAATTATAATGTGTTAGGACATTGATTTCGTGAGGTCAATCGCTTCAGAACGCGAGATCTTGACTTCAGCAATTAAATTACCCAATGGGAGGGAACATTTTATTCCCATACTTATAAACGAGAATAAACGATCCTAATTGTTCGATATGTGTAGCTTGTACAAAATGAAAGCAAGAATAGATGGACAGATAAAAAGTACTATGCTGTCAATTTATTTATTCGACAAGAAAGCAGACCATGAGCCAGGCTGCGTTAATCACTTAGCAACAAGGATCTGGTCTTGGGACGTCTATGCTATTCAGTCGTATGGAGAGGGCCCTTGTACTAGCAGTTTTGGGAAAAATTTCCACAAAACTCTAAAAACGCACAAAATAAAGTTACTAACGTGTTTAACCACTCTGCTTTTGATGGCGGGAACAGATAAAAGTGAAGCATTTTTAGTAAAGATGACAACCCGACAGGACTATTGGTAGTGCAGTCATTCACAACCAAATAATCACAAAAGGACAAATCGACCTAGCCCCCTTTTAATTCTCAACGATGGAAATGTCAAACAACAATTAGCACCTTTGTTGCACGCAAAAAACGTGTACAAGTTGCCAATTACTGGATCAGCGTTTAAGAGCTAAAAATGTCGTGCTTATAGCATATCATCAATCCAATTTAAATCTTGTTCTTTTAAGAAAACGTTCGTTATCAATTAGACGAAAAAGAAAGAGTATACCTTTTTCCACTTACTTGGAGAAGAATCATACAGTCAAACACGAGAATCAACCATTACAGTCCCATAATCTGCAGGCAAGAGCAAAGCTGCCAGCTAAATTTGAGCAGCGATTCAGATATGTCTAATCACGTCCTAACGTTCATCTTAGAAATAATAGTGACTGTGTTTAGGAATAATAACCAAATTTCCGGTGGCAACGAGGCCGCAAACAATGTAGAAAGTTCCCAGTTATCATTTACAAGCCCTTTGTTTGAACCAAATGGCAATCAGCCTCAGCAGTTAGCTGTAGATGCATTTGGGATCTTAAATGATTTTAAACGAAGTAATGCACGCATCACATCTTGTTAAATTTCAAAGAAAACCATTCTAACATGCGGTAATGAAGAAACTACGGTAAGAACAGCCCCTGCAGCGTACACTCAGAGACAATGATGATTAAATATTTACATAAATACGACTAGTCATTACCGCATGGTATGGCCATATCATTACCAAAAATGTCCTTGTTCAACCAGACTTTATTGGTCATTTTCCTTTATCGCAAATCCACTATTTATTGAGCTACACTTATTTCCATCCATGAGAAAGCTTAGAAGAGGAAGCGGCAGCGGCGGTGGTGACAGCGACGGCCTCCCAAATCAGAACCGCTTAATTATTACGCCCCCCCCCCCCCCCCCGAAAAACCGCCCTATTAGTATCCCTGAATGCAACCAAAATTTTAAGTTCCTTAAAGCGTTTGTTAAACTAAACGCTCATTTCCAGTAGAGCCCTGTGAAGACGACGACGGCTTTACATCAGGTTAAACAACGTACCTCCATTTGTTGGTCGGACAACATTCACAGGCCTTGCAGTGCGTTGCGAGAGGCTAGTGTCCACCGAGGCAGTACCGTTGGACTCACCAGATGCTGATTCCACAACAGCTTTGCCATCAGTTTCATCAAATGTAAGCGACGAGTAGTCCTACAATGGCATGGCAGTACATTAGACTCAGATCAGGTGTGACTTGTGTTTTGTCTTACACCTAAGTCACGACTGTAAAGATCTACTTCAATCCAATTGGCTTCATAAGCACCCTAAATGGGGTCACCATATGGGAGTTAACAAGTAAACATATTTTTAACCTCAAAACCTGTTTCCGATCGCCAAATTGTAGGTTTAAAGTACTTTAATCGGACATCACTTTATGTCTGTTTTCATCTAAAACATGGCGAACCTGGGCTGCGATTAATGGCATGTATTTTCGCTGCAGTATAAGAATTTTCTAGTGGGCGAATTTTGGCAAAATTATTTGCTAAATTCAACCTCACCATCTCCTTTTAACCTTTGGGATGTGCAAGGAAAGACTGTAGCGTAATTATAACTTTTCAAAGACAATGGTTTACTAGCCACGGCTATCAATTTAGTAAAAGCATCCATCCGAATACGCATTTTGTCTACTCAGTGCATGCAATCAGGCACCTAGGCGACCAATTTGTGACCTTATCAACGAGTTAAACAGAAAGAAAAAATGAATACAAACAGTAGAGCTCAGCACGCGGTGATGAACCTTGAAGAAACGCTTTGATGTATGTGATATCACTATGGTTAATAATCCTTTCTTTCTAAATAATTCGGGATTAATGTACTTCCTTCAGATAGATGTGGGCACGTGCCCTTTCGTTGGTGGGAGATGTCCGTCGGTCGCTACTGGCAAAAGAATTTCGTTCAGAGGTATGGGGGGTGTGGAGCTGCGGAAGAAAATTATACCATAGCTTAGCGATTACTACAATGATCAAAGTTGGAAGTGAAGGAAAAAGCTAGAATATCCACACATTCCTCACAGATAGTTGAAATCTACCATCCTGTGCTTTACGCAAGTCCAATAATACTTGTAAAATTGAAAGTGGACATGACACATCCACTGCCCAGTCAACTACCTATTGTGTGGACTAATCGGACATGTTCAAGCGAAAGAAATTCCGCTCGGCACCGACTCAGAACTGTAACTCCATTAGTGAAATCAGCTGGTTTAAGGACCACACATATTAATGCCACAAACAACACTAACCCGTATGCTATACACAGTCTCAGTAGCGAACATTCATGCATGCAATAGAAATGTATGGCCGCATTTTACATCGTGATTTCTCGTTACAGAATCCTCCCAAGCGCCTGTCATTTCGAAAGAATGAGGAGCATAAATATGGGGAGCTATCCCAACCTTGATAAGCATGATTAGTCTCAATTTAATGCGGGCAACCCACAGTGTAGTGATAGGTATGTAACCCATGATTGTTCTGAAAGTAGTGATTTTAAGATTGGTAAATGTCACAAATGCTACACAGGATGAAAAAAAGACAAAGGCAGCAGTTGTAAAATTATTGGAGGTATTTGAAAGAATGTTTAGTGCTTCTAGTGCAAAAAGAAAAACAGGAGAAGGGTTTTAAAAAAGAACTGTGCAATCGCCCCACACGATGCCCATCGGACGGAATCCATGCCGATCAGATAGGTACACCTTGCCCCGATTTTTAAGATAAAAAATCCGTAGGGGCAACTGCCTGAATTAGAAAAGTCTTAAGTATGAAAAGATAAAATTTAAAATTTCATTGAAATTTTGTTATTTGATTTAAGCGGCGCATTTATGAGTCATGGCCTCATGAATTTCATCTAATGCTAAAGAACGCTGTTGATGTTCGTTATGATTGGCTGAAAATTAAGAGTAAAATTAAGCACCAACGTTAGCGTTTTGTTAAGGAAAGCCGAGAAACTTAGATCAAGTAAATTTTGGGTACAGTGCATATGCAAGATCCAGTATATACTTCAAAATATTTAATGCAATAAGTATCATGGGCAACAAAAATAACAATACAGAAGTGCGTTTTTGCGTTCGGCTTTATTTAAGCTCCTAAATAGTCCCAGGTCATTCTAACCGCTTCATGGCTTATTCAAAGAGCTGTCAATAGACAAGCGAAGGTTATTGACAACAGAACCCTGCAAAAATGAAGAAGTGGAGCTCGAAACGTACGTCACGGAGAAGAGCAGAGATCTTGGGCTGACTAGGAGCCTTCTGTGCTTCCCTCAGATTCTCCTGCCCTCCCCTATTGCAGATGAGCCCCGTCTTGGGGATTTCCTCGGGAATGAGGGGCGGTACAGAGACTGTTGTCTCCACAGAGGAGACCTTTCGCGACTTCTTGGCCCTACTCTTGCTGCTCTCTCCCTCTGCGCCTATGTTTGTGGTCGCCTTTTTCTTGCCTGAAGTGGACTGTTTCTTTGACTGACCAAGGGTGGAGGAGGAAGCGGAGGCGGATGCCAACGGTGACTTATCTGGCGTCTTTAATATGATACGATAAGACAATAAAATCATAACCTTTTACAATTGGTCGAAGAGATTACGTTTTTAAACAATGTTATTACTAAAATTTGTTAAAATGTTGCTGTTAGAGGCGAAGCAAGTAATTAAATAACTTGTAATGAAGATTACGTAATCAAATGCGAATCCGTCGGCCGCAAATTTCAAAACCTCTAATAACTCTGCAAATATAGAAGCCGGGTATCATGGCATTCAGATCACTAGATTGGTAAATACGTAAATTACAGCCATCAATTCGAAACCGTTGTCCAAACTCAAGAGCTTCTTAAACGAGAAGCTGGAAAAGCTTTTCTTTTATGATCATACTGTTGATGGAAATGACAGAACCACAACAATAGCACGAAAAATTGTGGTTTTCCTCGTTTATCTTGATCTGGGTTATTGTTCACTCGGTTTGACGGTGTACTGCGCACTATCCTTCTGGAGTTAATCATTACAATTCAAAGGTAGTTTAGTATTTTTAAAGAGATTTTTGTATTCTTAAAAAAACTAAATTGATACTTAGGCAAACCTTAATGACCGTTACAAAACTGCTTAGCCAAGGGACACACCTCCTTCCCCCCAAAAAAGCGTTGCAGAAAAGAAACAGTTATCATCATGCCCCGAGGCCACAAGTCGAAACCGGCCGCAAATTTATGAGTAATTAGTCCATTGCCCAAGCTTCTATTGAGTTGACATAGAAACTTATATACGCATGCACGAGTGCACGCTTAACTGACCGGTCCGGCTTCTTCTTTCCTCCCTCTCCTTGCCTGTCTGTCCACTCATTTACTCATCCATCCAGCGATGCATGCATGCATGTATGCATGGAATGACAATTGAGCGCGCACGGAGGCGACAAACTTGGCTCTCGGATTATGCAATGCGCCACCACTGTAGCTACCGCCAAAATCGTACATGCATGTGCTAAGTCGACGGTATGTGGACGACAAACGCATCGGTGGGTAACACCCACGCGTACACATGACCCGTGCCATCTTGGAGTACGTAAATTAATGAAAGTAGGCAATACGATCAGTAGAAGCAATACCGATAAGCGAGCTCAGAATTTGCCCCTGCATACGTGAAGATCTTTTTTGGATGGCATGAGAAGTAGACTGGAAATGGGAAAGAAGCAGAAAGAAGGGGGAAGAGAAGAAATGATATTTTGAAGATCAAAGACTCCACTCTTCCCAAGGCACCCAACAATCACCAATCCCTTACACTGACGTGTTTAAAAATCCGTTTGTCTTACGGCTATTCTTAAGAGCGCCCGACAGGGAAACGCCGAGCAAAGATGAGGCGTCATCCACCAAGATAGAGCATTTCCATCACTGTTAGAAGGGTCAATGGGTAATTATAAGCCATCAGATACAGTTTGAAACGACAGGTGTTAACTACAGAGGATAGCAAGGAGAAATAAAAGTAGATTTGTTCATTTTTTGTTTATGCCATTACTGAGAAATAAATAAGCGCAGAGCCTTGTGAAAGCAGCCATGTGTCACATAATCGCTATTATCATTTGTAACAGTGAAACAACAAGAGAATGGTAATAGCATCTTGTAAGATAGATTTCATTTTAGTAGTTAGTCTCAGGGTTATTTATGTCACCGTCCAACTCAGGTATTTTTAAAACTTCAGTGTTTCTCGTTCACTGAATCAAATATTTGAGTTGCTTTTAGTACCAAATCATCAACTGGAACACCTATTTGCGTCAACGCAAGATTAAAGACAAATATGGCCAATAAATTATGCACAAAATAGTCATTTGTGTGTTTTAAGCCAAAAAAATGCCCAAAGCAAACGTTCACGCTTAAGTTGAAGAAGGAGCCCTGTCAGGTTGTTTACGTTTCAAAAGTACAAAAAAGGCGAATGGGATAACAGAAAAACAATTTAACAAATAAAGTAGTGAGGATAAAAACAGACGGACCACTTTTAAGCGAGTGTTCATTATGAGCTTTTAACACCGCAATTCAGCAACAAATGGCCCATTCAAAGCTATCGCATTATTAGAAGTAAAAAAACTTACGCATAACATTTTTAGTTCAGTATGCTCTATTTCAAGGCCATCATAATACACTACTTCAACTTTATTTGTCCCTTATCAGAATTGGTGATATTTAAGACCAACGTAAAGTATCTTTTTCTCGGAGAGGAGAGGAACTAGCTGAGAAAGAGACCGGAAGGTACAAATTACTTCCGTATTTTAGACTGTCCCAAGTTCCCACGCCGTTAAATACAGGATAAAGTGGTGACACAATTTCGGGAATTAACCTCGAGTGAAATGGAAGTAAATAGTGAAAGCAAGACAAAAAGATGGATCCCTTCAATGCAACAAATACTCAGTAAGCTTCTACAAATGTACCGATGAACAATCTGTATACTTGAAAGTGTCCTCTCAACGATTAGTAGGTCTCAGAAAGACAATATTTGATAAACTCATAAAAGCATTTGACACAAATAAGCACCACTTAAATCCGCCACAAAAATGTAAGGGAGAGGCCCTCAGTAATTACCTTTAACTGTGAGTTCAAAAGGAGGAAATAAAAGTACGGTATTAAGCCACTTTATTTTTTAATATTTAGTCTTCAGCCACAGATAACTTAAATATTTAAACCACCACCGAACGAAGGAGGTTATGATGTGCAAATGCTGAGAACTTGGAGGTTTCTCTTGGGTTGACTAAATGGTCAAACGTAAACAGTCTGTTTGCTACCTACAGTTGCAGACGTCAACGAAGACAGTCACTGAAACTTTGCAGAACATCATTTATAGTGGTCTACAGGACTACCTCTAATGCAAATTTCAGACAGTGTGGGTTAGTGGGTTACCCTCGAATCACTACAGCAATTTGCATTAATGATTGAGCAACTGAACTTTGTCTTTCACAAAACGCAGATGTGGCGCCTCGAATCGTCACGAGAAGATAGAGATGCCCTAGCTGAGGTGACAATTGAGAACAGGGCAGCACAGCCTTTTGGGACTGCAGCGCAATGCATGGAAGGTGATTCATCTACGGTGTTCGCCGAATGACCTCTATGGACGGGTACGTGCGGCCGTGTGAGCTTACCTTCGGTGAGTCATCTCGTGGTCAGAAGCGGTTGCACAACAGGGCATTCGATATTTGTAGCGTCCGATAACGGACTGACTTGGAGGTGTGGACAGGGCTCAATGCCACCCTCACAAATGACTTTTAAGAAGCTATGCTCAGTCGCCATAAAAATGAGATCTTGGTTGCACTGAGTTTACACATTCCATGATAAATAACAGCATACGCTTCGTGTATCAAATGATGACTTGCTCATTTCATGTCTGAAAAATCGTCAGAAATACACCAAATATTGGTCAATACAAACGAGAAAATTAGGAGAATACATTGGAGGAATGAAACAGTCTAAAAAGTTGGCTAAAGCAAAATATTGCCTTTGACGTAACAAAATAGCCCCGTTTTTTCCTAATTTGATAAAAGAATGTTTACGTGTAATTATTACTTACCGTGTAGCAAAGATGTAAACCAACATTTAAGTAATGAATATATCCTACACCATTGATAGCATTGAAAACCCGTGCGTACTTACCCTCAAAGTCATTTTCTGCTACTCACTAGGACCCTTAACTCGTCCACGAGGTAGAAGACCCAAGTTGAGGTACAGGTGCAGCTGATTGGCACATAACAACTTATCACCTTCACTGTCAACCATTCTCAGCTCAAGGCATCTTTTTTGGAGCAGCATGCAGTCCCCCTATCACACTCACAATTCTGCTTCGATTCATTTTCAGGCTGATTTTAAGACAAGACAAACAGACTGCTACATCAACTGCCTTTCCGTTTTCGTTTACAAATGTATTCCACGCCTGAGTGAGTTTTTCATGTTAGATCCAACAAAACATTGCCTTTGGGCACACTAGGTGACTCTCGATGTTTGAATAAATATTTGCTTAAAATCAGACATAAGGGCATGAATTATGTAAAGGCAACAGAAACAAAGGTGTGTACCTTAATTAAAAAAGAGTGAGCAGCAATTGTGGTGGAAAAAATTCATCCCTTTTGACGTGAGAAGGCGAGGGAAGAAAATTATGAGCCACCTAAATTGGACTGTTCTATTACCTCTCGAATCTCCACGATACGATAGCAGCACATTCCTCTTTCCTGAGCAGCTTCAACATAGCAATGCAACAAATAGGCAGACAGAAAGGGACCAAGAAAGGGGTAAAGACGGTCCCCGGTTGATGAAAGTTAATATAGTCAATATTACTGTCACTGCTGCATACATATCTAGGAGATATGTTAAAATCAGTGAGGAATTAGTCAATCAAGTAACTGACCAACGCACAATTTTAGCTTGAAGGTAAATCGAAATAAACTGATAAATAGGATTGAATGGAGCGTAAAACTGAAAAGGAATACAATCTCTCTTATGAGCAGATCTCCAAGTCAAAGCTTCACTAGATTAGACGAATAAAAAGGATTTTGAATGGAGGCAGATCTTTTCAATGCGACCCAATAACTGACGAGGGAATTTTCCAACGCGACCTACTATTATCTTATTTCGAGGTTATAATCATACTGGCGACACCATTTTGGAGGGAAAATGCCGAGTAGATACTAAACTAAATCAAATAACACATGCAAAGAAACACGAAGCTCTTCTAGTGACGCCTAAATTGGGAACAGTGTGTTGCACGTGAACTCGGGTAAATAGTCATGTCAAGAGTGAACTCCGCACTGTAGCGAAATTTCGCGCATGTATTTTCAATGTTTCAAAGCTTAATGTGTACTCAACGGCGTCTTGCCAATTACCTAAGGGGTCTTGGTTAACTTGGTGATTCACCAGGCCATTACAGGATTATTCTCAATAAATTTGTTTGTAGAGCAAAGCAAACAAATCTGAGTCGCATTTCAAAGAGCAGGCGATGATAATAGCCTCGAATACCAAGGGTTCGTGATAAAGTGGAGCACAGGCTCAAAGATGTGCCAAGTACACAACCATGGACGAGGAGTTGATCGAGCGGCTTTAATTGCCGTGAATAAATGGTGTTTAAAATCCGAAAAACCACTTCAATCTCGATGTTCGCTGCTTTGGTGTAGGTATTGTTCTACGCCAAAGCCTCAATAAACAGCTGAATTTGTCAAACTCTTGCCAGCTATACTTCCCCACTCCATAAAGCTTGTTATGGGATTTGCAGGCGTAATTAAGATTATTTAGTGCAGTAGATGGAAACAATAGGACTCAGTCGGAGGAAGAGGATAAACTATTAGGTGAAGCTTTTACCTTGCAATTTGTTAAACAGAAATTTACAATGCAATTTACTGGAACAATGCATAGGACTAAGTCATTAGTATTTGGGTTAAATACGACTATAGCAGTCAAATGTAGCCATTAATGCTAGACTTGCTCCAATACTTTTTTAAGGTATTAAGGTAAGCGTTAGTTTTGTTTGACTAATGTTAAATACGTTAGAAAGGGCCCTAAACGAGTAAAAGAATAGCATATTATCCATCTCAAATGATGTATTCTCAAGTTATTTTCAAAAAGGTAAACTAAACATGGAAGAAACGTTGCGGCGAGAAGTTGGTACAGGGGGATTCAAATACTGGAGTGGTATTAATTATACAACACTTTGACAGAAAGTGAAGCAGCTTCATTAGAGCAGCAGTGAATCTAAAGCTAGTGAACATCCCTCAACCCGGAATGCATGAAAAGAATGACAAAAACATTAATTTAAATGCATGTCCACACATGCAGAGTCGATTCATGGGACTAAACTGCATCTTCTGAATAGGAAATAAACGTTCACACGACACCCAGATTGAAGAGATCAAGTTGCCCAGGTACGAGGCTGTGAGAGATTATCGTTTTTAACATTAAAGGTTCTTCTCCACGGAATGCAAATATTGAAATTGCCTGCTCGTGTCGAGTCACCGGTTAAGCATGTGCAACATTGCCAATTACATGAGACATCCTGCGATGAGGATAAACCTCAGCTAAGCATCTTTAGGGGCATCAAAGCTTGCTTTAAAAAAAATGTGATCACGAATCTGCCACTCGAAATAAATATCCACCCGAGTGGATTTTTTTAAAAAAGCATTCGATTCCATGGAGGTATCATCAAAGAAGCAGTAAAATTCAGGTTGAAATTTTGCAAATGTGAATGGCCCAGTAAATCGCAAACCACGAGACACAGCAAGTGACCCGTGCAATCGTTCATGAGGAGATATGAACGAGTTTTGAAACAATGCAATGAGCCGAGGAGGAAGACTGGCAATGTTGCCAGCTACCGACTATAATAAACAAATGCGAGGCTGAATTGGCAGACGTATTATCTGTTAAATAACAAAGTGAAGAATAGTTGTAGTAGTTTGAAACCCTGTGTGAGAGTAACTGAAGTACATCCCAGAGGGCTCAAATACTAGCCCTTGAATAAGAAATTTTAAGAAACTACGAGTTAACAGTAGCACGTCAGCTTGTGGATTATAAAAACATTTTGTAGGAAAAAAGGGAACGCTTCAAAAGACCTGAATAAGTGAGACTCTTTTCGAATTCATTAAATTTGAGAGGACATGAACAAGCGACTAACAGTATTAAGGGAGGAAGAGTGACGGCAACGACAAACGGTATTTGGATCAGATACCGACTATCTGAACTAGAAATTATCCATACCTCAACCCATGCTGCCCAATAACAATTTTTTTATGAAATGTCACACTCGGCGAACAACTCCTGGCTGTCGAACAAATGGATCGGTGGAGGTTAACATAAACACAGTCTAATTTAAGTTAATCCAGGTGATATGACAAACTCATTCTATTCCTTTTGGGGTTGGTCTCCATCATGCCAACATTGAGGTAAAAACGTTTTTAATTCCGTGACCGCTCCATAAGTCTAGGGGTTAATCTACTACTATCTGAAACGACACAAATAGATGAAGTTTGCTGACGGAAGGTTAGTAGGCTGGCGGTTCAGCACGCCTATTTCACGCCGGCCAGGTAAATGTCATTTTCATAACACCATTGAAATAAAGCTCACCATCAAATTAATTAAACTACGAGTGGGCGAAGAATAGTGCATATACGTGGGTGGGAGAGTAAGCCATGTACTCGCCCTCTGTACCCAACGACTATTTTTGCACAGTTATGCTAAATAAAATGGGGACAACTTTTGAACCTCGACTAATGTACAAATCAAGTGAACCACTTCTAAAATTGTTTATTACTTGCACTCATCCATGCACCCACTCGCTACGGCTAATACACATCGTCGTTCGACCCAGATGTGGCACTTTTCAAACAGTTCGGTTCAGCTGCACTGCCATGACACACAGCGACTCTTCAGATGATTCAGCACCTCTAATAGTATCTGGCGCCCTTGCTTAAACCGCAGAAGGACTAATAATTTGTTGATGTCTGGCGAGGGAAAATATCATTGCCTCGGTGAATCATTAAGGGTAAACTAGGCTCAAGCGATGGACACCTGAATGAAATAAGGGCTCTCGGTCTTCAATGTCAGCGATACGGAGTGGTCAGCCCTGTAGGAGACTTTAACTGCATATTGCACATACCGATAGCAAATTGTACTTTAACATTGAAAAACCCAAAAAAGCATCAGAAGATCTTAGATCCCATCCACTTGAGGTAGACACCATTTAAGCTCAGGAGATTGTTAGCAAAGGCTTTTTTCGCAACAAACCAAATTTCACAGCTATGTTGCTCAATGACTCAGTCAACCCCCAATTTTTTGCACTGTGATAAGCCTAACCAAGTGCAACTTACCGGACAAGGCAGTGAAATGACGTTAGCCACAAATAATAAAGTTGAAGGTGTCAACAACCGCTTCATGTAAATTTCACACAAGGCACCTTTGGTTAAAAGAGGCCGAAATATCGGCTCCAAAACCGCATACTCTACTCCCCTGGCGTCTTATAAACAAAAATCCCAGCCACCCGCCTAATCACTTGGCGTCGTTTCCCCAAGACAAACGCGATAAAAAAATTCCTGAAGCAAAGCGCTTGGAATTTAAGTGATATAAAAAATTCACACCCATTAAAGGGACGAGTTTTAATGCTTGATTTTCAATCAAGTGCAAAGGCATTACTTAGCCTTTCCAAAGGAGAGTTTATTCAAATTTAGAAAGGCGTACGGGCAAGGCTCACCTCCTCTAAGGTGTCCATTTTACCACCGAACTGCCGCTCCTGTTTTACTTTCCTACGCTGCTCTAGGAGGGGCGTGACGGTTTCGTTTGGCGGGGAGAGAACATCGGTTGTCAGTTGGTGTTGCAGCTGTGGCTGGTGTAGAGGCGGTGGTGGCTGTACCAGAGGCATATCGACCGGCCGAGCATGAGCGGGCCACGTAGGTCCGGCCACCGCAAGACCGGGAGAAGTCTTCGGACTGATGATGACGTTGACACCGCCAGTGGCGCGGAGTCGCGAGGGCCAGGCGGGCAAGCGAGGAGCGACGCCGGAGAAGGAACCGGCGACGGAGGGTGATGGACGGGTTAGTGGAGATGCACCGCCACATGTGGGAGACGAAGACATTGCCTTGTGCGACGAGTAGGGCACGATGGGGGAGAGGATTACGTGAGTTAGGACTCCATCTTCGTCTACGATTTGCTGTACTAAGTGCCCTGGAGGAACTTGCATCGGCATGGGCAATGGAGGGCCATTGTTAAGGACTAAGCGTACTGTTGCTGGACCTAACAGAGGGTTAAAAAGCGTCTCAGTTAAGAGGTTGGAGGTGTAGTATGTGTGGTTTAAAATAATGCAAAATTAAAATTTAAGCCCGTCAAATAAGTTGAAGAGGGCATATTTGTCATGGGCTTCTAGGACTATAGACACGCAGGCTTATGGATGTCCGCATAGTGCTTTAACGTATCATCATTACAGAATAGCTCAAAATATACCCCTGGATTTATTTATGGGCCGATCTTTTTTTACACTAGGCATGGAGTCAAATAGCAAGAAGGTCCCATTTCGTGTGAGGTTCAGATTCTTGGATTATCAAAAAAATAAGGCAAAGTAACTGTTGAAGTGTCACGATTCCCAAGCGCACAAGTGGGTATTTTACCATCGAATTTACCACGAAAATCAAGTTGGGGTAATAGTATGAAACACAACTAGACAACGATTGAGCGGCACGCTGCATCTGAAATAGCTGAAAGTAAGGGTATGCGTATTGATCAACAGAATTAATCAATTCCACGCAGATAAACTGGCTTCTGTAGAATGCTAGCACCATATTTTGATATCAACAAAACCTTTTCCCCTCACAATGACTAACTGTGTTGATGGTTAAAGAATAAGACGAAAAAGAGGGGTAAAAGTTAATCGGAGTAAACATCTCAGTCAATACAAGTATTTTGCATGAGGCAAACGGTGCAAGTTGAACTGAAAGCAGTTTGCCCTAAAAAATTTTGATAAAAGGATGAGATGCTACTTTTCAGAAAGCCGTGTAAAAATCACACAAGGCATACCCAATGCTTTAGCTAGGATAGCTTCAAACTGTGACCCCTACTTCCAATCTAATTCCAAAATAACTAAAGAGAGCCAATTTTACTGTCAAAAACAGTTATATTTGAAGGCGTCTGAATTCAATATACAGAAAGGAAATGTCCCAGTGCCGGGAACATAACACTGAACTAATTAAGTAGTTATAAATGTACCGGCGAGCATACATACAAACCCGCCTACCATAATGACAATATCATTTGAACAACAAATAGGGTAAAAGCATTACTGACGTCACTGGACTGAGATATGCAGTTTACGCATGTTTTTCACCTTCTAATCCAATAACAAATGGCATTGTGGAAAAAAAAACTTTCTTCTTTATTTCCACTTTCGAGTCAACAGAAATGGTGCTTCTAAGATCGCTGCTAAAACGAATTCTGTTTACATTGCTAAGACTGAGGTGGAGTCAAATATACAAAAGAGCAGATCAAATGTAGGAAAAGGGGTTTAAACATCTGGCAGGTTGTGTTAACAGTCAAACTGTTTCCTTACATAAAAGTGCGGGCAGTAATTGGAACACTAGCGGTTTGATGTGGCGCTGATGAAAGTGAATGCGTATATGTGACGGAGCATACTCGGACAGTAGAGCATAAGCTTGACCAAAACGTGGCTTTACACACAGGTGCAGTGCTTATTGCCTATCTTGGCGAAATTGAAAGACTCCATCCGGTGGTAAAGCTACAACATTCATGTAAAGGGTTGGGTGGCAATTGAAACAGAGTGGGTAAGAAATACGACCCTACTATTATGAATGAAGTATTGGGGTTGCTAAACAGACTATTTCGGCGAATGAAAGTGGGTTCTCGGGAACCAGCTACCATTATACTAAACTTCAACGAGTTTAGGGATTCTTTCAATGTAACGTCACGGACAAGTGCTTGAATTAATCCTTAAAATTGCTGCATAAATGTGCCTTTCATTTCCACTCAAAGCCAACAAGCAAAAGCATGTCAAATTGATTACGTAGGGAAAGTGGAACGATTAGGCACTCTGATGAAACAATTGGCGGCAATGTACCGTTCCACCCAAATATTCAGTAAGCTGGTTTGCATCCGATTGACCCTTCAGCTGGGCTTTCAATAAATTCAATGGGAAAGAATGATTGTAGTTTACTGGGAAAAAATTGCAGGAATGTACGGGTAAGGGATTATTAAACTCAAGCTGCAACTGAGATGTGGCCTTAGAACTAATCGATCCGCTATCAGCAAAGGTCAAATAAATGAGAGGTTAGCAAACCCTCACACAAATTGTGAAAGTGAACATTGTGACTTTCCACGTGATTTTAACACTCACAATCACAGAAATCTCCCCCCCCCCCCCTCCCGGGCGGTGCGAACAGTGCTTTGCTGCCCACATTTAATCGGCGGTAATTTTGTGTGCATGTCAAACGTAGCGGGCGGCCAATGTAATATATTTTGACCGAGAAAATTACCATACACCTGGAAAAATCTTGATTAAGTTGGACCATCTCAGAAATACGGAAACAAGGAAACAGTCCCTGTACTTTGGGATGCAAGAATAAAACCCGAAATAACTATTCTGAAAATATCTATGGTAATGAAGCTACGACGATATATAAGACAAGTCGTTACATGTGAGTGCTTAGATTGTGACTAAAGGTATTCATTTGGATAAACTAGAGGTAGGATGTTTATTAAACAATCAATAGACGAAATTGACCATCCTACCACAGCGTTGAGTACTGTCAATTTTCTATTCATGTATTACAACAAAAATGTAAAAAAATCCATTGCTAAATAATTGTCGATAGGCTGCAAATAAAGCAACCAGTAGTGTGGTGGGAAAAAAAAATGAGCAAATGATGAAAAATACCGGGTATCTGTTGCTCTTGGTCTCCAGTTCGAATGGAAAAGGTTGCTCCCGCCTCGACATGAACCATCACATAGTACTCTTTGTTGATGCCATTTTGCGGTACACCCAGCCCATACAAACTATTTTCTTGAAACGCTGGCAGCATACTGTTAAGACTTTTGTTCTTGGACGTCGAAAACGGTTTTCTATGTTGCTGGCCCTGAAGAAATACTTGTGGTGTAAGCATTGGAGTTACGAGAGATTCAACTGGAATGGATGGAAACGCTGCTACACTATGGGAAAGTATAACTGATGGAACCGGGTAAGATGGTGGAACGTAGACAGAGGACGGCAACTCCAGTAGGGATAAGGTGATGTTATTAGACTCACATAGCCTGTTTGGCTCGGAAGCCTGAGGAATAATAGAACCATTAAAAGGAGACATATCAGAAGCATTCACACTATCAGTTTCAGTTAAAAAAGTATAATTTTGACTGGGTAATTGTGGTCGTCCCTCATTTTCACTCAGACGTATCGATTGATTCTCAATGGGCCCAGGAACATTTTCGGATGGCGGAGAGTTCACCAACACGTCAATATCTGCACCTTCGTCGGTTAATTGTCCTACCTTCTCACCATCAACACCTCCCTTTGCCTCACTACCAAAGGTCAAAACTGGTGGATTTATATTGCGATCAATGGAAGAAGCGAGTTTCTGTTCATCAACATTGCACATTTCTTTCAGTGGTAAAGAATCATCATCAACCAGTAAACTATTTTTTTCTGCACTTCGCCTTTCTTCGCGGACGTAGAATGGCTTGGTAAATGGCTTATCAGCCATAAGATTGGAAAATTTGGGGCGATAAACGGAATTGAATTCGAGGGGATATTGGGGTGGTCGGGAAAAAAACGATGATTTATTATTGCTTTCTTGTGAGTCGCCTTCAAGCATTTTGCTAAAAAAGGCAGAAAGTAGATCTTATACACTAAGATCCGCCACTGCAATTCTAAGTGAGTAAAAGACGCATTCCGAGGTATTTGAGTACGCGCTCTAAGCTAACAGTCGATGGAATTTAAATAAACTGATTTGATAAAACAAAATTGTATCATTAAATTTTTTCTTACATTAAAAACTAAACAATGTTTTTTAAAACTATTTATTTGCATTAAAATATTTTTACTTACAGGATTACATGTGTTTTTTTGACTGTATAAAGGATTGGAAAAAAATACGTGGTAATTCTTTTCTCCAAACTTCAAAAATTGCTCTACACAAAATGACCTCACTCGCCCCATTTTATATTTTGTCTGTGCAAATTTGACAAAGAATCATCACAGTCCCAGCCGATTTACGCTTAATTATTGTTCACCGGTTTGCCTGCTAACAATTCTGTAGCGTCCCGGGACTTCCTGAAGACGAAAGAAGACACAGTACTCGTGTAGAACATATGCATTTAGCACGGAGAAGGCGTCCAGCCTATTGGCATGGCCCAAAAGGCCAGCCCACCCAGCAAGGTACGTGGGGGCTAGTTCAAGGTACAAAAGTGGCGCCTCACCAGAACTGAGGGATAAACCACTATCGTACTACAATTTTTCTGTCAAGAGTAAATTTTTTATAAAGAGCTTTTTAAATGACGAGTTTTAATTTTTTAGCATGAAATAAAACAAAAATATCTTGCAGGAGACACAGTGCTTCAAGACTTCCCTAAAGAACAAAAAAGACTTAGTACCTAGGCAGAAGGTACGCTGTTGCCGTACAGCAGTGTACTAAGCTAAGTGCTTGGTTAACTTTCGGCTGGAGTGAAGGGCTATTCAATATTCTGGCCATTGTACCTTCGCCGTATGGGCTGGCTTCAAAGTCATGACTGTGGCCCCAACTCCCACTGAATATTAAATACATACATTCTGCAGTAGTTTCATGTTATCTTTGCCTTTAGAAGAGTCTCAAGTTACCACATTAGATGCGGCTAAGCGAATTTGATCTTAAAGGACATCTGCTCAGACTTTTACTGCTGGGCGTTAAACCTTAGCGGAGCTGAAGCTGCTCGCATGCGACAGATAAGAGAATTAGTGACGTTCCCAATCAGAAGGGCTAAAAATAACATTTCCCTTTAGCAAATACCCCAATTTGTGTTTTATAGAAAAGCTAATAGTAAAGGAATCGAAACTATGGGTGAATTATTTTAAAATATTTTATTGCGAAGTTGCCTACCGTACTTGTAAAAAGATTGGTTTCGCACACTCGCGATACCTCCAACTGTCAAACATCTGGTCAGAACCCAGTTAGATATGAGTGGACAGTTCTGAAGGAAAAGGCATTAGGAAGGAGTGGACGCGAAACTTCATCCCAAGGAACCGTGTTAAATCCCATTTTTCCTTACACAAGTGAACTTTAAGGCCAGTGTTCCCTCATCTAGTTGCGGATATATATGATGGTCAGGACAATTTCCTATCCCTGAATTCAGTTCCCATACAGGACAAAAGCGTCATTCTAATTGAATTATTAAGATAGAGCAGTGCTATTGCTGTCAAGCATCTCCCAAGTTGCACGAAAGTTTCATAACAGGCACGGGTGGCTCGTGGGTGCTTCTATACCAACACTGATTACGTTGTGATGGCTGACACTGGGGATTGGTCAAAGGGGGCACCGAAACGATGCTTGAAGGAGGAAGGGAGCTACGCCAAGAGTTAGTTGCTTATTCATCTCTCGGTTTCGGTAAGGGGCCACATTGTGTCTAGGCCACTTTACGCTAGCCGGTTAGGCTGACCTCTGAACCATGCCGGTAGATCCAGGCCCTAATATATGTTGAATATACATTAACTACCTAGGTGCTATGCCCTCATTTATCTTTGGGGAGTTCTTGAGGCATTGTAGTAGGCCTCAGTGGAGGCTGCTGGCACGGCTTGAAGTCTGGGCAGTCCGGAAGTGGTACAATAGCGGAGATCCCAAAGACACTGTTACCGAGACAAAGAGTTAAACATACAGATGACACGCAGGGCCTTAAGATCCTTTTGAGGATAAAAAAGACGATGCATGGGCGGAATTCACAAAAACAACCCACAGAAGGGTCTAAGGCTGCTGACATGGCCCAGAGGTCAGCCCACTAAAAGGAGGCACAATGGCCGAAGTACAAAGTATCCCTATACCAAAACGGGGTTGAACAAACAGCCAGCATATCACACGCGTGTTGCATGAAATTTGATGAAATTGGGTTAATTCAGCAATTTTGGATGCAGTGATGGATTTTCAACACTTAGGTCCACAGTCCTTCACACAGGCCTTTTTTGCATTTTTGCACCTTGTTTACTGTTGTTCAAAAAATTTGTTTTTTAAACCAATTTTTACAAATTTTTAACCGGGGCAATTTGTTGTGCGTGTCTTTGATTTGTTTTAATGGACGACTGTGCTGTACTATCAAACTCGATTAATATGGCAGCGTCCTTGGATGTAGACCTGCAAGTGGTGAGTTTGTACATTTTCGTGTTAAATATCTTTAAAGACACCTGTTGTGTGGTTGGTCTCCGGACTTATCATAGGGAAATATGCTCTTTTACCGGCTACCTCATCCCGTCGTTAGTGTTTATTTCAATACTGTTTTGGTGCTGTGGATGTTCCGAGTAGCCTTGCTTTATTTTCAGTGGGTGGCATTGTTAATTCGCTGCTCATGCCCATAGTTCTGTATTCTGAGCTAAGACTTTTGTTATTGGTAGCATTTGTTAGGTCTTACTAACTTCAATTAGCACTCCACCCCCCCTTATTCATAGTAACATACCGATGCAAACAATCGGATTGACACCTCCTCTCTGATGCTTCAATCCATCGTAGATGATGAACCAGTATCCTCAACAGTCTGCTCATTCAAATTCTTCTGGCCAGCACTATATTGGACAAAACTCCCAGGAGCACACATTGCAACGACCCATCAATGCGGCAGGTAAAGCGGTAGTCTTTCCGGTTACTTTTTAAGATTTCGAACAGCATAGCATAAACTCATTACAAGGGCATCATGCTCAGCCCGTTGCTGATATTCCTGTTGGAATATTCAACCAACCGGAGAATACCCACCCCAGCTTTCATACTCCCCACCACTACTACCCTCCGTATGCACAAAATCGTTCTCCTCAAAATCGCGAGGATGTGGAACTGACTTCTTTTTACGGGGCCATGCCAATTTCGGAGAAGTATAATTCTACTTCCGCCGCACCCCAGCAACTGCAGTTTCCAGGTACTACTGAAAATCTCAACGGCCCCAAGGATCACAATTCAACGTCGGGTCCGCCACCCACCAAGAGGAAGCGTGGCCGACCGGCCCTTTTTCCCTCTAGCGATAATGGTAGTGATTATTTTATCTAGTCTTTTAATCATGAAATATGGAAGTGCAAAGGATCGTTGAAGTTGGTTTGCTAGTTACCATCTTGCACTCAAGTTGTTTAAGGATATCTTATGTTCTTGATGACAGTTTTTTGTTTTCTCTTTAGACGTCGGCAGAGGCGTGCTTCCCGAGGATGAGGAGCACACCTTGTTCGGAGCCATCCGCTCCGGTCGTGCCTCCCCTCAAACTTTGGTTGATGATTGGATAGAACAGTATAAGACAGGTCGGGCACCAGCGATGTTGGAGTTGGTTCAGTTCTTCATCTCATGTTCGGGATGCAAAGGGAAGGTTTCCTTGGACATGTACAACACTCTACCCCACGCTGATATTATTAAGCGTATGACGGAGGAGTTCGATGAAGACTCTGGTGAATATCCCCTTGTCCAATCCAGTCCTACTTGGCGTCGATTTCGATCTAATTTCGTGGAGTTTATTCAAGTTTTGATTCGTCAATGTCAGTACAGTATCATTTATGATCAATGTATGGTGGACCAGATTGTCTCCCTTCTTACTGGCCTTTCAGACTCTCCCGTGAGTGTTACTCGGTTGAGTGGGAATTCGTACTTGCTTTTTTCATCCGAGTTCGACTAGTTTACTCGTCATCAATCAGCTACCTGTAGATGAGTCGAGAAATGAGATTCTCACACTGCAACTAAGTGTTATCTAACAGAAGTTTTTTTGCCTTTCAAATCGTTCCACTGAATGGTTTCCAACCGAGAGAAGTAATTTTGATGTTTAGGTACTCTTAAAGTTTTTTACATAGACTAAGAAGAAATTTAACCGATATATTAGTCTGCATTTGGGAACGTCTTAGTAATCTGAAGACCTGTGCTAACGTCTTTATTAGGTTCGTGCTTTCCGTCACACAAGTACCCTGGCTGCCATGAAGATGATGACGGCTCTAGTAGACGTAGCCTTGAATGTGAGCATCAATCGTGACAACACTCAGCGGCAATATGAGGGTGAGCGAGCTCGTGGCGGTGGTAGCGGTGCTTCCAGTAGCAGGCGTTCAGGCGCCGGCAACGACCGTCTCGATGTGTTGATGTCACGTCGTCAGGAGTTGGAGGAGAATATGAAGGAGGTGAAGGATATGCTCATTCTCCTCTTTAAGGGCATCTTCATCCACCGATATCGCGACAGCCAGCCGGAGATTCGAGCTATCTGCATCGCTGAAATTGGTGTCTGGATGCGTCGTTATCCTGCCATGTTCCTGGATGATAGCTATCTAAAATACATCGGCTGGACACTTTATGACCGGGTTGGTGAGGTTCGATTGCAATGTCTCCGTGCTCTTCAACCCCTCTACGACGACCCCACTTTTGTCTCGAATTTGTCCCTTTTTACCTCTCGTTTTAAAAAGAGGCTTGTTGATATGACCCTGGATAAGGAATTGGATGTTGCGGTCCAAGCCGTCAAAGTGGTCTCTTGCATCCTCAAGTGAGTACCCGGTAAAATGTTATTTGAGTCTGAATTTGGCACGTTTTTGCACTTCATTTGATCATCTTATATAATACAAATATGTCCTTGAGTGTTTCGTTTTTTTAGCAGTAACAATTGTTCGCTTTTAATCGCAAAACTGGATCCGAGGTACAATATGAACAATATAATGACACCGAAGCTGCAGTTTTCGTGTAATTTGGTGGTCGTTTTTGCTAGATACATACCTCTACTTAAATAAAACCTCGGTTTCCGCCTGCTGGTTTGCCGGTTTTTAAAAATTCACAAAAATGTGGTTTAATACGTGTGGAACCTTCTCCACACCACAGACTGGCGTAAAACTGTCTGCTTGTTTGAACTCACCTGGGGATTTGCTTTTTCTTTGCAGGCATGCTGAATCTAAGCTCGAGGATAAGGATTGCGAAAACATTTATGAGCTTGTCTACTGCACACACCGACCGCTTGCCCAGGCCGCGGGTGAATTTCTGACGCTAAAGCTCTTCGAAGTTGATGCCAACGCTCCAATCACTCGAACAAGGAAGGGCAAAAAGCGCAGCGAGAACACTCCTCTACTCCGCGATCTTGTGCAGTTCTTCATCGAGAGTGAAGTGTGTCCTACTAATCTGCTGGTATAAGTTTGAAGTCTGATCAGACATTGTGTGTTTAAACTGGTGTTCTTTCCTTCCACATGTAGTTGCATGAGCACGCGGCATACCTAGTGGATAGTTTGTGGGAGATTGCTCCTATGCTACGTGACTGGGAAGCGATGATTGACTTGCTTATTGAAGAACCGGGCAAAAACGAAGAACCTCTTGATGCCAGTCAAGAAAGCAGCTTGATTGAGATCATGGTCTGCTGTGTGCAGCAGGCAGCGACTGGGGAGAGTCCCGTTGGTCGCCAGGTAGGCTCATTTTTGTCATTACCTGGTTTCTGACATTTAAAAAATGTATATCATTTGGTTTGGGAGTGGATTGGATGTGTAAAAATGGTGCAGATTTAATTTGAGGCAAATGAGGCATCTGGATTAACGGGATTCTTACAACAGTCTGTGCGTTGATTTTGCGAATAACTAGTGAACTTCAGTGAATTCTCTACATAGTCCCAACATCACGTGATAGTCCTCAATCTTTGGTGGGGATCTAATACTGGCTAGGGTTGTCAGTGGTATTATACTCAATCTGCTCTATGGCTCAAACCACCGTTCCCATCCCTCAAATAATTTTTATTTGAGGATCTAGATTATACTTTTAATCAATCTGACACTTATTAGGTGATCGGTTATGGGGATATCACTTGCAGGTATTGTTAATGATCGATCGAAATGTTGACCGGGAGTATCGAGTCCTGTATATTGTTGTGATTCTTTAGCGTGCATTTCGAATGATTAAGGATTCCTAGGTCACTCACTATGTTCTACTGTCCTATGTAATACAAACCTGTGCCCTTTCAGTGAAATGTAATTCTTTTTGCATCTGCTTACTCACCGTAGTCGGGCTCACACTCATCGTCAGCAGTTGTACTGGGTGCAGGTGAGACTGCGGTGCCTCGTGTCGGCCGAGGCGGGGTCCTCTCGGCGCGCGAAGCGAAGGCTCTTGCTGAGGCGAGGGCTCACATGACGGAAGCCATGATTCCCGCCCTCCATCCCCTTCTCACTCGTTTTGGCGAGTCCGCCGAACGGGCCACCTCTCTCCTCCAAATCCCCCGCTATATGGACCTCGAAATTTACACCACTGGGCGTCACCAACGCCATCTGGACCTCCTCCTTCAGTGTGTTGAGGTAGATAGTCGATTTTCTTTCGGTGCCACACTAACTTATCCGTTAGGTGGTTCCCCACGTGCTCAGTAGGGATTCCGATCATTGTTCAAGTGTGTGCATCATTTGCATTGCTCGTAAGGAATAAGCTTTTGGGGTTTTAATTTGTAGACCCGTCCTTTTATCTACTTGAACACATTAATTTCAACGTCACACCTACGATAGTGTTATTAATGTTCTCTTCAACAGCGGGTAGTAGAGCGACACACGGATCCAGAGACGCTTCTAGCATGTTCGAGAGCTTATGAAGTGTTGTGCCAGGATGATCTGAGTATCGCGGCAAACTGTCAGACTGTGCGGGGCACCCTCTTTGATCGACTCACCGATCTCTACCGTCGTGCCTTCCTCAGCTACTTCAACGAACAAGTGAGTTTCATCTTCTGGCCAATATAAATCATTCAGTGCGAATCTCATAGGATATTACTGCTTTGCCGACTAGGGTGATGAACCTGATGACGACGATGAATTCCATCTTGTCTCTGCGCTCAAGCGTATCTACGCCTTCTACTCGTGAGTTATTTTTTCTTGTTTGAACCACCCTCACGTGCTCAGGCATAGCTTAAGGGGAGGATAACGAGGGCAAGGAGACCAGTAGGTGTGCAAGTTTTGACGTTTTTGTGTGTCTTAATGAGACTAACGATGTTGTCATGCATCTTGGGGTAGTATGAATCTTGCAATAATTGTTAGACCTTCACCCTTCTTGTGGGGTCGCACTGCCTAAACGCATCAAAGTCGCACTATAGCCCACCTCAAATTAATCGCAAGCGGTCTTTTTGTTTCCCAGTACTTTTCCTAGCTGTTTAGGATAATTTCGGAACGTGGGTGTGTGGTTTTGTGGCTTGTCTTCAATTGTTGGTTTTTTTTTCTTTAGCTGTCACGACCTCAATGGGCTTGGCTTATGGCAGAGTCTCATCAGGATAGTGAGCTATGCTCCCGAAGAGGCGAGCCCCGAGATCATTGCCCAAGCTATCGCATGCTGCGCCAAATCTCTTTTCTGGCGATTAGCCCATGTCAGCGAACCCGATCCTTCCAAGGTATACTCACATCCATTCTCTATTTTGAGTTGCCTCAAGATAAATCCTAATCTTTTCAGTGTGAGGGTCTATTCGACTTTTAAGAGCTTTTCGTGACCACCCACTGACTCATCTCTTTACCCATTTCATCTTTAAGGATGAGGTTAATGAGTTGCGTCAGATGTTGGACAATTACATGTGCCTATGCACTAAGTGGGTGGGGAATGGCAACAAACGAATAGCCACTGAGGCCTATTTGTCTCTCTGTGATCTCCTTGTGGCCTTCTCTCGCCACCTTGACGCTACAGAACCCAGCATCAAGTCCCTCGCCTACGTTCCCGACCCTGCCATTGAGACTGGTCTCATCCGTTTCCTCGAAACATTTGTATTTGTTGATGTGAGTTCTGCCTCCACCCTCACCTCTCTCTTGGTTTCCGAATGTCACAACCTTGGTTTTATCTTTTCTCCTTTCAGGATGAGGAGGACGAAAACCTCAAATTCGAGGCCCTGCACGAGCGACGGATCCAGCTGGCGGGTTTCTGCAAGTTGGTTGTCTACAACCTCCTTCCAATCAAGTCGGCAGCTCCTCTGTATAGGCACTACATCCGTTTCCATGGCGAATTTGGCGATATCATGAAATCGACGCTAGGCAAGCTGCGCGAAATAAACCGTGTTCATACTGCCAAGATGATTGTCTACTGTCTGCAGCTGGGATTTAGCGAACTACGGGCTGCCTGTCAGGTATGCCATGTCTGTTTTTCAAAGCATGTTTGTCTGTAGCCATGCAAGTCATCTCATTCGCTACGTTGTCTAGCAAACGCATTTGTCAAAAACAAATCTGATTAGCTGTTTGTTATGCCTTCTACTATTGGAAACTCCATATGGTTCCAGCAAGAATAACTATTTACCTATGTAGTTCTTTGGTTTAATAAATGTTGCCACTTTTCGGGATTCAAGTTCAGTCCAAACCGGTCGCTTCGATGTCATTCGTAAAAACTTACGTTGTATTTCGTTTTATAAACTACTTCCTATCTTAGTAATGTGGCTTTCTGGTATCAAACGCCTACCAAATTCTTTTTTAAAGGAGAAGGGCTTCACTTCCTCCGCCAGGTGCTGCTGATCTGCATGTTTTCAAGTTCACACAAAAATAGATGTTTTTATGATATTCGTGAATAATCAAGGTTATTCCAGCCGGTTTATGTGATTTTAAAGTAAATTACTATGCTTAATAACGTCGATAGTCAACGATTTCATCACCTGTGATGTCACGATTTTCATACCTTTTTGAAGTATAAACAAGTTTGACTTGCACATTCTAGGGAAGTTCGTTGGAGCGCGCTTCAGATGGCTTCCAGGCTCTACGCGAGCTGGCACGACGATTGAATCTCAGCTTCGGCTTGGACTTAATAAAGATTCGTGAGGCCATGGTAGCCTTCCACTCGGACGGCATCCAGTTTGTCCTCTCCACTACTCCCCCGGCTACCAACACTACAGCCGGCGATACCCACTCTGTTCCCACCGGTCTTCTCTTCCTCGAGATCATGGCCGAATTCTCTAACAAGCTACTGCAGCAAGACAAGCGCAGCATATCAAGCTACACGTTCAGGGTAAGCATATACTGTATTCTTTTTCGCTGGCATATTGTTCTAACACGTTCACTTTTTTGTTATTATTGGCATATTTCAGATCTTCCCTCAAGCCTCTGGTGAGGAGTGGGCTTCCCTACAAGCCTATAGAACAAGCCTTGATCCAGACGCTTCTGATCATCACCCACTGGGTACATCTAGCCAAAATATCGCCTCTGGCTCCGTTGGACCTTCTGGTCGAGGTCGGGGTAGACCGAGAAGGCCACGTCCTGACGAAGTTATAGGTAGGTACTTCGCCTACGAGACATCAATTAGATCGACTCTTCACACAGTGAAGTGCTCCATTGCTTCAATCAGCATTTTTTGGTTTTATGCAGTTAGTTGGTTAAAGACTGTGACAGCACACACATGGGATTGTTTAAAGTAGATCATAACACCACCGCGTATTTTAGATCCCGACGCGGCGCAATTTGTGACAGGGACGACGATAAAACGGAGGAAAGGGAACTCGGAGGACCTCTTTACTTCAGGAACTGCGTCCCCTGCCCGAAGACCCGGTCGTCCCCCTGGGTAGACTTAAATAAAACGCTTTTCCAACTGTTGCCGGAAAGTAGTAAACGTCCTGTTTTTCTTGCCTGCAGGAGTGGTAAAAGGCAGGCGACGACACCCGTTATGCCTCCCGCGATGGCCCCGGTGGGCCATTGATACACACGCATCCATGGGGCAGCGTGTGTTCCCCGAGCGACCCTCTTCCCCGGCAGCAGTACTATCACCACTCTACCCAAGACCCCCCAGTCCGTCCGTTAACCCACACGTCCTTCGAGCTGGCTCGTTGCCTTGCCCCTTTTCCCCACCTTCCTCCAACATCGCATTCCCTTTTTCTCCATACAGCACCATAATTACATTGTACATACCCCAAAAAAAATTGCGTACACTCGCATCCAAACGTACGTGCACCTGAGATAGTCTGAACCTCCTCCCCCTCCTGGCACTGTTACCGTTTTGATATACGTGTGGACACCGGCCCTTTCCTTTTCCTCCTTTCTGCTAGATTGTTGTTCTGCGTTCTGATCCCCGCCTCCCGCGTTTTATTCGCCTTTGATGAACTGGTTTTCTCTTCACTTGAAGAGATGCGATTACATTGTAGACAGGTTCACCGTCCCCTCCCACGTTATATCTATCTCTCGTATATACATATGTATGTATACTTGTTATTATACGGTGTATGAAGTCGCCTAGGAGTTCTGCTGGCTTGTTCCCCCGCGCTGCCTCTCCCTCATTGTATCATACACATTGCACGCACCAATACGTGAATTCAGGATTCAGTCACTGGCCCCTGTGGAGGGTGGTGCACCGTTTCCCTCTCCGTGTGTGCTCTTTTAATACCAAATTTTGCACTAGATCGTTCTTGGTGAACGCTGGTCGGGTGTGCTTCCATTCGGTCATCACTTTGGCTCGGTCTGCGGGACGGTCAGGCTATTCTTTACACCCCTTGCTCCAAGTTGGCCGGGAATCTGGTTGTGCGTGCTTGGCGATGCTTGGAAGCATAATAAAGAGGTTTTCGAGAGGGTGTAGACTTCTAGCAGGTTGTGGACATTGCTAAAGATGGCGCTTTGGCTTCTGCAACGACGGCCAAATAGTCAGTCAAATGGGTGATGTGGCACGGGGTACTGTCGAGTTAGTTACTTTTACCTAATTTGGGCGCGACTTATTGCAGGGCTGGTAAGCATGGGAAATTGGCTACTGCATTTTACCAATGCAAAAGAAACCTGTTTTATTTTGGCGGACGTCCTTACATCTTTATCGAAATCAAAGCCAGGTGATTGCCGGAATATCATGTAAATCACTAGGATACACTTCATCATGAAAAATCCTTCACTATCCTACTGTGCGTATCTATGCGAGTAGGCAACACAGTAATCCGGCATTATTACTACTGAGGTTTCATTCGTTACTTAAAACCGTGCAATGACCATTGAACAGTTAATTGTAATCTTAAAATCTTTTAAACATTAAATCGAAAAGTTGTTCGACAAGTTTTTTTGCACATAAATGTGGTTTAGTTTGGTAAAGATTCCTTGCACTTAAGGAAATGACACAAGTGCTGAACTGTGACAAATTTGACAACAGCATTTAAAAATATGCAGTTAAAGTAGTTGCATTCTTTCCTAAGAGTGTTGTTGAGTTCACTTTTACTCCTCATTTTTTTACGAGTTTCGTCTTTTGTTTGAGTTATTGAGACCCGGGTAGTCCGCTTTCTCCGGAACGAGTGTCTGCGCTATGGTAGGCGTTCTCATGTGCCGTTACTGCTTTAGGTGCGTCTCTCCGTTAAGGACGTCGATGGTCATACCTACATTGCTGCTTTGGCTAAATTTCTCAAGAAGTGAGTGTCTGCATTCTTTGCCCCTCGGCAAAATATGAATTCGAAACACCCCACGTGCACACTCCTGTTCTAATCGCAAGTGGTTTTAAAAGTTACGGTCCCTTGCCTTTCTTTTACTAGAACTGGGAAGATAAGGGTTCCTGACTGGGTAGATGTTGTGAAACTATCGACTGCCAACGAGCAGGCTCCCCACGACCCCGACTGGTTCTACGTACGCTGTGCTGCTGTACTTCGTCACCTTTACCTCAGGCCCACCGGTCTAACTGGCCTCAGCAAGGCCTTCGGTCGTGGCAAGCGAAATGGTGTTTGCCCGCGCCACCACGTGCGTGCCTCTACTTCCATACTCCGCCGATGCCTCCATGAAGTCGAGAACATGGGTCTTGTCGAAAAGCGAACGGATGGGTGAGGTTCTTCCCGTGCCCACTAATCCTTTTATGCATTACTCATTGACTACAACGACTTATCATTCCAAAGTATGCTGATCACTGTCGTGTATCTCACTTTAGTGGCAGAGAAATTTCACGCACTGGCCGCCGTGATATGGACAGTGTTGCATATGAAACTGCCAAGGCTCTCCGCGCGGCTAAGTGAATGCTATGAATAAACTGTACAGCGGTTCTCCATGTTTTTTCTCACTATGGGGATGTTCCTGCACTGCCCTCCGGTCCTTAACTCTATTTGGGGGTGCGGTGTGCTCAAACTATGCTGCGGTACAGGTCCTCCCTGTACCCTCACGCAAATTTGTGTGGCTTTGTGCTCGGACGAGATTTAATTCCGGCGGCCCCGATCCTGTTGGCAGTTGGGCCTCCCGTGTCTATTGAGTGGCAGTCATTTGTGGGGATTAACGTCCAGTGTGAGCTGGGTAGGTTACCGCTTGGTGCTCCCTGCAACCATGTCGCTTCTAGTAATGCGCAGATACCCTAGCTAGGGGAGTCACTGAATCGTGGGTGGCCCCCGCCTCGGCATGTTGAAGCAGGACTGTTCCGTTTATCGATGCTCTTATTATGTACAGAGTTTATCACGCGGGTTTGGGGGTTGAGGTATAAGGGGAAGAAGCGAGTAAGGATTATTGCCGGAACAGGGGCGATGTGTAAATTAGGTGTGGTCAGCGTGGTAGGTTCCGTCATTCGAGCAAGGAAAACAACGCAGAGACTTCGCGTCCGTATTGTCCGGCCTTGGCAGCGACGTCTTTTGAGTCGAAAGCAGATCGGATGGCCTCCAGGTGGGTCACGCACGTTTGGCACTTTGCTCGCCTAAAATGCCAGAGATGGTTGATATTGGGGGTATTTAATATTATTCCGTCGAACAATAGGTGGTAGCCCCTGATTGTGGGTGAGGCGGCCGTGCTATTTGTACTTATGAGTAACGGGCGGGAAACGCCGTGTCGCCACACAAATCTTACCGTTCTTCATGGGTTATGTCAACACCGATTCCATGAGCTGAATTAAGGGTCTGACGAATGAGGTTGGCAAAGTTTTTGAGTATCAGTCGCACAGCCTGGCAGGTGGTTTCCACATACCTGTTAAGAAGGGAAAAACTCGGTCAGAATCACATAGGTTGGTGATATTTGGTAAACAATAATCCACTTACGTGGGATATTTGCTCCAAATAAGTTTAGATAACTGCGGTAGTAGCACGGCAACCAGATCTAGGCTCCATTGCTTACTAGAAATAAAAAATAGCTGAATTAGATTTCTGAAACAGTGAGGCCTAAAGCGGTGAGTTCCTCGGCTTGTTCAACATACAACTGACCGCCTAGGCATCAATGATAGAGAAGTTCAGCAGCTGTACTGCAAAGACCCTTTAGTTTCTTTTAGGTGAGGGAACACTTAGAGAATTATAGCATGAAAGAGCAAAAAAACATCGTTAAAAAAGAAATTTAGGCACAAGTTCTCTGCACCAATTCTGGAACGGGAAACAATATAAACCAATGTCGGATTTGCAGAGGGAGTGAATCGCAGCATAGGAATTCTAGACTGCTTAGTCAAATCACGGGCCAACTCAGCTGGAAGGTTTGGTCGGCAGGGCGAACACGATTTGCACACCTATCGGCTGGTTAAATAGGGTGACAAGGTTTATTGGATAAACGACAAAGTAGTGAACAAGGAGTCGCTCAGTCAGTTTTTCCCGTTTTATATGGAAAGAGCAATCTGTCAAGGGACAAAGAGGTGTCCTTGACATTGGAATTTGCATTTATGCTTATTTCACCACAATGCAAAAGGCTCTTCATCTTCCTAAATACTAAGTCAACCCGTCCAGTAGCAATTAAAACAACACTTACGAGCGAACGAAAACACAAAGGTAGTCTACTCAGTAGATCGTATGTGCAGCTACTAGAAATAATTAATTCGGGATCGCCTCCATTCACGAAGGCCAGAGGAAATGAGAAAGAGGCGTCCCATTTTCGAATATGATCATGCAGATTTAGGCTGTCTGTCTATCCGAGAACTTAAGCCAATTCCACTATTTGTGAGCAAACAAGACAGCACACGACTGCAGTTATTCCGTTAAGTAGTTGATCCGCATAAATTTCCCGCCCAAAAGTACTGTTCCCAGGCAGAAGCTGACCCATAGGAGAGGAGAACGCGGAGAACATCGACAAAGACAGCCTGATCCTGCATAAGAATGGCCGACTCGAGGGCGGCGCACAAATTCTCCCGGGGCCAGAGAAGGCGCACCGTGGTGAGACTCTTCTGCCGTGCCGACAGCACCGCCAGCAGTGCTGCATGGGGAGTTCGCAACCGGTGCAGCGTCGTCATCTCACCGCCGCCGGCACCGCGGTTCACTGTCTCCTTTGCGGCAGCAGTGGTGCGTGGCACCGGCGTCTTGGAAGGCACGATGGTGCCATCACCTATCATGTTCCACATGTTGGCGAAGGGATCGTTAATGTCGGAGCCTTTACCGCCCGACGCGTTGAGCTAAAACAAGGAGGGGATGAAATGACGATGTACACTGGCCAGTGGCATAGATTCTTATCCCATCCTATGGAAAAAGAGTCGTCCAGGATTGGTGAATGTCTGCAACTCGGAAAGCTTCCGCCTCTGCGGGATCCTTCTTTTTCCTGTGTAATCCCCAAACATTCTAGAAAGCCTTGAAACACGCATTCAATTCTCCTGAGTAGTCAATATGACGTGCAGATAAACATCAAATGGGCTAATAGTTATCATACGATCAATGCCAATCAAATACACTAAATAGGCAAAAACAGAACCATTCTGTGCTTCCACTAACGATCCTGCACAACCGAAGCCCCTAGCTTACTTGAACTTGTCGACAAATAAAGAAGTCCGTTTTAAAGACGGTCTTCTGAGTACCCTGGTTGAGAACTCCAAACTCAAACAAATAAGCACGGATTTGTAACAGGTTCGTAAAGGCAAGTGCCCTTGTGAATGATCAAATTTACATACCCAAATGTGCCCTTAGTGTTCAACAGAAAGGCACTACAGTTAATTAGTGAAGGATTAATGATGGAAACCGAGGAACAAACAAGGCATGGATCGATAATTTCCGTCTCTCAATACTTTGAATGAGGGATCAAATAACGGTTTATTTTAACCAAATAAAGAGGTCTTTTGGTTAGCATTACATTCAATTCAAAATTATGGCAGATGTTACTACGACTGGCACCGCCGATACAATGGTCAAGGTCACAGAGAGGGATACACAACCACAAGAAATTAGTGGCTGGTTAGAAGGAACCAAAAAGAGGAACACAAGACAAGTGTAGATTCATTAGCATCCCTCGTCGATGTTTTTGAGCCTGAAGTGAGGGTAAATTCACAGATATGACTTGACTGCCACGATTAAAATGCACGTTGCCAAAACGCATAGAAATGACTTTTTGCAGTTTAACGGAGGAGTATCAACATGAATGAACAAAGTACGAAGAGAATATTTGCGATTCGCCTACTCTTGCCTGCCAGAAGAGAAGAATGCAGAGATGATTTTCATTATTTAGAGGAGACATTAGTTTGCAAAAATTTCACGCTACTCAATTCGAAAAGGCAACTAAAATCACTATTCCAGGAAAGGAGCAATGAAAACGCGTTCCAGTCGGCTAACAAATTACTAACAATGAAGAAAAGGATAGGAAATTAGGTAACCTCAATAATATTGTTCTTCTTAGCAGTTTATTTATAAATCGTTGATACAAAAACGCGACGAAAATAGATGAAAGATGACGTATTTGGGTGATAAGTGTAACATTCATCCACATTTACTGAAAACAATAAGCTATGGAAGTTTTACCGTTCATCATACCATCCTTTGAATGAAGAGACACTAAATATGGTAGTTAATTGTCAAATTCCTCTCGAATATTTATAATGAGCGAAAAATTTATGAAGCTCAATGAAAAAAATTGCCGCCTTTAAAAGCTGAAACAGTGATTTTGGTATAACGATAAACAGCAGTACATCCTATTTATAATACAATTAAGGACTAGAAGTGAAAATAATGTCAAGCCTCAACCCCAAGATACTAATATTGTTCCCGGTCACAGGTGAAATTCCGTAAGCTATATCGCTCCTTTCTTTTGCACATTCAGCCTGTCAGATTAAATACTAATATTTTTATTTGCATAGGTTAGTGGATAATTTTATTACAAATTAGCTTACTTCTAGTAAATAAATATGCTCGATTTCGTATCAAATCTCCAGGATCATGTTACTTAAGTGCATTATAAGTGTCAAACATACTTGGAACACGACGTCCCATACGATATGTCCGAGCTCAGTCGGAAAACAATGACTGCCATGACATCATGGATGCCTTTAGAGAGGCGTCCAATATCGATTAACAAGGACTACCAGCAGCCAGCTTGGAGTAGCCACCCCCCGCCAGAAGGAGCCAGCATGAAGTTGCCTAGTGGCTAGCAGCATGAGTCACTGGCAGCAGCTTACACCCTGAACATGAGTGGTAGAACTTACAGGCAAGAAGTCGGAGATCTCCAACTTATCGTTCTCTGCACAAACGGTCGTGTCAGCGTCGGTCACAGCTACAAGACAAAGAGAAATGACCAAAGTGAGAAGGGTTGGTATGAGATATGCAAAAGGTCACCATCACTAATCGAGGAGAAATCGCCACGAATTACAAGGCGTTAACTTTAAAAAAAGTGGAATAGTTACAGTAAGCCATAAAGATGGGTCAGTACTATCTCCCTGGACAAACCGGAATAAATAGTTCAAATGCAATGCGAAAATATGGGAATGAGAATGGGAATCCATACTAACCTGTGCTACCATTCGCCATCGTCAACTCCAAAATTACAAAACAGAAGTTAAACACATAACTGTACCATTAGAATGTAGCAGTAGCAGTGGAGCGTCAGGATAGAACGGTGATACACTCCTATGTGGTAAATTCCTGCTAGCTGGAGCAGTCTCAAAAGCAAGGACGGGTCTCATGAAGAAAGAAAGGTAAGCCAGTCTTATCAGATGATAATATGGATCTGCAAACCTTTACGACAGCGTGCCATAACACCATCGCCACTGTCACCGCATGTACGATTTTCCTATCTCAGACCTGCAAACGGATGTTGGACGACTGCCATGCATCAATCATGGGGACAATGCACCAATCTCATGCTGCGTGGTTGAGTTTAAAACATGGCATTGGATGAGGAACACTAAGCTTAAACAAACACAAACAGTGGAGTATCTGGGTTTAGGTGGCCGATTGCCTTTGAGACCCTGGTATCAAACATGTTAATAACTGTCAGCCCTCAAAGCCCTACTAAGCATTCAATTTTAGGGAAGATTGCCGATGAAAACTGCTATCTGGACAAATCGAAGGGGTTGGTGAAGCATTTTGAAAGATAGGCCACCATACTGCGTAAGTCAAGCCGCATACGGTAAATTGACGCTTTGGGATTGCTGGGCGACAATCCGGTAGAATGAAGAAAATGAGAATGCCCTCTCTGGCAAAAATAGTCATTTTTCAACTGTAGACTCCTATAAAATCGGCGACTGTGATCAGTGCATTAGTAAGGTGTACTTATTTATTTATATATCGAGTCTCCAGATAAACAAATAACGTTTGATTGATGTACGACGAAGTGGAATCGTAATTCATTCAATTCATTCATTCATTCAATTTTTATCGCCTGAAATTCGTTTTGATTTGACTCGGACGCCCTCTGTAACACGCTACAAAACGTTGTAAAGGAGAGAAAATACCAGTGTGCGTAAATGCAGCAATTTTGTAACTAGGATGGGGGAAGCAGCAAGGATAATGGCTGCACTGCATCACATAATTGCGCACGTTTGACAAAAAATGAAGCCAATCGACCAATGAGAAAAGACTTACGAATGTTGGACTGCAGCATTGGCGGAGGACAAAAAGGGCCACTGTCCTCGTCCTCTCCCTCGCTGGAGGGCGCGCGAAAGGGTTTTTGCGGCGGTCTGACGGTCGCATTCGTTTGTGATGGTGGTGGCGGAGCCCTGGTACCACTGCTACCGGCCATGGGGCGCGTGGGACTGCGCGCAATTGCGCGTTTGGGCTTGAAGACGCGATTGTAGGCCGTCACATCATCGATTACAAGACGCGAATCGTCAGCATCCGAGGGAATATCCATTGCCGCTGTGGACGACTCCTCCTGCGCACAACAAGCCTATATTCAATCGCAAAATCCAACTACGTACATACACATAAGGAGAAGTAGGACAACTTCCCAGTGCAAAATATGGGCATAGCTAAACCTCGAAAGTCATCTTCAGTTGCTAATCTTGAAAGTTTAAAAAAGTGATGACATTCAAAACCGAATCCCGTCTGCATTTGACAAGCCCGCAGAGAGGTAAGTGCCACATTATTGTGGTCAATTGAAAAGACCATTTACCATCACCGGGCAGAGCAGGTGCGTTGATGGTTACCTTAACTTCGTAAGGTTACAAAGACAATCCAACATCCTACTGTCGATAACGAGCCCACATTCAAGCATAACAGCCACCCCGCACTGACAACGCCAGGTTTGGTCATTACCAAGACGCATCCAATTTTATTTGTGGTGCGTTCAAAGGTACCTCAACATCTCATTGGGCCGCCGATGTCAGATCCAAATGAAACATGTTTGTTGAAGAGACAGAATAAGTAAACCAATTAGACTAGAAAGGTAATTCAGGAATACAGTTACGCCCAAAGTGCCCGATGTGCTGCCTTGTAATTCTTATATTAAAACCCTGACAACTGGGAGTCACTTATCTGCGAGATCTGAAGGGAGCATTTCAACAAAAAAGGGAAAATGAATTGGCCGTTAGTCTTCGATGTGGCGACAAATTACGACACCTGCAACTAACTTGTACTTGCATTTGTGAGACTCGCATCTCAGGCATTTAATCTGACCCGTAGTATGGCCGACCCGAGATCGTCCAACATCTAGTAAAGTAGCCGTATCAATGGTTGCTTTAACTACGTGCGCAATCGCATCCAGGTTCACGCTGCAAACTAAAGTGATGTTTCTTTGATTGTAATGTAGAAAGAGTATAAAACTGAGTTAAATGATGCCAAACATTTGGTAGGGATAAAATATTTCTCGCCAAACTTACAGTGCGCCCTTCCCAAATTTAAAGATTTTAGCCTTGCTAGATCAAGCAACTAATCGCAATTCGACATAGACACTGGAGCGATACAAATGTCAGCGTGTTCGGTCAAGTACGTATACTTAAAAACCTACAATAATTGAAATGTGAAAGTCTTTTTTAGCAAAACGACTCCATTTGAACTTCGACTGGACAGAAAAAAAAGGGATTTTGCAAGTTTGGTAGGAAACGCTTTAGATGCAATCCTAATCCGAGTCAAAGCCAACAAGACCAAAAGTTGAATTCATTCAAAATTAACCCATATTCCAATCTGTCAGATTCACTGTAAAGAAATTTGATCCGATTTGAGGCTCTTCACAATAGTTAGCACTTATTGTCGAAATTTAGCAAAGATGATCTCAAGACTAGATAAGATCTTGTTGCAGGACAGACATCGCTGGTTCTGCCAATCAGAACCCAAAGAAACGGCACCAGTTTGGATCAGAGAGGTGAGAGAGACGGGGAACGTACGGGAACAACGCGAGGCTTGATAGTCTCCCCTTTGAAAGAGAAAGACTTCCGGATAGAGGCCGACTGGGTGTGACGCAGATCACTTTTACATCGGGCTAATTGCTGAGCTGGCCGGAGAGGCTAAAAAAGGAAGAAAAAGGTAAGATCACTGAAAGCATAATTAGGCTAAGCGTGCTGAATGCAGAGCCAATGCTCCAAATCACCGGTACATTGTAGTCCCACGGTCCATGAGTGGATTCAGTGAGGTGAATTAGAGCATTGTATAGCGAACAATGAAACGTTGAGATAGAAATCAAAAGTTTGATGAGCTTTAAGCTGTAATGATAGTCCATCACATGAAACTAATGAACAGGAGGTAAAGTTACCAACGCCTACATCAATTGTTTAAAAATACCCTTGATTAACCGAAACCGATTCATCAACTGGGCGTAAACTAAAAGCCAGTTGATTTCAAGAAAACTGAAGTCTGACACCCTTCATATTTATGTAACACGTTGGTTGTTTGTTTAACTCTCATTTTTGGTAAGGGGCCACTTCAGGACTTTGCCTAGCGGCCTGGCCGTGCCAGTAGCCTCCCAGCCCTCCTGCAAGTCGACAATACATATTCTGTCCGCGTATTTTGTCTCCACTCGTCTTCACGGAAGTCTCGGAGAGCTATATTTATGCACGAAAATGCCACCCTGTGAAAAGTAGGTTTCGTGCAACCGATATTCCTCCAACACTTAGACGATATAAATATTCTAAAATATTGTTATAAAAAGCTCAAATCAAATAGAAACACAAGTAAACTGAGTTATCAAAAAATTGAATGAGCATTTGGAACAGTGAGCAAGTGCGTTGTCCAAAGGAAGATTGCGACTGGACGGAAAGAGGATTGTGAAAGACGACTTTGTGCATTTACGTACCCCTTCTTCAACTGAACCATTTAAATCATCGAATTATATATAGAGAACAACCAAATACAGTCCTTAATCAGTAAAGCCATAGCATGAAACTGAAAGAAGGTTCAGTAAGATGGGGGAAGCGGTAGCTACTAAAGGCACACAAATCACAAAAAAAGCGGATTTATGATTTCGTCACCAAAAAAAGCAACAAAAGACCTTTGTGATGTTGCCGAATTGGGTATCAACCAGCTTATAAATCGAAAGCAAAATGTGGATGAAGTTGAATCCTTCTTGCTTAGGATACAGACAGAGAGGGGTGTCTACGGTCTATGATGACAATGTAGGGGCGAGATTTTTGCAGGATGAGGGGGTTCGATAATAACCTAGGTAGAATACTGGACGGTGTCGAAATCGCAAAAGAGGGGAGGACGAATGAAAACAGTAAGTAGGCCTGCGATGCTAAGGTATATCATGTGTTTAAAAATATTTCGATTTTAGATAAGCGCTCTCAAGAAAAATGTTTGGCGAGCGAAATGACACCCGAACGAATGCTCACAACATTGACAAGCATTCAACCCACAAAAAAACCCTTTAATACAAATAGACTCAAAAATTTTACTGCTAGGATGAGCAGTCGCCCGAGAATCCTCGTTGTCATTTCGAAAAAAAAGATTTCAGCGATGAATGAGCAACAACAGCAAAATATATCACCTCACCTCATCGGCAGAGGGGAGAGAAATGGGTGTGAGAATCCCTCCGCCACCGCTGTCAACGTCCTGAGTGCCGAGTCGGCGGTTTTGTGGAGAGGAGGGCGAGGAGGGTTGGGAGCGGAGTTGGTGGAATGGCGAGGTAAAGGGGGCGCAGGATTTCACGTCGGCGATATAGGTGGCCACCACTGAGGCGGAGAGCGAGGCTCCCACTAGTTGGTTGAAGCTCGGCGCCACCGCCATGTCCACCACTCCGCCACCGCCGCGCCAGCCCACTTGTACTGTCTCCAAGCACGACATGGTCTCAAAGTGGTAGATCTGTATGGGGGAACGAAAAAGTGTAAGAAGGTTCCTTAATAACATTACCTGAATTTCTTCGAAAACAATTATCGCTAGCTGGGGTTAGGAGCGAAGACTTTTTATCAAATCACTCGCCTGTTATCCTGGGAAAAGAGAAGAGAATCATGAAGTCGTAGATTTAGAATTTACCTGATGGTAGACATTACTGGTTTGCAGAGAACCACAACAGTTGGCAAGATAGTCATTGCATCTACAGGGGTACGCTGTTTGTCATTTGGCTTTGCCAAGACAGGGCGATTCCTAAGGGATCCATTACAGCTCGAGGTGTCGAAAAAAGATCGCAAATATGTGTTGAGAAATGTTGAATGATATTACAAGTTAAGGAAGCTAATACTTTAAAAAGACGAAAATAAAGATGGAAAAGCACGAGGGGTATCGTTACGAAGCTACCGCCTTGAAGGTGGCAGAAATAGACTGAATGTCTACCCATTCAACGTTTTTTTCTTGTTTTACAGACCTGGGGAAATTGCAGCAGTGCATCAGAACATTTTAAATTGTTCGAAAATGTTTCTAAAATTACACGTATTAGTGATTACATTCCTCCTAAAATGTGGGACCATTTTCAATTCGAAAGAGGGATATAAAGAAATCATGATCACTCTCTGGATGGAATAGTAGGCACACATATATTAAGAAGCCTGGGGTCACTCAATATTCACAAAAACAGAATAAACTGCCTCCAAATTCTCAAAGGGAACAAGTAAATAAGAGAAAAGACCCAATGTATTGAAAGTGATAGACATGTCTGCATGTTTATTTCCAGTTAACGACTGGAAAACGTGAACAGACAGCATGAAAGCTCCCCCTAGCTAGATAGCAACGGATGCGAACTAATGCTTCGCAATATTTCCAAAGAGATATGCCTCAAAAATAGATAATTTCTGTGGACGTAAACACAAAGCTTTTAGGACCAATCGTCCCAAAGTTAGAATAAGGCGACCCCAGATATACAGGTGTCCAGTACTGTATTTTCAAGAGATTATTATTAATACTATTCGAAAGCATAAGCGCACCTTCGATAACATCAAAATACCTTGGGGGCAATGTGAAAGACAAAACTGATGTAATTAATATCAAGCTAAGCGATACATGCACGCAAAACCTAGAGGATAGATTAAAAGAAGGAATGTGTCCTAATGTGCACACGCTATTCCTCAACTCTTACACAAACAGATGTATTGGGGAAAATAAGTTAATCTAAGGCGACTAACGTCTTTTCTACGGAAAAAGGAACAGGAATGAAGACGGGGACGTAGAGGCAAAAAAATGTTTTGCCAGGATCCAGATTTTCCAATGACGGCGATAACTTGGAGAGAACTGAAAATTTTTGAGGACTGAAACAGTTCAAGGAGAATATTCTGAACCTCGGTGGCATCTGAAAGTTAGTAAAATGTACCTATTAGAAATACTCTTCTTTAACAAGCACAGTTCATTCTGAGAGCTTTACATGAAATCAAGGTTAGTGATTGGTTGGAATGGTTAAAAGAGGACGTAGCGAGTCCATCAAAAACCGAAGAGGTCAAGGAGACTGGAAGTCAAGGAACACTCTTCACGGAAGAAAGGCATTATGATGCATGATATTATAACTAAAAAATGATAAAGTGCAAACCTACAATACGAATAAGCCGTGTTTGAATCACGTTTAATTAATAAGGAAGTAAATACTCGACTTTAAATCAAAATGTGTAATTTTTGAAGATTATCGTATTTGATCACTACAAGTACCGAATTCAATGGGACGAGAAGGATCCACGTTAATATCGTGACGAAAGGGTGGGTACGCAACACGTTGACTTCGCCCCCGAAGTTGGTTTCCTCGATAACGATGATGGTCACACGAATTTATCAGTTGAAGATGCACCAATCACGATGGAATTGTTTCCGCTGAAATTATGGCTTTAAGTTGCCTGAATCAACTAGGGAGGAATGATGTTAAGTCCGTATAAAAACAGCAGAAATTCAGCAGTGATAGTGAAGTCAGTTACCAAAGAGAGAATGGGTTAGCAAAGAACCTTGAACTATTTGACATAATGTTTCCTTTAAGTTACGATGACACCTTCATCCAAAGTCCAGTTCTCAAAATAGTTGTAATGAACCGAAGAGGACGTTCTAGAGCTTGACGAAAAATAAATATATGAAAAATGGTGATGTTAAAACATATGCTCATAAAAAAAGATCCTTTTAACAAAAATAAACAAGGGGAGTCCTTAACCTTAAACTAAGCGCCGGTGTGTAAATCTTAATTCATCCACTCATTGATGCACTCTTCTTTATCATTAGCGGATCACAATGCGACGGTGATTCAATGAGAATGGTGTAAGCCCACCAAAAATAGAGTGATGGTGATGAAGAGAGGATGCAAAGTCAAATCAACCGCTGGTTGCTGAGTAACTGAGTACCCAGAAAGAAATAGAGTCATACAATTGCGGAACTTGAATTTTTTGGTGATAGGAACGTTAAAACACCGGGAAAAATCGAAACGGCTGCTAATATTTACCGGAAGGAAGTATCAATGCAGCAGCTAGAATGTGCATAGGGAGTAGGCGGTGAGAGCAGTAGAATTTAGGCTTTTGAATGGCTAGAATAACTCTAAAAAAAAATAATGGTAAGTTTGTATTAAATCCAGATTCCAGCTAAAGGAAAAGATCAGAAACGATACTTTAGGACTTGAGTGAGCTAAAGCATAAATGCATATCAAAAGTAACCTGTTTTTCAGAACAGTACTAATTACAGCGTATCAACTCAGGCTAAAATCTCGACTATAAGCACATGAACTGATTTGGGAAAGATAACAGGCGTATAAAAAATCATCATGGGAATTGAGTGACACCAGTAAAGCCCCCAACCTACTAGAGTGGATCGATAGAGGGAGGAGGGGAGAGAGGGAAACAAGTGAAAAGAAAGGCACGTAATGGTACAAACCTTGAGTTGTTCGGTTGTAGCGACGTAGAGGCACTGGCCCTCTGGATGGAAGGCAATGCGTCGGACTGCGGAGGCGGCTAGTTCGATGCCGGAGACGGAGACCTGGGTGAAGGTCTCAAGGTCGAACACCCTCACAGTCCGATCAGCAGAGGCCGAAGCCAGCAACAGTACGGTAGGGTGGTAAGCGATACTCGTCACCGGTGCTGTGTGACAAGAGAGCTCCGCCAACTGTTTGCCTGCCACTAGATCCCATACCTGCACAGGGGTTAATGAGAAAATGGTGATATTCGAGATAAAAAAAGGGAGTTTTAATTTTTATACGCGCGTATAAAAAGGCATAACACTGTGTTGGTATTACAAATAGCAGCAAGTGCCAAGTGTGCACTATCACGAATAGCCGACGCACATTTCGTGAATCAATGCAGTCCAGATACCGTCAGTTAAGATGGAAGACAGATTGCGTTGATGGGACACGCCAGTAAGATATTTGAATGGTGAAGCATTTAAAGGGACGGCTGTGCAACTATACTTTAAGATCCCAATATGATATCCACATCACAGCAATCAAACTAATGAACACGAACCCAGCGCAAAAAGTGGATGATCGACGCATAGCCTGACGTAAAATTACACAGGAAACGCCATGCACGATACAATCATTAACTAAAGTTTGTAACTGAGACCGCTAGACGCACGTTGGATACTAAGATAACAGGCCGTCCCAGGATGGTTCAGCATACTGATAAATCTACGTCTGAGGCGTATTCTAGATATTATTTAAACGTTGGAATGAGCGTATAAATGTATATTCAAGGAGTAATGTCAAAAAGGCATGATTTACAAAAAATCCATGGTCCCCTGAAAATCATTTTTTTCCACCTTCGATGTAAGGGAAAATCCCTGGCCGACTTGAACATCAGTCTTATACATGAATGCTTTGCAATTTTACATAAATTGTAATTACTATCCATCCAGTTTACACAAATAAAATTCAAAAGGATATACTTTTTTCCTGAAAAATGTTTTAAATACAGGGGAGGGAATGGCGGAGGAGAAAATTGACTTCAACAGAAAGTAAGTTTAAGAATGAAATAACCGGGAGGGGATCCTTCAAGCACTGGCGGAGCGTGCTTGTTAGAATTTCCCCGTAATGACATTCTTAACCTTGAAGGGAAAAAACCGACGAAGAAATCGCTTCGGCTAAAACTGGGCTTCTAAGCCAGTTAAACTGGTATGGGAACTGTAATGTGAGCCCATCGAGCACGTTCACGGCAGCTGAGCAGACCGAAAACAGTAAGAGAATGGCATGTGCAACGGTCTTCCTTCTCTAAAGACTAATCCGCGAAGGGTCCTAACAACTAACGCCTTTGAAACACCAATCTTCTCAAAGAGATCATTTGAAAAACCCGACAATGAGGCTAGAGTCCTCCATTCCCTATCAACCGCACTAACTCATTAGTCAAAGGAGCTAGTGCGGCGAGGCGTAAATAATGATTGTTGGAATATTCACATTACAATATCTAATCCTTTTCAAACGCGACAATATAGGCCTGGAAATTCTAGTTTTATGCAAAATTTAACCCTAGACACCGTTGCTACTTTTTACTACCCATTTGTCTGGTTAGCATATGATGGCCTAGCACTAATGTCCGAAAAAAGTGGAATACGAAGGACGAGGAAGTACCTTTGTACAACGAAGTACTGCATGCCTCAAAAATTTGATATGAGTGGCGAGTAAAATGACAGATACAAAATTCATTCTTCATCACAACACCTCCCCAACGGCGCGTTATTACAAGGTGAAGTAAGTAAAGGACAAGTTGAGAGTCTTAGAAACTTACTGCCATCTACCGTTAGCTCAAGCCATGTGGCAACCATTCGCTCGGCTTCGGCGACTTTCTCAAGTAATGTAGGTGAACAAGGACAATTTCATCATTCACGACAAACATTACCGAAAGTTGTTCTTGGTACGTTAATCTCGATTTAACGTGCCAATAACGTAACACATCAAGGGATTAGTTACGTCGCGCCACCGCACACCACGTCTTGTAATAGAAAATTCAGCAGATTGGCAACCAAATTCGACTTAATCAGCAAAACATACAAGCTTGCATAAAATTCACCAAAAATGAGGGCTTAAGATGAGACGAAACTAACATGATGGACACCGGAGTACCCTACTGCTTGGCTGATGCAGGAACACAGTCGCGTGCACTTTACAAGGCCGACACCTACAGCAAGTCACTACAGCAAGAACTTTCTTGACCACCTGACAATAGCGATCTGTTGTCAACGCTTATTTAGATCACTGAAACAAAGCAGATCCACTTCAAATCTTAGCCGCATTTTCAGCCAAATGGTTAAAGCTCCTCTACAGCCATGGAATTTGCCGCAAAATGCGGCAACCTTGAGGGACTTTTCCGTAAATGAAACTGCGGAATGTACTTTTGTACGACAGCATAAATACCAGGCCATATTGCAGCCTATTAGTACTTCAGATGGGCAAGTGACAAAAATTATAGCATAAATTTAGAACTAACAAGATGATAAACGAGTGACGAACTGCCAAACACAGATACAACGCATTGTCTGTATGTACCTGCTTTAAGCAAGGTGAGAAAATATTTGATCCTATGAAGAAACCAAAGGAACGACAATTATTTTCCTCAAAAAACCGTAATCCGTCTGCAATTCTTAAATTGGATTGAGACATTGCAAAGTTAGACGGTCAGCCAAATAACCAGCTGTAAAACTACGCTATTCACAACTTGATATATGTTAAACAGGGCCCTTTTCAAAAACAAGTGAATGGTGAGGATTAGCCAAAACCGTTCAGGTGCGTGTCAATACAATGGTTAAAAAGTTGCCAGGAGCGACTGGAAACGCGTCAGCTGTGTTTGTGAACAAATTTAACTGCATCAAAGGCAAGGGACCGTAAGTTATTGGGGAAGGTGAAAAAGTAGGCAGCAAAACGGGTATTCCAAATACCACTTGAGAGGAATCATTAAGGATTTAGACTAGAGAGAGGGCAATAACAATCTGTACGAATGAGGAAACAGGGGTGGGAAAATTTGCCATAATTTCTAGGAAAGAAGGGTTGGGCAAGATTAATGGTGAAAAATCCCCACTAGCATACTGGCGTTGGAGTCATTCAATCCGTCATCTCACCAACTCATAAGATCGAAACCGAGAGTGAACAAGCAGCTATACCGCTGGAGTTTATTCGTCAAAGTCCAAAAAAGACAGCCGGATATAATGAAAAAGAAGTATGATGTTTGTTTTGAACACCACTGAGAAACCACATCTGGCAAAAATTGCACCAAAATGTGATTTATTGTGTTTACATGCTCCATTACACAGGCCTTTCCAGTCTCTCACGATTCAACTACCCAAAAAAATGCCCATATAAATAGGATGGTCGGTATTTATAAGCACTCGAATTAACCCTGAGGACGTTAGTAGACATTGGAGTCTGAAAGTGGCCTTGTTACAATCACAAACGATTGATGCAAGATTGGCAACATAGGAGAGGCTAAAATGACTCACGAAACCGTATATAAAACCAGTTAATTTTATTTCACCACAAAATGAATCATGTAAAGGCCAGATGGACTAGCGATTTGCGCAGCGAAATAACTTTAGAGTCAATGATGAAAACTCCATTTGACAAACAGCACTGGCATATAAAACAAAGAGAATGAACACACGTGGATTACAGCAAATATTTGAAAGAGGAAGTGATACTTACCTTAACATGACCATCATCACCAGCAGAAACAACCCAATTTCCATCGGGAGAGAAACGGACCATGTTCACACAGCCGGTGTGCCCTCGAAAGGTGTTGATGCAGCCCTTCCGCGACACATCCCACAACTTGAACGAGAGTCAAAAGAGAACAGAAAACATCGCCAGCACTTTAAAGATCACTAACAGTCTCAATTCGGGATTGCTAAAATGAGTTGCAACCGCAAGTTACACAGTAAATCAGCATTGAACACGTTTATCAACAGCGTCACATCTACGCGACACACATTTCTCATCAGTTTGTTATAACTGATTATATCGAATTATGTCAGAAATAGACCGGTAAAATAGAGGTATAATGTTCTTGGATTAGAAGGAAATTAAGTTCATTTTTAGTTTTAGAGCAGCAGAACTCTAGATAGGCTATTTTTTGCGGGTAGTAGTGGTAGATTTCTCTCAGAGACCTTGGTGGTGTATATTTCAATGTCCTGCGGAATCAAGATTCAGCTTGTTCTCATTTTTACTTTGTGGTAAGTTTTACGTAGAGGTGAAAGGAGTGTGTCGAAGGAGAATGCGTATCTGAAGTGACAAACAGTGATATCTCAAAAAGCCAACCTCGTAAACATTTTCTTTGTAAATAGAGGGGTACGTGTGGCAAAACTTATAAAATGTTATTTCAGTTTTTAATCAAAGATAAATAACTTTAATTTCAAGCTAGACAGCGTCAAGCAGACCATGGCTAGAATGTTCCAAAAACGCTTCGCCAAAGAGCCAGGAGTAAATGAATGCTAGAATTGAAAGAATAACAGAGGTGGAAGAGTACCTTGACAGTCGAATCTGCTGATCCCGATGTGATAAAGTTTCCATGAGGGTGAAAATCCAACGACTGTACAGAAGCGGTGTGCCCTGAAAGCGCGCGAGCCACTGAATCAAAGAAAGACGTGAGTTAGAGGGGCTGAAGTAGAATACTTGCTTCAATTATCCACGTAATTACGCGGGTCTATTCGGCCTTCCGTGATCGGGCAACCGCGCTAGTGACATGATGTATCGAATTCCAACGAAATGAGGTTACATTGAGGGAACCTCAAAAGAACGACAATTAGTCTTCTCGACAGCTAGATACCACAGCGAGGTGTCATAGGAGGCATCCACTGTGGACAAAGATCGTAGAGTTTCAAAACGAAATTGCTATCGACACCGCGCCATCTGAGGGGAAATGCCCCAATTTTGGGTTCTGTATAATAGGTAGTACTGTAACTACCAGGTCAGCATGTACCAAAATCGCCCTTGAAGCACCACCTACGTTATGACTAAAGAGGCAGTGATTTATATTCGTACTCCAATAATACATCATCGACAATTTTTTCGACAAACACTTCCATGAAAAACGATTGGCATATGAAAAGCGGTAGCTGTAGAACACCAACTAGTCGACTAAATCACCCCCTGACACAGGTTGTCCAACAGAAATAGTTAATTTAGGAACTTGACTTGCACTACAACTGACAAAACCGGAGCCACTCTTTTTACAAACCAAATTCGCAATATTATTGAAATTTTAACCCTAGGATTGATTGACCTGTGGCATTCAAAGAAGAACGGTGACAATAAAGAGCATCAGAAACGACACTCAAAACAAGTAAGAAGTATGAATGACATTTGTTTAGATTGTACATACGACTAAGCAACCTTTTCGACCCCCTGCCTTTTAGGACGGAATTATGCACATATCCTGGATGGTGCTAATCCTTTAGCCCCATCGTTCACCAATTATAAAGCGTCTGATAGTCTCGTACCTAACAATATCCTTTAGGGTAACTCAAGGGTTATACGGTGAGGGAAGATAAAACGGAAATCTATGCAAATCATTAGACTGAACAGAAAGCTCGTGCTGACTAAAACCAGTGAAAGAGGCAGAGAGGGGAAAGGGAAAAGTGAGCCTACACTTGGCTTCCTCCAGATCCCAAATACGAATGGAGCCGGAGAGGGAGCCGGCGGCCACGCAGTCCTCGTCAGGACTGAATTGGGCGGCGTCAACGGAGGAGGTATGCCCAGAGAGGCTCATTATGCATGTTGGTTTACCCACTGCCCACAGTTTCACTCGTCGATCCTCCCCACCCGTGGCCATCACCCGCGCCGACTTTCGGCCCAGTGCCAAGGTGGTCACTGCGCCTGGAACATGCGCCACGAACTCCTCTGCATTTGAGTGTAAAACAGCGCAATTACTTATCTAAGTTAGAAGAGCGTTATTGAGCAAAAGCAAACAAGGGCCTGGATGCTTTGGATAAGCAAGATAGGTAATACACCCTTTTCAAATATCCACTAGCACATCAACTCATTACTTCGTTGAAAGCACGATCTTATCTTTGGAAACTATTTTGCTATGAACGAAACATGTTCACTAAATGATAATCACAAAACACTAACAGATAAGTTCAAATAAGTCATATGTAGTTTGGATAACCATAACCTCGTGATATTTGATGTGCATTCGACTCAACATGAACAATTATTTTGCATCAAGGCATACGCACTTTTGGCTAACGAAGACAGTAAAAGTATCGAAAATACCGAGGGGTTTCTGGGTCGAACGAAATGGTGATCTTTTACGGAAGCCACTACAGGAAACCCCAACAACACATACTCAATTCTGTAAGTACAACCAATTCACTATGAGAGCATATTTCACACAAAAAAATATCCAACGCACTCATCTCTGTGTCAAAAATAACAGTCATGCCCGTTAAACATTAACCGTTTAATGTTAATTGATGCATCAAATTAAGCCACAGATGGTCCGGATATGTAAACCATTACAAGAACTGACTATAACTGCACCTGTGACGCTGTTTATGAAAATGACAGTAAGCTGGGACGAATTTTTTCCCAGTAGTTTGTTATAATTCCCTTGTTCAAAAAAAGGTTTTAAAATAAAACAGCCTTGCCTATCAGATAATCGTTCAACGGGGACGGGTAGATCAAACAGTCACGAGCGATTATACAATAGTACCCTTATAATTTCCAATCGGAAACTAACTTACATCACAGCCGCTAGGTCGTGACCATGAAGCCTAAAACGAGTGGAAAAAAATTTGCAAAACATTTCCGTTTCTCTAAAAATTGTCCAGATTTCTGAGGATCAAGTCGCAGTATTTTGGGAAGGTTTCTGAGCGAAAGGAGTTACGAAAGTGGAATTTAAGACGGCAAAACTACATTTCGGGTTTCCAAAACCATTTCGCATACATATTGTCATAAATTAAAAAGTAAATCGAAGAGATGAACACGATTTGACTCTGGGCACTGGGTATATTTATTGGCAATGCCGAGAAATAAGCATACATGCCATCTAGTACAGTATAAAGTCGCAAGTCTTCGATTCTTATTCTAAAACTCAATTTTCTTACGCTGTGACAATACATATAATGGCTTTTAGGGTGTTGGCTGAATAACAGGCTTTAGAGTTACTTAAAAAGTGGGAGTTTTATACCGTTCATGAAATCATCAACTTTTAAGATAAAGTCGATAGTCCCACAAAAACATTTGTAAAATTCGCGCAAATAAACCAGATTCTGAACGAAATCTTAACACAAATCCCAAGTAAGGTACGCAAATGCTGAGGCAAAACAGACGTTTTTGGACATAAAACTGACAAGCTTACGGAATTTCCAGGCCTTTCTCTGCATAACCAAATCCGCACCAAACAAATTCCGATTGTAGCGGGTGAGGAAAATACTGCAACAAACACTTTTCAAGGTAATCAGAAGTGGAAAATTACTTTACAGGAATCTTTTTCATTGAAAAGGAATCGCTATGGACTTTTTTGCATCATTCACTTTGACAGTGCTTTTTAGGATAGCATGATTGCTAACCCAAAGGGCAACCGTTAAAATTACTTGTGACCCATCTGTGCATTATTCGTTATTTCATTGAACCCCCCCACCGTATGTACTAACGGGACAGCCCTACAACTATTACAGACTTTGATCTCACATGTGAATTATCGTGGTGTTCATCCGCATCTATGCCAATTGCCTAAATTAGGTTATTTTGGTGAAATCATTTTTGCCTGTGTATATGATGAAAACCGGACTCTTTTGATTTTACTTTAGAACTAGCTGTAGCGTCCCAGGACTGCCCTGAAGACAAAAGAAGACACAGTACTCGGGCAGAATATATATTCAGCACAGAGAAGGTGGCTGGGCTATTGGCATGGCCCGAAGGCCAGCCCACCCAGCGAGGTACAAGACGGCTAATTCAAAAGTACACAAGTGGTGCCTCACAAATGCCGAGGGATAAACCACCATTGCATCACATAGCATCTGACCCAATTAAAATAATCTCAGTTGCTTCTTATATTCATACCGATTTAGTGACTTAGGTACACTTATTCTTAAGGCGGGACTCGCAGGTCTTCTCTTCCCTGTTCCCAGTGCTCTTAGAACAACCAAGTGGACTTAATTTCGACATATTTATTAGAGGGAAATGGATCGGGAGAACAAATGCAATGTTTAGGGAGGGGAGGCAGCGCAATCACACTCCGGCAAGGGAGACGGAGACCCTGTCACCAGATCTGAATTACAACCTTCCCTCCTCCCTGAAAGGCACATATTCTCTAGTATCGGTAATTTAAACTTTTAAAACTAAAACAATGAACTACAGCCAGTGACAGTATGATAGTCGTGTAAACGGTTTATCTTGGTGCATTGCATCCCTCAGTAAATAATTGTTGTCTTCTAACAACAATACTTTAGTGAAATTCTCTTAAGGCTGAAGTTAAAGCCAAGTAAATTGTATTTCGCAGTAAAATTTAATTAATTTTTATGGTGGCAAAAACTTCTAAGATAACTAGTCTGCGAAATTCGATAAGGACGAAAGCCTATAGCAATGAGATTACATCGCTGTATCCGCTGATGTTGCCTGATGAAATGCCAACAGCATATGCGTTGGCTCGCAAAGGAATGCCATAATACCCATTGCCTCCCTACCTCTAAGCACACACTGGTCATTAAAAGCCCATCAAACTGTGGGCAATAGAGAAGCCGGCGGGGCAGGTAAAATCAGAGGGCTGTTGGAGTAAATAGTACACAGTAGCAGATAGTTTAGCTAAAGGTGGGTGGGAGAAGCATTTATTTTTTTGCTCAGACTCAGCACGTACTCAGATTCTGAGGCTATATCCACTCAGTCTGGCAAAGAAAGTCGTGCTTGACTGTAAAGCCCTACCACAATAAATCAACAGCTATACTGCAATATGCACAGAAGTGCTGTTGGCACAACTTTTGGCTAACATATCCCAGGGATCACTTGGTCAGAATATGTGAGTACCTCGTCTAACATGCTTTTGTGGGAATGGTTTCCTTTGTCGTTGGAGCCACTACAAATACGACTTTAACCGATCCACATTCGCTAGAATGGTACAGGCAAGCATCCAACTAACAGCGATTTTTGATTACTAGAATATTTGTGTAGGCATATAAATTCACACAGATTCAATACAAAAAGAAAGAAGGAACATCAGATGTTACTTCTGACATAGCAACGTATCAGACAGATGGAAGGGAAAACAAAGATTTAATCCAATCTTGGAACAATTGTTTGCGTGGTACACCAGACTCCATGCATGCACAAAGGTTTGGCTAGGCGGACGCTTTAATGCCGGTCAAACCTTATCCCAAGCTTCTGTAAACATCTCCCCATAAAAAAAAGGTCTCATTGAATGCATGAATCTGAATAGCGTTAAATATTTTTTGGATGACCATAATAGTTTATCGGTGTACATAGATTTGGTGCCAGAATTTATTTATGTACTACTTACTAAAGTATTAAGTAATGGCCATCGTTTTTACTCATTGTAACTAGGTCTCTCCTATCATGAGTTGCCTCAGTAATGCAAAAAGATTGTCAATAAGGTAGTTTTTAACTTCTGCAAAACTCAAAACAATAGTAAGTAAAACACCCTCGAAAGCCCTAACGCATCCATGTTTTTTGTGCCACAAAACCACCTGGCACCGGCAACGTAGGAAAGAGATGTACCGCGTGGCCCGAATGGCTGCTTTTGCCTACTCCCATTTTTATGCTTTGAAACACCGACTGTACTTGCATTGAGCCATCCGTCTCCCTCCTTTTCTGGTGGCTTACTGATTTTACGCGGTCGAATGAATTAAGTTAATGTTTTGAGGAATTATGGGTTTGTTAAGGTGGCGAAACAGGAGTTGTAGTAGGTTGAAAAGTATATTAAAAACAGTAGATAAAAATGATTATCTTGATCCTGGCCACCAGACGCGTCACATGAAGGCGTGATAATGCTCATTTTACTGGATTCGCCGTTGTGGGATTAACAACCTATCTTCAGTTCAAAAAGTCACGTTGTTACCTCAGTCTTGGCATACATTTGAGGATTTAACCTAGTTAAAGTAACCGGAGGGGCAAACATTGCACACACGACGCTGGTAACCGACTCATTCGCAATCCTGACCCAAAGTGGTTAAAGGCACTTTACTTAGTAAAGGCACGGTGTCAAGGTCCCTTGCCCAATTCATTTCCTCAATAATTTCTCTCTTCATCCTTCAGCAGGCAGCTTGGGTTCGTGCATGTGGCATTGGTAACAAGGAGGTTTGAGGATTTCTTTTTCTCTTACCATCCTGTTAAAAGCATAAAGAAAAAGTCCTTTTAATTTTCATACCGATGGAAGTCAATTTTCTGAATGCTAAACACAATTTTAAATATTTGTTCTCCTAGAAATTGCTTCTCTCCCACACAAAAGCCAATGACCAAAATCATTTTTGTGGGAAGCTCAGAAAAATAGAATGTAATGGGAGTTTAAACCCCCTCTCTCTCCCCTTGGCGCCACTCAGCCAACAGTAAGCACTGACGTCGGCCAGTGAGAGGAGATGGGTAGGAAGCCGCACAAAACAGAGGACTTTATTAACTCCTCAAGTTGAGCAATGCAGTAAGCTCGGCACAATCTCTGCTTTGGCGAAAGAGATTGCAACTCTATTTTCGTCCATTTTCTCCTTGCGTGTCTGTAGAAGGGATTTGCTTCTTATTTAGAATTATTTGTACCATTTCTGGACTTCCTGTGAAACAAGCCTAGCAGAAGCAATAAAAACTACTGTTTGAAATTCCGTGATTACACAATGCGACCAGCAATTGAAATGACATGGACACCTAAGTTGTTACCTCTAGGTGCGCATTAGAGCTACCCCGGGGGGGGTGAGCTATGAAACATTAATAAGTGATGAAGGAAATTCCTTTCACCACCGCTTCGTGTGCACAAAAAACAGAATTTTAGAATTATTCTGATTCTCATTTCGAATAAGTTGTTTTTGTATGTAGGGTAAATAAAGGTGGTTGGAATTCCGTGAACCGCCTGATGGCTCATGGTTCGCCAAATGGTGCCTTTGAATTAATTCGTACTGCCTTGCAAAAGTTCGAAGTTCCCTTTAATGGGTTGGCTAAATTTTAGACATGAAGTTATTTCTGAGTGATTTTCTGGATGTCTTTTCTCCTCTACTTTTAAGCAGAGAAGCTGTACATAATAACAGTGCGACTTCCCTACCTCAGGCAGGTGTCAAACATGTGGCGTGTGATCCTGATCAGTTTGGATTGAATAGTTGCGCCAAATCGTATCGCGTACAGTTTGGTTGAGTTGGAAAGAGTAAGAAACACTGAAGTAGGGCATTTTCTTCCCAAAAGCAATTGCCTATGTTTCGTTTATGAGTGGCTGTTGAAGCGATCGGTCCAATCGTGCAATCAATGGTGCCACTTTCAAATAGGAGAAGACCATCGTGACTGCTACGACCGTAGCCTTGAAGTCCTGGCAGGGGATGTGAGTAGATGCTAACAGGTAAAAGCCGAGATGAAGAAATGCACAGCTGAAATGTTACTTTCTCATTGTAGTAAATAATATCTTCTCCAATGAAAGACGGGTAAAACCCAGTGCAGATGGACAATCGGAGTGCCCTACTCTTGAAAATGAGTAAAAACACCAAGAAGTAGGCATGTTAAGCCATCCTACTTCATAGATTTGCTTCGTGCAAATGCTCAGCTTCACAATGGCACTTTAAATGCTGCTGTTTAAATTGCTGACACAATGACGTCTCTGCTTAATGGCAGATACACCTTGACAGAACAACATTGTCCCAAGTGCTACCCAATTCATCAACGACTCTCCATAACCATTGCACCATCACTATTTAGAATGGTCAAATACGTATTACAATTAAGCAGTGAATCAAAAAGATGAGATAGCCCTTTTTGCTACAAAGAATGCCCTTGATGCTTAAAAACACCATGTTAAAGCACGAAATATTTGAACTTTTACCCATTTTCGGCGCACCGAAAGTACTTTTGACATTTTGATTCTGACATTTAATTAATTCATCCACAATTCTAGTTTAAAAATCTCGCAGTATTTAGCGCTCACATTGCAACCATCTTGTCTTCCAAGGGTGAAAAGGAAGTAGTTGCAGCACAATTTGCCTTGGGGAGAAAGAGAATATTGTCAATTCCTCCCGGATTTGAAGAATGTTTCGATTAGGCAAAATTACAAGTGAAAATGTTGTTTTTGTATTCCACAATCTACATGAGGGACCGTTTCTTTTTTAGTGAAAAAGGTCAATCTTATTCTCAATTCTAGCATGCTGCCGTCTAAAAACACGCAAATTTGCACGCAAATCCGCGCATCTCTAGAGGGAGGGCGATTGTTCCCGACTCCGGAGGGGAAACACGGCTGCTGCAGAACAGCTGACCTTTGAACATGTGCACGGTTGGCTTGACAGACCATTACATAACAGATGGAAAACCAAGGTGTGGTGAAAAAACGGGGAGTTCCTTAAAATGTCAGTGTTATGTAACCTTGGCATTTCAAAAACTGGCATTACTCTGTTAAAATGTTAATGGTTTCAATAACCTAACGGTACTTTCTGATGGAGTACAACTTAAATTTAGCAGAACGGGAAGGAAGTTTTGAATATGAATAACAATTGTACGCCTGGCAACAATAAAGCTTAGTATTTCTAAAAAAACGACTTATGAATATTTTACTTACCTTTAACAAAGCAAATCCATTTGAAATCGTATTAAATTTTGAACATCAGATGCTAGTACCGTCTTCTATCGGGAATGAAGTTCCACCAACAACAATGGCGGAAGTCTGGCAGTGACCATTAATTTTTCGTTTCTATTAGGCACTCTTAATGCAACAAAAGCGAGGTACGTTGGCAATAGTCGTTGTAATCTTTAGACACAGGAAATGCGCCTAGTTGATGAGAGAGTTACCCTACGGCGCCCTGCCTTCAACGAGGGAAGATCATATTAGCAAATTCACTTTAAAATAAAAAATATTAGGACAAATGAGGAAAAAGGGAAGTGAATGATAACGGCAGTAATTATGTCGTAGGCGTCCTGGTAAAACACTTTGTTCCCGAACAAAGCATGTTCACTTCAGCAAAGGGTGGTATTGATGTGAGTGAAGTGGGACCTGGTCACTTGACAAGAGTGTTTGGCCGCTGGCCCTTGGGGGATAATGGACCACATGCCTTCCTTTTGTTTGCCAAGGTGACCAGTGAAGAACGGTGGGTTCGCCACACCGTGGTCGGATATAACCGGGCGAAGAATTTTCCCAAGCGTATTCTCTGTGGGCTCCGGCTTAAGATATCTATTGCCAACGCCTAAAACAATTAATCTGTCCATATAAAAAGTTATTTTCGTGCTCTATGTGATCTAGTTGAGGTAATATTTATGCGTCTCTTGAATTTTCTTTTTAAAATAAAAACAAAATGAGCATCGAAATTCTCCGGGTATATCAGTCCAAAAATAATGTCTCACAACGTCAAAGTAGTCACATTTTCCAAAGCACCTCCAAAAAGCCTAGCCAGATTCCATTATTTCCAGTGTTTCATGGATTTTTATGTGGAAACCCACAATAAAAATTATATTTGAAAGTAACAAATGCCTGGCGTAAAATAGACATGCAAGTATGATCTACTTTTATGCTGTCAAAATTGATTAAAGATACATTCCGATGGCTACCTCTCGACCTGGTTAATCAAAACTGGTAATGAAAAACTCCTCCGGATTTGACCGGAAACAGATAGGCATGCAGAACAGTGCACTTTCAACGCTCTTCCTCTTCGCTTAACGAAGTGCAATTCAAATCGAGGTTACCAGAAAGAATATTGCATTTTCGCCCTAAGGAATGCGTTAGAACAGTAGACACTAGCTGAAAGGAGTGGTGAGGGGAAAACCTTGCGATTCGATCATTACTGCTCTGGCTGCCGCGCCTCCAATTAATTGAGAGCGTCCCATTTGTTGTTAAAAGAAGGTGAAGATGTAAGGTCTAGACATTTTTTTTCAACTTCATTGCCACCAACTGGGAAGCGGTTTGAGAGCTTTGAAGCACGGGGATTCCAATTATACTTCGTCGACGAGAATAACTCTCAATGTTAGCTAGTTTCGCAGCATCAACAGCTCTTACGTCAATCCATGAAAGGGCCTGTAACTTAACATTTATAAACGAACTCAGTTAGTAGTTTCCAACTGCTATTTTCAAAAGGTAGACGAGTTCGTACCACGTATTTGATAGATACATTTGGACTCATGAAGGCTTGTGAGAAGTATGATATCACAGATTGGATCTGCGGCTAGAGTTTACGTCTTCGATGAGGCGAAATTCGGAACGGTGCAAAGCATGGCGATGTAATTAGAAAAAAATGGCACTATGCACACGGCAGCTGTGCATTCCATGTTGCAATGTAAACAGCATGGATAGCGTGAGTGGGGTTGAAGATGGGGAAAGTTCACACAAGTGGCATTAAATCACAGTCAGCCTGTGTGGACCGGTAGAGGGTGCGAGAGAAGTAATTTTTCATGCGGCGATGGCGGGCTAAATTCTTGTGGCGCTGCCCTCCATCCAACTTTTCCCCATTCCACATACACACAACCTCTCGCTCTCATCCCATCTCCTCTCGTGATGCACGCCACTCGTAACACGCCCCCAGTTGACCAATGGCAGCGCGGCCGCCAATTGGGAGAGTGATTTGTTCTGTCCCGCGCGTGGCTGTGTGTGAGAGGGCGGACGCACAAGCACATGCACACATACTCAGTGACCCACGGCGAGTGAGCGGAGATGTTTCTCGCACCGGACGGGGTGAAGCCGTTCGATCTGTCACTGGGCTGTGTCTTCGGTTCCGGCCTCCAACCCGGACAGTCGGACAATCTCCTATTGAATCGCCTCCTTTATCTGGCGGCCACTGGCTATGGACTGAGGGTGTGTGACCTCCCACGTTGAATAAAATATCTCCTTTAGGCTGACTTCAAAAATACTTATTAATCAATACATTATATGAGGATTTAAAATACTGCCTCATTCATCAGGTTTTTTATGGTCGTTGTCACAAATATCGTCAAAATGGCAGTGTTCAGCGTTCTACTATTAACTTTTCAACTATACAACTGATTTTTGAGTTTAAGGGGAGGAGAGAGAATGAATCGTAAAATTTAGCAACTTATTTTTATTCATATCGGAATGAGTTGCTTTACTCGCGAACGCCAACTTTTTGTGCACTAGAGGTCACCTTGTTTTTTGTCGTAGGCTCTGTTTACTCTCTACCGCCTTCGTTTAACCATAAAAGTACGGCACGGCCTTTTTGAGTAGTGGTAGATAGTAGTTTTATTTCACACAGCGCAATCAAGTGAACAAAAAGGTCAGTACCAAAGCTTCTTTAGCTTGGAATTTAACGAAATGTTTTTTTTTAAAAAAAAATCAGCAGAGCGCCTAATTGTGCGTTTTAGCACCACCTTTAATCTGACAAAATTTTGACTGAATTTGCTTGCTATTTTTCTCCGTAAATTTTACCGTATCCATGATGACAAGATGGAACTACATAAGCAATTTCATTGAGGACACATTGAAGTTGAGTCCATAAAGACATCCGAACACTTTATTATTATTCACATTTGACACTATAGTCACAGTATTGAGTTCACTCCACTGGGGTTTACTGGATTATCACCTCGTAATCTGACGGAAGATTTTATCATTCCATCAAATGCACGGCTTTTAACGCAGTCGGCGTTTGAGAGTAAATTAATTTACACTTTTCGCTGCAAATGGATGAAAAATCGCAGATCATATCAACTAGACTGTGGGGCTCACTCTACTTACCTAAGTTTTAGACCTCAGTTTTATTTGAGGTTTAAGACCGCTTTCGTTTTATCTCTACTAATGGCCAAACGGCGAACTATTTCGCGACTGTGCCGACAAAAAGTAAAATTAGAGTAGCCTCCATTCTCTTGCATTTCAGAAACGAAGTTTCAACACCACGAGTGAAACCCTTAGTGTCTCCTCCAAAAGGGTAAGTCGTGTGCTTACTTGCTTGCTTTTTCTTCCCCATTTACACAGAAATTCAAAGACCATTAATCTGATTGATGAAACTCGCTCTTCTTCCTCTCCTTTCCGAGTGAAACTGGCAAGCTATCTCGTCTCTCAATGCTAATCTGAGTGTTTTGACAGCTGGTGAAAAGGCGCCTTTTGGGTGCGTGTATGTGACCTTAACTGAGCATAGCCTTGAAGGTGGCCTGAGGCTATACTCCAGTCGAAGGAATGAATCACATCCTAGAGGAAGACGTCGAATCATCCGCTTTTGTGTCTACGCGTTAATAATGTTGGTAAACTGTTTCCATACGGCTGAACCGGCAAATGCCGCATATCAGCGTCTCGAATCGGTGCGATAGCTTTCATTTTCGAAAAAGGAAACAGTAAAATAGCGGTTCAAAATTGGACCTAATACATAATGTCTAAACCGTTAGAGCTGCTGTACTCTTAAAATGCCGAATGTGGAGGCGACTGAAATCACCAGCGATATTTACAAACTAATTTCACTTTGAGATTGACACCAACAGAGTGAGGCCTTAACCAGTCTCTATCTTGGACGAATCAGTAAGATAAGTCTTGTTTTCATAGCCCTGTGGTGATACCCATGAATAAAATAAAGTTGAGAATGTGTGTGTGGCCAGTTTAAGTGTCTTTAGGGATGGCAATAAGTCCTGTCAGTCTGAGAGTTTAAGACGCAGACGACACGGTGATTTTCCTCACCACTGTCTTCAGTCGGTAGTATCACCATTAATCCCTCTGCACCAGCTCCGCCCAGAAATTGTGATTCTGAATTCTGGATTGGCTGTACGGAAGAACACTTAAAATTGTTCATTTTTTTCAGACTTATTGGGAGAAATGTTGCTTCTTACCCTAAAATTCACTATTCAAAGGACTTGCCTGGAAAGCTAAATGTTAAATTAATAGCGTCCAACGAAATTACATGCCAGCCTTGCCATCGAAGGATTAACTAAATCCCAGTGGAGTCCATTCATTTTTGTTTTGACGATAGGAAAATTTGCCAGAATGTGGAAAAAAGCGTTTTCACAGCATGATTTGAGACCGATAAAATTTCACGAGAGCATCGACAAAGCGGAGGATTTGCTTCTACGAGTCCCGAGCTTAGTCTCCACTGTCAATGCCAATCTGACAGTAAAGCAAACTTTCTTACACGCTAAAAATGCTGATCAAATTATACACGAGTTTGGATGTGAATTCAGTTTAATAATTTGGCAACACTCATTCCACTTAGCCAAGAGTGGAAGGAATGCCCATGGCGTCCTACGTTCTTCCATCTCGAGTGCTGCATATTCGTGGACTGCCTGCGGATACGACAGAAATCGAGATCGTTAAATTAGCAATGCCGTTTGGACCGATCGCAAATTTCGTCCTCACAAAGAAAACAGGGCAGGTGAGGGTCCAGTTGTTGATATTTGTTTAAAAATAGCACGTTTTTCGTCTCAAATGGTGGCTTGAACGATAAATATGCGCGGGTTTGATACATTACATCTCAGTAATCCAGAAAACACGTGCCGTTCAGTCTTTTTAAGCCGTGCCATGTGATCTAGCTTTGAAGTCTGATTTATAAGCGTGGAAAAATATCTGGAATATTCGCACTTCGCTAGTGAAAAAAAAAAATAGACGAGATTGTGGCAAAATAAAATTTTCGACGAAATTATTTCAACATGCGGAATTATCTTGGGTTAATCGCAAAACACTTTGATAGTAACGTAGATGAAACGGCGAATGAGTGTCGGACACATAGCCTCACCTGCATGTTTCTAATTTCTGATTAAATAGTGGCCAGAAGGACAAGTTTCATTTCAAAGGGAAGAGGGCAATTTTTCTGTTGACGAGGTCTATCAACTAAAACTCCAAAATGGCTTAGAAATAAAAAAAAACTCATTTGTTAAGAGTGAATCATGTTTTGGTGTTGGTGCAGATACTTCAGAATGTTGGCGAGAGATTTGAAAGGTGGACACGAGGACACTAAAACTTATCCGAGCCGATGGACCGGGATTGACCATCACCTCCCGAGTGTGAGGAGATTCATAGCAAGGGATAGAGTGTGCTTCACTCTGAAAAAGACTCAGGGGTCGGTGGACTGCATTTGTAAGAGCAAGCAGTATCAAGGCTGCTTCTATCCAGGAGAAAGTTTAAAGGGAATGCCATTTGATCTAGCATTCTGCAAGTGAACAGGCAAGCGAACAGGTTTCCTGCGGCAACAGCATTCCTTCGAAAAGGTTTTCCATCATCTTCCACTAAGTGTAGGTTGTAGTAATTGAGTTACGGGTTGTAAAATCGCCGTAACTTTAAGTAATTTAATAACGCCTCTAAAGCAATCCCCAGAGGTGTTAGAAACGGCGGATTTGAGGTGCGGACGCTCCAACCTCCTGAATAGGCGCAAGGTGTCACCAAAAAATTACTTCAAGTCGCAAATCACCTTTGTGACTACTAACGTAAAAAAATAGATTTTTTTTTAAACTTGTTCATATGCTGACGAGAAGTATGCAAGGCGAATGTTTGGGCATAAATTTGGGGTTGGTATCAAATGATTTGAGCCTAATAACCATTACTTTCAGGTTTACATCGTGGACTTTATGCACGCGAGGCGTTACATAAATGGCTTTTTTTCAGAATTGTTTGTTCATTTACTCATTCCATTTGTAAATTGCTTTAATATGGTTTTTCGGACTACAACGTCAGAAGAAAGCGCCAAGCGACTAATCTAGAAATCGCCCTTTGTCTAAAAGGCGCCGCTTTATTTTATAATTTCGTCCTCTATTTTGATAACGAATTAAATAATTAAAACACTCCAAACGTGCACTTCTACAGCATTTCAACCTATATAACCCTTCAAATGATACATTTTTATGTAGAAAAGCAAAAAGTTTGGTGATCCCACATCTTTTGCCGTCATATCTGCGATACTTTTGTCATTGCTTGACACGCGATTGTCAGTTATGCTAAACGCAAGACGATCGAGCTTTCAGGAGTACTGAAAAGAGAGTAACCCAACCAACACCATTGGCATTTTTTAGGCCACTCACCTCGAATCACATCAGAATAGGGTTATAGAGGAGTAGAGAATGATTAATATTTTGAATATTTCAGTCTTCAGGACTTAGTAGCAATTTTTATAATTCAAAAAGTGTTGTACTACGATGGTTGCAACTGAAATAAGCCATCTTATGCGGGTGTGGTTGATTCAAGGATGACTGGATAACGGTGTTGCTTTAGGCCCTGATAGAAATGACCTCAGTTGAAGTAGCAGCAAAGATGTTGGAGTACTACCAATTCTACCCACCACTCTTTCGCGGAGGTGAGGAGTCAGCGATCCTACAGTTCTCGAAGTACCAGAGCCTCGAACTTACTGGTATCAGTCGATCTGTCTCCGAGGCCATTGCCATGGCGAACGAGCACTTCCTGCACTGTGTGGCGGAGAATCCGACGCGACCACGTGTTCTCCGCGTCTTCCTCGAACCCACGCCACACAACCAACTCAACTACATGGACTACTTCAAGGTGGGTTCAGTGTGACACAGCTAACGCTTAAACTCATGTAACAAACAATCCAACAGTTATCATGGACGTTCTCTCGGGACCGTAAAGCGAATCACATAGCGCCACTGCTTTTTGCCACGTTCGCCGCTGGCGTCTTGGTGAAAATTTGACTACCTCAGTCCAGACGCTTCAGTGTTCTGATGTAAGACTTCTGATTTGACAAAATGAACTGCCACACAAAATCTCAATGCGCGCAATTATTCCTAGACCCAATGGTCCTGTCACACACTCGATTAATCTGTTCGATTACCATTTGAAGCATTCAGGCGTCTCTGTCGCTTCTCCTCCTTATTAGAATGAGATACTCCTCAACTGCAAACGTCTCAGAATTCATCGTTCAAAATTTGATCACGATCTCTGATAACGGTCAGCTTTCTAGATGCAGGAAGGAACATCCTCGAAAAAATTCTAAAAGCGTTAACTTGTAACTTACTTTTCGTCTGACGTGACAAATTTTAATTTCAATAAGCACTAAATCATTTCTGTTACAAACAAGTTTTACAGTAGGGGCGGTTTAAAGTTCCCACCGAATGGCAGTTTCTTTCCTGTAGAATCTCTCATTCCCACTCCGTCGAACGTTTTTTACCCTGCTGAGTCTGCCCAAAAGTAGGTTTTGTGCGAGTGTTTTTAACTGTACACTGATTTTCCTTCACCACTGCGGTGAGAATGTATGGAAAACGAGAAAATCTCAAATCACGCACCTTTGGGATGGCATCAGGAGCGCTTATTCCGAGCTTATGAATCTCCTTCAAAATCGGTTTCTAGTGCAACCCTCTGAGACTTCCCTAAAAACGGAAAAAGGCGTGATGTTCTGGCAGAAGATGTATTGTCGAAGAAGAGGAGGGCTTGGGGACTCCTAGCATGGCCCGGGGACCAGGTCACCTGGCGGGGCACAATGGCAGAGTACCTCAGTGGCCAGTTGCCTAAACCGCCCTCCTTGGCCAATCTCCTGCATCAGCTATCACAACGTAGTCGCTACTGCAAGAAAAACATCATCCAGCCAACCAACCGTGCCAGTCATCGAATTTCAATGCATTTGAGATAATACTTGACCGCAATGCCAACAATTATTTCGGCGATTCCATTCGGTCTGGAAGTTTTTCTTGTATGGGAATTAAAGTTGGGGGATGATGGAATATGCTGGCCATCACGTGTCGTCATAGCTAGTCGCAAGAACGCTGGCCTAAGAGCAGTCATTTAATAAAGGATGGGGCTTATTACAGTTTCTTGAGAATAAGATTTTGTATCTGTTCTTCATTACCACGTTACTCTCACTTCAGTGCTACCTAGCCATATCTATCCTGAATCTATTCAGCTAGTAGAGAGGTGGAGGAGGTATTGCGTGTTAACTTCGTCGACTTCTTCACACAGGTACCGTAGATGTCTCTGTGCAGAACTTTCCAGATGGCTAGCGTCACTTCAGTCGCTAATAGCATTCCTGCAGAACACGGGATTGGTGTAGTTGGTGGAGAGATAAACGTCATTGTTAGACTTGTTAGGGGTCGTCACATATTCTCCCATCGGCAGCATGTACACTTTTTTCGTAACATTAAGGTTTATCACCCAGCAGTACAAATCAAGATGGCAATCTTTTATGATTGGGTTTGCTTTCCTCTACCGCCACCAGTGTAGCGGCCCAAGACTTCTTGGAAGACGAAAGAAGACATAACACCGGAGCAGAATATGTACTGTCGACGTACAGTAGGTCTTGGCGATCCCGGCATGGCCCAGAGGTCAGGCCACCCGGAGGAGGTAAAGTGGTGAAGCATCCCAATGTTCTGTTACCTAAACCGAGAGTTAAACAAACAAGTAAGGTATTGCACTGGCTTTTAAATGCCAAATCCTACTTTCCTTTGCATTGAACAATCCTTTATTGAATTCAACCACCTATTATTTGCCATGGCATTTGGAAGCACGGAATTCATTTCAATTTTGGGCCTGTTTATGTTCACCCAATCCCTGAGGTATCCAGTCTTATGCATGTTCGACTGTTTTACCGGGTTTACGCGGTATAGTATTGCAGACCCTCTCCCTGTTTTCTCCAACTTTACAAAACGGAAGAGGTTTCCTAAAAGAGCTGGCCCGGTTTTTTCGTTAATTCGATCAAAATAATGCCTATCAATTACTTCATGTGTGAAGCGATTGCGCTAACGGTGATAGGTACCTACTTTGGGTTTCAGTCAGGCTCAGCCAACTCTGATACTCCTCTTAGCGAATAATCCTCGGAGGGTAGAGTATTTCGGATGTCTGCAGATTCAAAAGTGGGATTAGCTTGACATGCTCTTCGGTCATAAGAGGGATACACCTTTAGTTAACGTTTCAAAACCGACTAGTCGACTAAAAGTAGGAAGCTCTCTTTACAGTGTGGAATAGTAAATAGCGTTTTTGTACCGTCGAAATGCACCCGAACGCTATTAGCTCTCTGCTAATTTTCCCAAACTTCGGTCGTATTGACGGTTTGGCGTTTCCTTTACCCCTATACAGCTCATTACTACGTAATGTCTGTGTCTCGAATAGCATTCCCTTGCGTACTCCATGAAGTTTTTGGTTATCTGGAAAGCAGTTCATCCGGATTGGGGAGGGATAAAGCGGTACCCGCTCTGCTACGCCTAAGACAATTTTGCAAACATCCACTCTCTCCGTGCCTATGCATAAATTATAACTCTGTGCACGCACACACTGAGAGTAACGGGGTAAATGCCGCCCTCTACTTTGAGGAGCTTTGAAGCGACAGACTCATAGAAGAGATGGAGAAACAGATGTTGCACGAAAATGGAAAGAGTGAGAGAGAAGCCGAGAAAGCAAATCCTGGCCCTATCTTACTTTTCTAGTAGTTAGAAGCGTATTTACCTCGCAGTAAATAGCTCCTTCTCGTACCGACAAAGTACATGAAACGATAATCTTAGCACCCTTAGCGGTTTAAGCCATCAGTCTCCCAATCGTGAAAAGTTACTTCCTCAGCAGTTGTTATCAGACTATCGCGCAATTTACACGCGGCTGTAGGCAGACCGCATGTAGAGCTATACTGGGGAGGCGGAAGTGCAGTCTCTTTAAATAGCCGGAAGCAATTGAAGCAATGCTGCTTTCGCAAGTGTTAAACATGAATGCGTAGGCATGTCGATTCGTGTGTTTGTGCGAGGGGATTATTACCCTAAGGTAAGGCATTTAACTCATGCTAATCTGCAAAAATGTGACAGCGTATGATATGCGATTAGGCTAACACTAAGCCACATCCGCAGTCAGTTAAGAGACTTCTGTAAAAGTCGATCATTGAAAGTGGTGACTTTTTGTGAAGACTTATATAGCCATGTGTATGCGTGTGGGAAGGGGATAAAAAGGTCTTGCCATGGAGAGAGTTCAGTCACGCAAAATCCTACTCACGCTGCTGCCACTACTCTTGAGAGAGGGTGGCAGCACGGTGGCTTACTCACCTCCTAGTAACACAAAAGACCGTTTTCCCCCTCCTCCTACTACTAGTACTACCATCTCTTTCTCTGATGCTGTTTCGCGAATACGTCGCATAAAACTACGAAAAGGGTTCGATGCTTCCTACGCGCGATTGTACATCATAAAATGCTCAAATGTTTACGTAGTCTCCTTCATCCATTTTGAAATGTTTCGAGTCCGAGGGAACCCGGTGATCGTCTACCGATAGTTTTAAGCAAAAAAATCCTGTGAAATAGATTCAGGGAGCTGGAGTGCTTTACCCAACTGTGCCTGTCCAACAACTAGTTAGTGAGCGTTCATTTCAAGGAGAGTGGAATGGGAACGCTCACGGGAATTATACAGCCCGTCTCCAAATGGGAGGGAGATGCCGAGAGGTCGAAGTCCGCTTCTCGAAAACATTTTAATGACAATTAAGTGATTGGTTAAAGAGACTCGGTTGTGGCCTACGTGAGCTCTGCAGTGGTAATAAACACTGATAAAAAACCAGTTATTTCCAACCCATTGATGCAATTTACTAAAACAAAAGGGCTTTTTTTGCATTTGCCATGCTGAAATACCTCCTTGCCAGAGAAAAAAAGCAGAAATAAGTTAAACTAGCCCCAACTCTGTTTTATTGAAAAACAAAATAAACTGTTTTCAAGCCGGGACGAGCGTGTGTAAAATCCACAGGCCTCACAAGAACAAGGGAACCATTTTTTTGCAATTATCTAGCAAATGGTTTCACTATAGTTTCAACTTTTTCCTTAAAATAAAAAGGCAGCATTGAAGCCGTATTTTTACTTCCAATTTGGGCCTATGGGACAGTCTTCGCATTCGAGGCAATGTTCCTCATCAAATACAAGAAATTGGAAGCATTTAATGGACTGCTACAATAGTTAACTTTTCATGTAAATTTTTAACTCACGGACCACTTTGAATAGGAAAACTACCGTGAAATTTGTTTTCGTTCACCATCACAAAGTTTAATCAAGTCAAGGTTCCCCAATGTTTCGTCTGTTTTCGGCTACTTCCGTAGATGTGGCCAATCGCTTTCACGTGATCTACACGCGCATTTCTTGCGTGCTTGAGTGTGGATGCAAAAGAACGGCGTGGCGAAGAATCGAAAGGATAAAATACATTTAAATGATGCATCTGAAGCTTTCCCTTACCTTGGGACTGGCGTCAGTCGTTTCAGGTGGCGATTTTAAAGGCTATTGTAGCCAGTGATGCAAAGAAAAGGAGGATAAGGTGGCAGATTTCGCCAGCCAGGTATGCTTTCATTAGCAGCTTGGCGTATTTGTCACGTCGCGATTGTAGCATGTAGCCTCAAGACTGAGGTGACGTGCAAGGGGTTGTTAGCACGCAAAGAGGGCGCTCTACTTGCAGCCAAGTAATTACCTAATTTGGTGTTGTTTAATGAGTAGTTTGCGTGTAACCCTCATTTAGGTCTGGTTTTGTCCTCTTTTTGCCCTTGCAGATCTTCTACCGCTATGGGGCAATTTTGCGAATAATCGTGTTTAAGATGTCCGGGCGCAGTCAGGCCTTCGTGGAGTTCCATTCGCCCATTTCTGCACACGCGGCCCTACTGGTGAGTCGGTAAAAAATAATTTCCTTTGATTAAAGTGCTTTAAATTTGGATGAACAAGATTTTTAATTTCGAGGCCACAAAGCATAATACAAACGTTCTAATTCCGTACCCTTTCTATATTGAATTAATCAGGTTTCTGGCCGTGAAGTAATAATCCACACACAGTATTTGTCCATGAACAAAACACAGTAGTCAGCACATGTGGATTGTCAGCTTCTAAAAGTTACCAGCAAAGGCGTCCATTCAGGTGGTCTTGAATGAACTCCATGCAAATGCCAAGCACGGTTCTTGGAAATCTTTTGGATACCGTTGTTAAGCTCTGACTGGCAGCGAGCCAGAAACCTCACCTTTTGGATACCCAAATAACCGAATTTTAGGTCCGTAAGATTGCTGATTTCTGTGGATAAATTATTTAATAGGCAAGATATAAGAACCCACCAACCCTATAATATTTGCAAACTTCCGTTATCATCCATTGTGCAGCCCACGTGCAACTTTTTGGATGAATTTAGGATAGTAATGCTACTGCTTATGTGAGTCACGAGTTTGATTCCCTGGTGAAATCTGTAATGACGGTGCAAAGAGGCAATCAGGAGCATTTCCAAGGAACTGCGGTGTTGATTATCCTAGGCATAAGAGGTTAGTCCAGCACGCTATGGCTAAAACATCGTGGCAGAGGGGATTTCCTGGGGGTAGACGGGTTTATGGGCTTCATTATCAGTAACAATTGCGAAATGTATACTAAAGAGACAGTTTCAAAGTCTATTAACAGTTCAGTATGCTGGCAATGCTTCCCGTGCTAGGCTAGGCCACTGAGACATGTCCGAAAGTGGAAGGTCACATTGTTCTCGCACTGCGCTAATGCATGTCCGTGAGGCATCAGTGATCAAGGTTGATAGCCACTTCAGAGTGAAGAGAAGTAAGGAAATTCAAAAGAAACCTCAATTATTACATTTGACCACGTGAAGGTATCACAAAACTGCAGGTCAAAACAAGGCTTTGCTAGCCCCGTAAACTTGAAGATGAGGAGAGATTGGTACCAAAGAAAGCCCATCAAAGCGCTCAATTTCCTGAGATTATTTGTGGCTAGAGCTTTGGAGAGTGAGAAAAAATGATTCAGATCAGGCTGATAGCCTATTTAATTTACGAGAAATCCGAGGAAAGGGGACTTTGAAGCACCAAAGTAAAAGTTTGAATCCATCAGCTTACCAAATGCCAACTTCTTTGGTGATAAAATTTAGTAAAATTGAAAAATTCAAGCGAAATAGGAGACGACTATGGCAAAAGCGTCAAAGGGAAGTATTGGTGGTAGTTAAATGCCTCAAAACATCATCAAGGGAACCTGTAGACAGGGGTCTTTCAAGGCAAGAGTAGAAAGAAAAGCGAACCATGAAATTTGTCCCGAATATCTTCTGATTTTAATTGCGGTACAATTCTGTCCTGAAAGAAACTTATTCGGAATGGTTCGGTAATTGCCACGACTCTTAGAACTCAGATTTGGCGCCGTCACGGCTGATGGACTAAGGAACTGCCAGTACATCTCTCCGGACTAGTTGATGCAATGCTTGCCTTACAGGCTCACAAAAATAGAATAGAATGATTTGTCTTTTAAGTCGCAATGGCTAAATCTTTATTCCATCAGGTCTCCTTGGAGCAAAGATGCAATACGGTGTAGGGTTTTGCTAGGAGATCAGCATAAAATAGGGCGACAAAGTGTTCAAAAGTCCGGTGCACATTGATTTGAATCAACAATCGAGCAACCACGATCGGTGAAAAAAAAATTACATTTAACAGCTTTAAGATGTTAGCAAAAGAGGATGACAGGAGCCTAAAAACATTTATGATGGTGCCGAAATGCCTGTGTAAGAAGCAATCCAAGAATCAAGGGGAAAGGAGGGATTCAGTCCTGCTCTTGTCAACAATGGATAAGATTCTTGTAAAGTGGCCGGATAAATTGGCTGAACCAACAGCAACCGAAAAAACTGATGTCTAAACTTACTTTATTCCCCATCTTCATGACACTCAGCATTTTAAAATCGACAGATCAGATGAGAACGCCTCGAAGTATCCAGTTTACGGACAAGTTGCTGTCTTATCCTCGGTTGCACCATTGAACTTCCGCTTCTCTTGGATCCTTAACCATTTAAGTTTTTAATGGATAGAATCACTAGTTCGACTGTTACAACAGCCGTCACGTCAAGGCTGAAAATTAAGGCACAGAATTAAGTGCCTTCGCTGGAGACGTGATAAATTTACACCATCAATTAGTCTATCATGGATTTGAGCCTGCAGTTGGTCACCGAATCTCCAACAAACTGTCTGGGTCTGCTTTTGATGTATGAAACTTCCGGCTTCTTGATTACCTTTTTTTTCACCAAATTTATGAATTGTACATGAATCAGTGAGTTTGCCTTTAAATTTTTATGCGAGAGAGGATTGGGAGAGCCTGGAGATGATAAATTCCTTAGCAGTGTAAGAGCATCTCTCCCAGTCTCTGTAATGGAGTGATCCGTTTGTACCTCTGGCACCAGGTCCCTACTAGCTAGACTCCATGATACTATTCAAGATCTCTTATAGACACACAAATGTTCCGAGCTTCATGTTAGCAGGAACACATTTTGAAGTTTCAAATTTTTCGCCGCTGATAACACGATAGGGCAAGAGCACTGGAAAAGGTCAGGCATCGTAACAGCTACCACATGCAGTCGGGGCCGAAACTTCCTAGTCAAGCGGTCTGTGAGACCATTAACATTAGGAAATACGCACGCGCCTACCCAAAATGTGGGATAAGTCAACCAGAATAAACAAATGTATGTTTATTCTTGGTGGTAGCAAATAAGCCCTGGGTAGTTAAACGGTTAGGCAGAAATAACCTAGAAAATGCGACCTTGTAACGGCTCTGGTTGACGCTGCTATGACAACACGACAGCGAATGCTCACATCCCAAGCATTAGAAGCATTTATTCGGCACCATTTTTGAGCTCTATTAATTAAGTTACAGTCACTTTTTAACCCTTATGGCAAGGTGCCAATGTGTCAAGCACGGTGAGAATGCCAACCACTTCATGCTGTTCTAACTAGTACCACGCAAACGCTCCAGCAATTGCGCATTATCCTCACTCATGTGTTAAATGCAACTATTTCCACCTGTTAGTGAAGAACAGATGTACAGGGAGTAGCTGGAGGGACCTTTTACTTTTTTAATCTTTCAAGAATACCCTTTCTAATAATTGATCCTGGTGAAGAGTTCTGTCGCCTTTAATACTCCCTATCTCTAATTAAAATCTCGTACTGTTGTAGTCCAAAGGTCAACGCTCGGAATAGTTGGCGCAGTGAACAAGTTTCACTGCCTCATATGTATTTAGAGTTCCATTGGAGTTGGACGCAAATGCAAGATCACAAGCATACACAGCTCTTTTGAGTTGTAGCTTTCGGTGGAGGGAAGATTGGAGCGGCATCACTTTTTAAGTTGAGTGCGATGTGCTCCAACTTGAAAAGGACTGGCGTCTTGTTGATGTGTCGAAGCGGCTTTTCCGTTTATTGAGGCCTTTCTTTTTTCACTGGAGTCTCTATGACGGTTCGGACTAAAAGTCTTCCTGATCAAATTTCAAAATGCATCAATTCTCACAAGGCTGCAATCTTTATGCATTTATTCTGCAAGAATGTAAAACCGAATTTCCTTCAGCATTCCTTTTTTGTTAGAGGAAGGCCGAGGAAGCCTATTCTATCCGTGACATTATTACAGTCTTTCATCTTTTCACATTACTGGCAAGCATTATTTATGTGCTCCCACTCTGCCACCATACGCGATTCCCTAATATTTGCGAGGATAAAAAGCCTGAAAAAAATAAGCTAGGGCAAATAAGAAAGTTTCTTTATTGTCCAGCAGTTTTAGTGATTTCATTCACGGAAGAATGCGTGGTAAATAGAAAACAACGTGAATTTCGTTGAGTATTTCGGTCGAGGGCATAAAGCAGCGAGCGTTGGAAAGGTGCAAACCCGAGAACAGAATGTCGACAGCGGCGGCAGCGGTGTACTTCTGGGCGAGAGCTCGGGCTAAGGCGTAGGGTCGAGATAAGATAGTGGCAGTGTGACTCACAGTTTTGTCTGAGTCTTATCACCACCTCCCATCTATCATAGCCCCACTTTTTCAGCCTAATAACTTGGCCCTTACTAATGCCAGTGAAGAGAGGACAGTAATTTTTCAGTTCAGTGCGTGCTGGAGCACGTGATTCAAGAGGCAGGCACTACCGGTGAAATGCATTAGAATGGATTTCCTGAAATGCCATTTCCTTTGCTACATCTTATTCATTGGATTGGAATGCAAAGGCACCCTAAACACCGCGATTAAAAAGACAAAGTAGCAGGCGTTTAATACTTTAAATAATTTTAAAATCTAATGTTTTGCAAAGCTGAATGCTCACTGATTCGCCGAGCCCCTGTTTCGGCCGTCTAATTCGGTACAGCCCCTTTAATTCGATGTGTCAATCGGTGTTTACCATTCCAAGCGGAGCGAGTGTTGCCGATTCAGTGACTTACCGCTTACAACGTGCGAAATGCATATAGTCGTATTCATTCTGCCTCTGCCACTTGGTCTGCTTTCCAGGGAGGAGCGCCCACCACCCGTGAATAGCCGCCCAAAGCGTCATGTCAACTTGACATGCGAAAACGTTTTGGATGCTAATTTAGGCAAAAAATAGTACAGAAGAGTTATAACCGTCTACCTAATTGCTACTGCAAGGACTGTTTTAGGTTACGAGTTTTAAACCGCTAAATGCATTCCAAGTTATAGTAGGACCTGCCTCACTACTCATTCATTCCTTAAAGACTCTTAGTTTAGAGCTACGTTGCGACCTTTTATTTTACTGGGTAACAATAGCTTTGCACCCTAGGGAGAAGTTTAACTGAGGTACAAAATAACCACGTTTGTTGCCAGGGTTTGGGAGGAAAATAGACAAAAAAGCGGCCAAAATATTCCTTTGCATTAATATCATGCTGTTTGCAACTACTACACTTGACCATTTTAACTTTACTCGAACTCCAAAAAGGTGCTATAATGCCCAAACTAGAAACATTCTCTACATCCACTTTACTGTTTTGAACTCCATCAATTTGTTTGCAACACGATCTGGTGCGGCCATTTGTCGGGCGCTGATAGCGATGGGTGGATCGTTGGAGTGTCACAAATGTTTGACGCTGAAGGCAAAAAAGTCTACTACCCCTGTTTTCGCCTCCCTGATGAATGGTATGAAATCTTATGCTTTTTCCATGCTTCAAAGTGTGTAAAATATAATTTAGTTAATGAGATGGTGCAGCGGCATTATCTCTAACTTTAATCCACCAGCTCTTTAGCCTGCGACTAAAACAAGCTGGTTTTTGAGTATTACAATTCGTAGGTAGTTATTTCCAAACAAATTACTCGATTTTTTAAGAAATCAAAGAACTATCGGCGCAAATGTTCCCAGAACACCTACAGAGAAGTCAAATGAAGAAGGTCAGCGATTATTTTTTTAAGGCGGGCTTTAAGGTTGAGGAGCGTTGGAGCTGATGTAGGTAGGAGCATTAGCGACTCAGAATTCAGCCCCAAGATAGAGGCCGTTCATTCAGAGCGCCAAAAGGGGGACGTCCAAGCCCATGTACTTAAAATGAGGCCAAATTGTAGTATAATAATGGGAGGAGGCTTTCAGTCTCCTTTATTTATGCTCATATAATTCATTTTTAAAAGTCAGTGTTCGGCGTGCATGTGCTGACTCCTCAGTTACTCCTGTGTTAGTTAATAAAGTTGATGCTTTTAGCTATCTGCTTCAGTAGACCTCTTTTCAGGAGGCAGAAATATATGCACGCGTTTTCAAAATCCGAGATTCTGTGTCCTTGGGAGTTCGCTAATTTCATTAACTTTCAATAGAGGTTGTTGAAAAGGTCGAGGGTTATTCCGACCTCCTGCTTGCCATGGGTGATAGCAACGACACTGAACATAATCTGGAAATGGTGTTTATGGCATTAGCACCTAGAGTCATTCCACACAAGGCGCTCCGACGTGGCGGAAGGTTTATTACTGGCGTGGTGGCGAAGGTGAGTGGAGTAGCGGGGACTAAAGTGCCTTCGCCGTTAAACAGACAATCCAAACAAATGCCATTCGGTTGAAACGACAGTCCCGAAACTATGTGTGCATATTTTTAAGTGGAGTGAAATGATGACGAAAACTTTGCTAAACAGGGTTGAGCCGTATCGTTGGCGGACTCATAATAGGCATATCACAGTTATACATTTTTTCCAAGTTCATATAAAATGAATGAATATATTTATCTGATCCCGCAGCTATTACATGTTAAAGAAAATAATACCCTCGGTAAAAGTAAATCATACTTTTGACCATACGCTGTGGTTTGTGCCAGACATCCCTCCACGTTTGGCTGCTAGGTATGAAACCACCACGGGAAGGCTTACTTACGCAGTAGTTGGTCAAGTTTCCTTCACCGACGTGAACACCTCAACGCAAATTACTTGAGCATTTTCACGACTTTCACTCGCACTAGTCTTCTGATTTATTCCTGGTACTTCCTCCAAAAAAACCACTTATCTATCCATTTCTGTTTCACCCACTTTAAGAGGGAATCTACCTATATGCCAGCTTACCAAAATGTTGTCTTAGGGCGGGAATATTAGCTCTGTCTGCGTAACGGATTATCTTGGGGTTGCCATTTATGAGGCGGCCGATTCATACAAGACGATGCGTCTGGTCGGAAGGTCAGCCTAGAGGAAAATTAACTGCATTATTTACCCAAGTAGGAAATAAAGATGATGCGTAAACACTATCGGAATATGGAGTTTGGAGTAGGGAAATTCTAGCGACGATTTGTATGTACTTGCATTATTTTGATTCCGGTTGGAAAGTGAGAGGGTAGGATCTTAATCAGATTGTGTGAAATACTAGTTGTCTCCAGAAAATCAACTTCAAAACATCTTGTGGGGAAAACGAGCGCGATAAATGAATTTGTTGATGGTGAAGAGTAAAAAAGTAGATTGAATTAGGAAGCGGAAGGCTGTTAGATCGAAGTTGGTCTCAGCAGCACAAGTGGTTAGGAAGAAAATTAGTTTATTAAAGGGAAATAAAGGTCGATCAAGCTAAGCGCTTAAAAGCAATTACTTCGAGCTCCTCAAATTTGACGTCTTAATTCAATACTGTAGGCAGAGGCATCATGTATCCTTTAGGGCAACATTTGATTTCTATCAAACCGTCCTTACTTCTTTGCTCGTGAACTTATTTTGCCCAAGGCGGTGAATGGACAAGTGCTTCCCCTGTACGCGGCAACCATGCGCATTGAGTTCTCGCGACAAACCTCCTTGGAGTTGCGTCAGGATGACAACACTAGTCGGGACTTCGTTGCACAGCCGCTATCATCCCAGGAGGAACAAGATCTTATCAAAGCCCTGACCCCACTGTAGTTTAGGCTGCCCCATCGAAGGACACAAGCACACCACATGCACTACATACGTACACTGATTTCTGTAAATATCGGTTTAATAAATATTGGGACTTGTTTACGGTAGTTTGGATGCTTCAGCAGAGCCATAAGAATACATGCTCCTGTTTATTAAAATGTGGGAATTATTGGGCACTGCCGGGTGACCGCAGGTGACGTTTTGAGATTAGCAAAATTCATTGGGATGTACAACTATTTTAACCTTTTATTAACGAGGTACAAGTCATTGAGAGGATGTGGTTCTCAATGCTTCGTTGCAATGAGTCATGCGTTTGACATTTGGTCTGCTTCCAATGGTAACCATTGTGCGGAGTGGAGCAGCAACTCGAGGCAATACGAGAGATGTCAGAATAGAAAACAATTTAAATATCATACCAAGGAGTAACAAAGGCCGGAAATATATGGATGGTCAAATTTATCAGGGAATGAATCGAATTCAATTATAAAAATAGAGCAAAAAAGGTAAAGTAATGGGTTTCTATGTTCGTAAACAGATTCAAAAAGGTTTATCGCCAAAATTTCGTTAATTGCTCTTATTTGCAGCTAAAGAGCCTAAATTTACTACTGTAAAACAAAATAAGCCCAAAATGTTGCATTTGTTAACACTAGTGATTTTTTTGGAAGGCTTGTAAGTAAGGTGTCTTATTGGGATCAACAAACACTAGAAACTGGGATAATGACTGCAAACAAACATTAATAAAAATAAATTATAAGCTAGAAAAGTAGGCTTACTTCGAATAATACGATAACGGGAATGAGCAATGCGAAGGGCCAAAACTCTCACGACACTTAAGCCAAAGTGTAATCAAATATGCTGCAACTAAAAAGTTTTACGGCAGCTCCTAGCGTTCTAACTTCTAATATGTAACCAAATCCAAAAGTCGAGCAAATTCGGAAAGTTTTAATTTGTATCTGTTACACCTCCGGTTATTCAAGTATTCCCAAGGTCATATCTTTGCCATCTGTAATGAGATACCCGTTTATTTGGATATGTGGAAAAACGTTAACAGTGTGCTTTGCAATTGCGATGTTTTTTACGTTTTCGATCTGGCTAACTTTTCTCAACAACAGTGTTATTAAGGTTACTTCCTCTCTGGTAAATATTCACAGGATTTTCCTATAGGCATATCCGTACCCGTTATCAATTACTTTTACGCATTTAATTTTAAAATTCGGTTTTGCCTGGTTTTTGAGGGGGATCCTTTGGAATACTCAAAACAAGAAGTGTGTTGAACTCCCTTGGAGGGACTATGTGTTAGAAGTTTCCCCAACTGGTTTGTTATTTTCCGTCTTACGCTTTAAAAGGCATTGCAAGTGCACTAGATATAGGTCTCTCCAACTGGAGTTTTGAGTTCATTACCATCTCTTTGTATGGTCAAATCGTAAAGGCCTCATTTGTAGGTACACAATGACCAAGTCGACTTCAGTAATTTTTATCCTTATTTTTGCGATCGTGTTCAAATTAGAAAAGCTGGTTAGTTGCCTTTTTTGCTAGAGTCTGTTATTAGAGTATACCTATCGTGGCTATTGTCCTTTCAATTTCAACAGGGCTTTTCATGTTTACATATGAATCCACTCAATTTGATCTCAAAGGCTTTACTCTTGTTCTCATTGCATCCGCTTTAAGCGGAATTCGATGGACTACAGCACAAAAAGTAACGCAGCAATCAGTCTATGGCAAGTCGAATTTGTTTTTTACATTAAACAAAGTCATACAGCTAAATAGCATTTCGGAATCACATACCATCCATCCCGCATTAGCGTCTAACTGCGCACTCTGGGTACCCTCTTTAACTATTCTGACAATTTTTAACTCACTGTTGGACTCAAAGGCTGCTACTTAGGAATTCTGCTTTGTCGATTTCCATACTCTTTTCCTCTATGTGTCACATACTATTTTAGGGCTGTCCAATCCCATCGATGTTATATATCATACACAACCCTGGATGGCTCTGGTTTTGCTACCTTTAGCCTTCAGTTTAGAGGGTAAGTTTAGTCTCCTTTGGGTTTCTATGCTTTTAACTGTATGTGGTGACTCATTTAGAGATTCCTTAAGCAAAATTGTATTTTTGCGTTGGTCGCTGCAAAGTACGTTTCGAGAAGGTACGCTGGTTGCCAATTCGATCAGCTCAATATTTAATTTCCCACTCGTGCCATTGGTTTCCGATCAAAAGTTTCATCAAAATCAATCCCATCTTTCTGTTATCGCTTCCCTGGGCATTAAAAAATCCTGAATGTCATCACCGCTCTGTGGTCACGTGTCGGGATTCTTTGTAGGCGATGAATTTTTGACTTCGCCCTTTCTCTTCCGGTCTCACGACTACCTTGGTACCTGTCGAACCCTGGGATACTTCGTTTTTGGGGCCTGCTTGGCCTTCGGTCTTGAAGTTGCCGAATTTCTCGTTGTATGCAATTCCTCCAGCCTGACGCTTTCAATTGCTGGTATCTTTAAGGTACCCAACTTTGTTTCACTCTCCTGTCTAACGAGCGGCCGGTCGCATATGTAGTAATAAATACTCAGTGCAATCGTCTTTAATGGAGCTTTCAATGTACTTTTTAGGAACAAGTTAGCAGAAACTTATCTTTTGTAGGAAGTTGTCACACTCTACTTGGCAGCTGCCGTCAATGGCGACCAGTACAGCCCTACGAATATTGCCGGATTGGTGATATGCTTAGCCGGAATCTGTCTCCATGTCGCCATAAGATTTTTCAAACGTAAGTCAGTTTACTTTTTGAAGACCCTTACTGGTTATGCTAATTCACTTTTTGGTGTTTCCAAACGATCTCTCAACTCGATTTGTCATACTTGGGTGAACTAGTCTGGTATTTTTTCGACTTTTTGCCGTTTATGCTTCCTTTTGGATAAAAGCTTTAGCAGCAAGCACTACGTCAGTGGCCAACTGTGTGATTATTTCATTCCCTGCCGCCTCTAGCTTGTCGCATTTCTACGATTATCCATCACCACTCTCTTCTGGTTATTTATTCGCGCACCAATACTACCCCTCCTGCTTTGCATACACACGCTCGAGCTTACAATTTTAGCGTCAAATTGTCATGCCTCCCCTCTTCCTGCTCCCCTTCGCGTTCCCAGACGACCGTAAGAAGTGGATATCCGATGCAATGATTTGGGTAAACGTATCATCTCAGGAAGAAGCGTCATCTCAGTAAAAGTGTAGTCCCTACCCGTATAGCTTCTTTTCCCTTTAATTTAAGCACGATTTCACAGAAATACTCCTCAATCCTGATTTGAGACGCTTCTATCTGCTACAGATTTTTCGCAATCATTTTTTGCCTACTATTTCTAGTGCATATTCCCCCATTGTTTGCCCTTCATTCCTAACACGACCGTCACCAGCACCACACATGTGTGACGCTCCTATGCTATGCTCGTAATCTAGTGTCGAATCCTGCTACAAACTCGGATGAATTACTCAAGAGAGTAGTGTGTGTCGTCATTCTCGGAGCTGTAGTAGCGTACCTTCCTGAGATTCTGATAATGAGCTTGTTAACCAAGCCTCATTCCAGGAGACTGAGGTTTGAACCTACTCTGTTAGAGCGATTTGCATAGTAGATGGCCCACATACCGGTTGAGAATGATGGAAGCACAATGTGCTGATTGATGCGTTGGTGCGACACCACCATCTCTAATGTAAAACAGCCCTTGCATGTAGCTACGCAAAAAGTGCAAAGATCGTTTGCTCTGTCCTCAGCAGGCAGTTCGTTGACTGGACAGGTGGTAGTGTTCTAGACCACGGTTCTCTTTCGCCCAGCGGGCATACAAAGGCGACTTTTCGCCTCTTTGTTGCAGATACGGCCATCTTGCGACTCTTACTTTGTCAGAACAGGCAAATGACACACCTGCCCAAGAAGCTGCGCCCCGGTCGACTCACCAGCCTTCCCAGTGATTTTTTTGTTTTAGACAAAGTGTACTGCTAATAGCGTTCCCATCAGGGATTAGCGAACTGTATGCTCCTAGCGCCTGTCTCTTCCCCACCACACTAACAAGTGTCTACTTTGTGCCCGTCTTATGCTGCGAAAAACCCCACTATTTCACATTAATAAAGATTTATTTCATCTTGAATAGGTAGGGCCTAGATGATTACTCAAATTGTTTTAAAGTCGCTCTATTCGTGTAAGACCTTTGAAAACACGAGGTTATGATGTTTTTGTGCTAGTTTAACCATTACTAAATGTCTCTTCTAGTAGTTGACTTAGTTCTCCACAAAAAATGTCCCCACTTTGGTCTCAATATCATAAAGCAAAGGTGGTGCTATTATTGGCGTCATGGGCATTACGTACTGGCAAAATGTGTTTTAGTGCAGAGAGGTTTCACAGCAGTTGGTTCCAAATTTGATCACAGATGTAGCCTTCTGATTTCCTCGGCATTGAAGTCGACCCTAAAATAATCACGGTTCGCAGTGCTTACAAAGCCGGCTAACACGCATACTTTTGGGGAATAAAGATGCCCACTTTGTGTGGGAAATAACAAATCACACAAACCATTCGCTGATGGTGTGCGCGAGCACACATGCAAAAATAGCTTGGTGTGGAAAGCCTCTACGCGGCACAGGAAGCCCACCTTAACGTAAGGAGCCGTCGTATTTCGTTTGCTGACAAGCGCCAGTTCGAGGCATCGCCATAGTAACTCACTTCCTCTACCTAAAAAGCAAACGCCAATTGGTGTTCACTCAATGATGATTCAACAACAATCGAAGTGACTTATGACACAACTAATGAGAATCCCACGGTCTTCTTGCCAGACAAGAATTTGTACATGACGTTGGTGAAATCATGCCAGCAAAAAGGGAAATTTATTAGGGTCGCAAAAGTAAGGGGGGAGGGGCAATACCCACCTTTTCGAGATTTAGTAATTTGCTAATCTGAAGAATGCGTGCGAACTTCTCACGACACGAGAAGGTAGAGAGGGAAGAGAAGAAATTAAAGATGCACCGCAACTCCTTTTCGAATTGCAGAGCGCCGTACTGCAAAGTTGGAAGGTGGTGCTTTAGGATGCTTTGTACTACAAAATCATCGACCAAAAATAAGGATTCACAACTGACCCTATTGTAGCTCTTCTGTTGGACGAAGCGTTCCAATCTGAAGAGGATCTCGTCAACTAGCAACGACAAGAACTTCTCGTAGTTTCCTGCCGAGAGAGTTGCCTGAAAGGGAGAATTCCCAAGGTTACATAGATTGAATAGAGGAACAGCGGGAATGAAGGCCTAACGATGCGTATCAGTGAAAATTAGTGAAAGATGGAGGTTCTTGGTGGGAAAAGTTCACACAAATTTCTACGTCGTGTGAGATAAAATCTAAACGTAAACACAAGTGCCAAATATTTACTCATGCACCTCTATTTTCATCACTTCAATGTAATATTACCACAGTCCTGACTGCCAAAATTTAACGTCTTCAGGTACTATTTTGACGGGGTTAATTCTGAAGGGCTGCGAATCATCTGCTCTCATACTAGCCCGGAATTCCACGCACCCTGAACCAGTATACCAATGCCAATGAAGCAATCGTAGCGTGCTTCAAATACATGTCACAGAATATCTTGGTTGAGTGTCATTCGATTTCATTACGTGGTGAAGTTTGACGCAGTACTTAGACACCTCCACTCTTATGGCGCAACCGAAGCTATGAAGCGAAACAAAGTGTTACCTTCCAATAACAGAGCACAAAACTTACGTGGAATGGCTTTAAGAGGCTCTGCAAACCCACAATCAGCGACTCAACCCAAGGATCGTTAACTGCGTATTGCTCAAACTCTTCCTGAAAAATAAGTGAAATTTTGCGGTTCATACATTTTAGTTGATGCGTGAGAGGCGTTCAAGTGGAACCAAAGCCTTCGGTTTCTCACGCTGCTGCGGCGGCACTACATGCATTTTCGAGTGGCAAATGTGCCCTATTATTGCCCGTAGCAATCGACGCCCATGTTGCAAACGGCTCCAGAAATAGTCAGTCAGGATGCCAGGCAGCAGCACATTCAACAGCGCGTGGCAGTGAACGGTGTTCCGCGTTAACGAAGACGTAAAACCAATGGGTACTTATCTACAGAAGACTTCGAGCACATTTAGGTGATGAGACGCTCAGCGGCAAGTCATTTAAGTGACGCATATATTTCGACGACGGCCGTATTCTGTCAATGATGACAACGACTATGGTTGTTCCCAGTCTACAGCCTCGGCTGTCATTCCTGTAGGCATCCAGCCAGAGTGTGCAATGCATTATCGATGCATAACCTGTCTCTGAATTACGCAAGAGATGAATCCTCTTTCTGCGTCCACGAATATGGACGATTTTAAAAGGGATGTTTTAGTTGTACTGACAAATCTGTACGGAAGCTATCCTGGTATTAATCAAACGCTAGGACAGGTGCCTACATGCTAAAAAGAACCAATTTTGCGCTTTTAAACGGGTTCCTATGTTCGATCAATTCGGCGATCCCAATTTAACCCGGGTGTCCTCGGTGGAACTCTTCTAATCAAATTTAAATCATACGTCAATTTTCCTAAAAGAAAAGCGAGATCCCAGAAATCCAATCAAGCAACAGTTACCTTTAAGGTTAGTTAACGTAGTAGTAGCAGTTTCGGTCCTTCTGCGCTGCAAACTCACCTCAGATAGATCTCTTTTCACCGAATTGAATGATTGTGTGAGTGAATTCACTTGGGGTCGAATTACACTGCGTAGTTGATCAAAACCCCCATCTATCAGGGTTTGAAAAGCCCGCGACAGAGAATCGATCAAGTCTGACAGGCAGGCCTAAAACGGAATTGATAACTAATTGTCAATGAAATGCACATCCATGCAGTTAAGACAGATATGTGGCAACCCGACCTTTCCCCTAATGGAAGAAAAATTAATACCGGTAGTTCAATGGGAATATGATTGGGTTATACCTCATCAAAATGAACGTGGGTCACACCGCATGTGCCACTTACCCACTCCCCAGTTAGTAATGCGAACATACCCATATCTACGAGATTGTGGAGCAATGTCAAGGGGCACACCTGCAATTTCCCAAGATCGGATTTGGGTCGCAGACCGAAAACCTCCTCGATGTATTTCTCCAGAGTGTCACGCAGGATGATTAGACAGTTCAAACAGGCCTCCAGGGAGTTTAGGGCGTAGAGATACTGAGTTTGGGGGTCCACCGTGTTGCCCGCAGATGTATACCCGGACCCGTTCGAGGCGGACTCTGTGTTTGCTGTCCCCAGCAGTCCAGTTGCAATGTTCCCACCTAAGGAAGCGACGCATGAAAGGTGTGGCAAAGAATATTACTGAAGTATGCGCAAACGACAGGTAGTCTGTTTACAGTCTATCCACATATTAAAGTGGGATATAGCTAGTCTCGAGGAGTCAGAGGTTATAAAAAAACAGGAATGAAAAGTGGAACGCATCCTGAACGAACGAATCCGTTTGTAGCGCCAGTCGTAGCGACAATGTTTGGAAACATAATATGAAGTCGGAAAAGCTTAAAATGATTAAACGACGCAGAAATTGCTACTATTTCCAGTCGCGAAATGTTACTCGGTCTTTACAATGCTGATTGCATTGATTGTGTTTGGCCGTCTGCTCCTATTTTTACCTATGATATGCAAAGGTATGTTCTTGGTTTTGGCATGGATCATAGCGGTAAGTTTCGGAAGCCCATTGTTTAATTAGGTTACGCGGAGTCATGGAACACTTAAAATTAATAACAACAAAGTGTTAGCTTGTCAAAAAGGGCAGACACGTTGAGTAAACATTTCTCTGAACTCAGAAACCATTTGTCCCAGAAACAGTACGAAAAAGACTCACTTCCAGCTCGTTTGTGGACAAGTTGGTAGGCTTGTTTGATCCACCCGGATGAGGTGCAACTTTTAGTGCGAGGGGTGAGCGCCTCTTCAATCAGTTGGTCGCAGAGCACGGCGCTGGTGTGGTTAAACATGGCGCAGACAGCATCGGCGCATCCTGAGGATATGGCCCGGCTGCAGGATAGCGACACGATCATGATTGGTAAAATAGCGTGTTTACGCTAACCCACCGATACAAATTGGGCGACGGTTGATAACCAGCCTCTCCCGTTTATAACGGGTGCACTGCACAGTAGCATTTACGAAGAGGCCGGTGGGTCCCCGCAACAGTGCAAGAGACAAGAAACTCTTACCTCAGTTCGCAAATGACAAGTTAAGAGAAAAGAATGCACACCTGAGACACTTTTTCACCACGAAAAATACATCATCAACAAGACGAAAGATCCTCGTGGATTCATCCAACTCGTCCATCGTTATAGCCTGAAAAGACGGCATTTAATTTGGGTATGAACAACAAAAGTACATCCAGCTGCAAAAAAGTAACAAGTGCCACAGGTATGGAAAAACCTAAGTGTAATAAAACTTCCCAAGGACAACTACCATATGCGGTGACGCTCAGTTTACATCAGAGGAAGCGCAACATAAAACTCCGATGGCCTGCTTTACCTTGTTGACCAGCTCCCGAAGAAAAAGCTGTTCTAGGGGAAGATAAGCATCGACGATTTCTTGTGAAATTTTGGATAGACCACATTGATTGAAAAATTGCCGAATTTCTGCAGCTGCAAAAAGAACGTTTTTGAACAAGAAACTGCCGTTCATGCATTCAACCAAAAAGTCGCCAAAAAGCATGAGCAGTCTTAAAATGTGCTACAAAAAATATGCTTCACAGTCTTCCTATCACACTGCTTTGAAGTGCCATGTACTTGCTTACGATGTGCAAACAAAACAGTTTATATTTTACTGGCTACATTTGGTCAGCAAGAGTAGACATCCCCTAGTGTTATCAGTAGTTCCAACTCAAGATTAAACAGGAATATTACTGAGCTGTACTGTTTCCAAACGTTCTGATATCACCAAAAGCGAAGCAAGTGGTTAAAGCCATTGTAGTCTTGTTCTAAAGGATTATCGTTCAGGCGAGAAGTAAGCAAGTGAATAGCGCTAGAAAGCATATCATATTCCAAAGACTATTATCAACATAAACTTTTCGTGGAAAAACCATTCCAAAGTTTAGATCAAACTCACAGTTTCCATGTTCTTTTTCGTTCTTCTGCAATGTGCCCGTCTAAAACGCACAGAACATCAATTAATGACACGCTCTAATTCCAGTAATCACCGGTGCAAAAGAGTCATTCACGGATGACAAGACAAATGCTACGGTCACCTCTCAAAGGGAACAACAGGCGTGAAAATAATCTGAGTCTACGTCTATCAGTGTTGCGCGTTCCTTGTCCAAGGAAGGCTAACATGAGAGAAGGAGAAACGATATTAACGGACTTTATTCTGAAGGTCTGCAACACTATCCATCTGCGACTAGAGAGTATTCTCCCCTGTTATTTACCGACAATCTCCGCCGAAGGAAGTTGAGATAGAGCTCGATTCTTGCATTAAATAGAACTGAATCAGAAATCAGTGATTCGGTGGACAAGCAGTAATCCCACAGTAAGCTTTGCTTGTTTTGACCGGCGCCAGAGGACGCAAAGGTGGAAGGGCGGTTGTTGAACAAAAGTTCATGACGGGCGCGTTGCAAAATGACAGATAGATCGCGTTTCTCTTTGAAATCCATAAATATGATTTCGGCATGGTGATCACATTGGGTCTGAATCATGCAGATGAAATTCAGCAGGCTGTCACCACCTGAAAAAAAATCAAGAACGCCTGTAACATTGGCGCACATAATGGGCTCAAAACTAAAAGACTCACATTCCACGCACCGTAGCTGTCATGAATTACAGGCTCATTGGTTTGGATAGCCTGAGCAGCGAGCTCAAGTAGGTATGTCATTAAGTCAACATGCACATTCGGTTTGTCAAATGACTGTGTAGAAGTAACGACTGCAAATTGCGTCTCCGCTTTCTCACCAATCTTCGTGGCAATATATTTGCCATACTTAGTAAGGCCCAACTCATGCTTGCGTATGATGGGGAATATTCTGAAAAGCTCCTCAATTGCCTTTGTGTTTTCAACGGTGACGAAATTATCAAATGATTCGGAGACTCTTGAGATAACTTCCAAATGCAGTTCCTTCAACTTCGGCAAAATAGATAAACCAACATTCTCTGGAAGAATCGAAATGACGTATCTAGACAAACCTTTTTCTAGTGTTTCAGCTAGAGATATTGTTTGATCATCCATTCCAAGAAAAATAGAAATACTCTTAGCGGCCTAGAAAGTTAACATTAGAGGAAGCAACTTACCTCTACAACATTATTTGATTCGAGGGCTTTTTGCGTATCATCTAGGCACTTGCAAAGAGTTATAACGTGCCCTATCAGTGCTTCAACATTTTGAACTCGATTCTAACGAATACACACACTGCAAAAATGACAAAATACCTTTGCTACATCAAGCTGTCTAACTTTTCCACTTAACTGTATCCCGATAGTCGCGGCATTGCTCACAATAGCGGAGAGACCTACGGCTTCTTTATTTAATGCAGACATTTTGGGTCTACAAATTTCAAACAGCAACATCAGAGGAACCTACAACGAATTCCCCAACTCTTGGAGTTTTTCATCTAGCTCGGTGCGTCGCAATTCATACTTCTTAATCGAGGCAGCAAGGGAATTCTACTCACTATGCTATTAACAACACTGGGCACCTCATACTCTTCCAATTCTAAGAGAGCCCTATTTAACTCCCCGATGCTTCTCAGTTGACCAACGTCAGTATTCATCACCGAGTGGGCTAGATTGCGAATAAGGGTTAAGCTGTGCATCAGTCCATTGAATGATAAGATCAACGTTCAAATTCCACCGCTTTATTTGCATACGTTTCTAGTGCTGCTACATTCCACGCTATATTGGAGAAATTAAAAAGTTAACAGGTGCAGTTTTTAGCCCGATTTTTTCTCTAAAAACAGTGTAGGTAGGTTCCAAAATTTCCCAAAAACTGGGCTTTTAGGGTAGAGCTAATTAGGAGGCTTTTAGTGATATCGACACTAAGTTAGTGTATTTCTGTGACATTTTTGTGGCACTTGGCTCATTTTAATCAATATTCGTTTTAATCCATGAATGGTGTTGTAGAACCTACGATGATCATTCAAAATGAGCGAAATCTCAGACCGTGACGCAATTGTTATTGGAAAGTCTTGTAGAGTTAAAGTTATATGTTTAGGAGATAGCGCTGTTGGAAAATCAAAGTAACTTCCGAATACTAACTTTATGTCAAGTTAGGCTGGTTGAAAGATTCCTGCTTAGTGGGTAGTATCCTTTTCTAAGATGTATTTGCGCATTTGCAACTGACGTTTGGTTTCTGAGCAAATGCAACGATTGTTGTCTGACAATCCAGATAATTTCAATAAAACCTATATCACAGAAGTAATTTGACGCACTTTGGTTGCAGCTTACATGAAAAACAAAATTGTTGGGCACCTAATGACTTCTATGAATAGCTCAAACACTTTTTTTTGAAAGTTGCACTCAACCTGCTCAGAAAACTCTAAAAAGTGGTAATGATCAACCTAGAATTTAAAAAATCGCCATGTAAGTCCATGTTTGCACTAGATAAACACGGTCCCAAATGTCGTTATTTTCCCATTTACTGCCGTTAATTCACGTTTATGTTAAGACTTTTGCACCATCTTTCTGCTGTGTAAGAATTTGAAACGTCTTTGCATTGCATCGTACACGTCCCAACGACGTAGGCAAATATCGGCTGTAGTAAAAGATTGGCAGTGATTTGAGCCCTTAACCAGGTAAACCCAGCCAGTCCAACCAATTATCAACATACGCACTCAATATATACAAGCATCAAATGACAATAGAAGATCGTTTAATTGACGTCGGTAAGATATCCCTCAACAGGCACTAAAATCTTCAGACTTTTGGGATACCGCGGGTCAGGAGAGATTTCAGAGCATGCATCCATCTTACTACCATCAAGCACACGCATGCATCCTCGTTTTTGATGTGACGCGGAAGATAACTTACAAAAATTTAAACAACTGGCTATCAGAACTACGGAAGTATCGTCCAGAAATTCCATGTTTCTGCGCAGCGAACAAAATTGATAGTGAGTAGCAACTTGGTATAAGTGAAAATCCCTTGTACAGCCGATACTGAGGTGACGAATAAAGCATTCAACTTTGCGAAGAAAAACAGCATACCCTTCTACTTCGTGTCTGCGGCGAATGGTACGAATGTTGTGCGAGTGTTTACAGACGCAGTTCGAGCGGCTGTGGCATACAAAGAAGATTCGACAGACCCCTTAGACCAAATTATGGAGGAACTTGAAGTATGTCTTTGTCACTCGCCCAAATTCATATTCCAATATGCCAACGGCAATCAGATAGTCACCTTGATCATGCATTCAAAGGAACTCTTTTTTGTTTGCTTTATAATCGTGCGCATTGCCAACATTTTGGACACCTCAAACCATGGTACTGGTTTGCCTTTTAGGTTATGGAGCAAAACCATGAAGTAAATGATGGTGAATCATCTTACGCCGATCCCCTGTCGTAAATGCTCCATGAAGCGCCATGATGCGGTGACTTGACATTATCTGCTGGTGCCGTGATTCCGTAAATAAGGACTCGATTTGTTAATAAATAAATTTGCGAAACATCAAATCTGACAGTTAGTCCAGAACTTCGGGACTCTGCTGGAAAATGGCAACTCTACACAACCAGAAGCAGCGTCATCTTACGCTCGTGCCCTTGCTATTTTTCAGACGTATTATATTCCTTACATTTTGACCAAATCTCGTGTCTGCTTTTGTGCAACTTGAACTCCATAAAATTAAAAGTCCTTAGTTGAATTTATCAAAAAAGATGCTAATTGTTACTAGCATCATAAATTTATTAAAAAGGGTTATAAACAATGCAATGGCTCACGGAACGTGAAGCACAATGAGCAGTGGACGCATGAATCTTAAAGCCTGTGCTAATAATAAGCTACTGTAACTGAGCGAAACGCCAATCCCGGTGATAAGGTACCATGAAAACCCACGGGAGTACATCGCCAAATCATGCAAAAGACACCCAAGGAGAGTGAACCTTAGTTTCCGAAATACTAGCCATTGAGAGTAAGTATTTCACGTCTTGTCATCGCAAACGAAATCACGGCGCAAATTAGAAACGCAACATCTAAGCACATGCAAACAGAAGCCAGTCGTTGACCGAATTCACAACTACAAAGAAAGATCAAGAGGTATGAGGCAGGTTTATTCATCCGACTAATAGCTATATAGGCTTTATCTTGAAATGAAGTCCAATTAAGGAGAAGACCAAACATTTCAAGTCCTGTACTAAATAGTAGAATGTGTGCAATCCCCCAGGATCCCTAGTAAAAAGGAATAGGGCAAAAAGAAACAAACTTACTTGCAGTTGTTAATTTCAATTAGGGAACCAATTTTGGACGTTGTAAAGGAAATATGCTCATCCCCACATACAATCTCTAACTCCTGTCGGCCCACACGATCCGGGGTGGGCCAGTTGGCATCGTCCTCATTCATTATATCGCTGTCAATGATAATGCGTTTTAATTCCTCCATAACTGCTTTGCTGACAGTGGCCTAAACCACATTTTTCATACAAATTCCACTACCTCTTTTCGGATCATCGTGTCATTTTTGTAATTGGAGTTATTGGCATAACGTAGTTTACCTGCCTGCATTATGCTTTTAAAGCACACATACCGTCTGGTCGAAACTCAAACTCTAGAAACTCATGACCAAATTTTCCTCGGTGTCCAACATAATAACGGAGGTAAAAAGCATCGGCCATCCTGATTGCTACACCAACAGGTTGAATATTGTCAGGCTATCTGTTACCAGAACAGGTCATGACACATAATTAAATCCACCAATCAAAGTAGTTGTAAAATTTTTGGTGATGATTTATTTACTTAAAGTCTTAGGCAAAAACTACCTTTTTTACAATTTCGTGACACTTCCGACAATTTTTAAAACTCATCTCGTTTTTATGCTGGTGATTTTACTCGCATAGCCTTGTTCGTTTGCAGTCCTAATGCGAAAACATTCGTGTTGATGTCATCATATTGTTGCCTTATTAATGCACGATCTAAATAGCAATTTGTTTGTTTAAAACAAAATTCTTTCTGACTGTAAAGGGTTAGCAATAGCTAAATTCTCTGATATTCTAGAAGGGTAAAAGTGATTCCAGTTGCTTCTTATTAGGAGATCATGAGCCTTCTCAGCACTCAAGCCATCAACTTGCTCTCAGAAATACTGTAATACGCTGACTAAGTTACTTTTGGTTTTGCTAAAAGATTTACTTTGGGTATCTGCCATTGCACCTTCGCCGGGTGGGGTGGTTTTCACTCCACACCATTAGACCCAACCCTACTGTATGTCATATTTAGCGTCCCGGGACTCACTGAAGACGAAAGAAGACACAATACTTTGGCAGAATATATATATTCAGCACGGCGAAGGTGTCTGGGCTATTGGCATGGCCCAAAAGGCCAGCCCACCCAGCGAGGTACAAGGGGGCTAATTCGAAGTACAAAAGTCGCGCCTCACCAAAACCGAGGGATAAACCACTATTGTATTACAATAAATATATGTAATACTTTCGCTTAAATGTACCTTCCAGGTAGAAGGCACTCTGGAAATACGAATCTGGTGACAGGATTGTCCCCTTCCGTGCCTAGTGATTGCGGTTCTCCCCCTCCTTAAACGTTGTACTTTCCCTCCTGATCTTTTCCTCTTTAATAAATATGTCTAAATCAAATCAACCGGTCTGTTCTAAGAACACTAGGAACAGGGAAGATGAGGCCGGTTAGTCTCACTCTACATGGAGGTTCTACCCGAGTATTATGTCCACTTCTGACTTTAGAAAAGCGTCAAAGCGCCAAAACACTCCAAATCAAATTAATATTTTTGTTTCTGGCTGCATTCTACCACATTCTACCATGTAGTGATACGTGTACATATATGTGTATAATTTTGTAGCAGTTCAGTGTTTTGTTTAGTTTTGTATTGTATTAAAGGGCTACGTCCACCAAAAGTGTTTTCACCCTGCAGTATGGTTTTGGTTTATGCTAGCAGCCTCTCAACTCTTCAGTGCGATAGTACTATGGGTTCTTAAGCAGTGCATAGTCTTGTTTCAAATTTTGGAAGGATTAGGGATACTTTGTTTGTTTTTTGAATGTCGCGTGTCAGTCATTGTGCTTTTGCTGTAAGTAGAGCCCAGGACAGAATATATGTATTCAACAGTTATTCACAAGCTGTCTGAATTCCCTTTCTTTGTGGGATCAGGAGAAGCTCATCTTGGAATCATTGCCCATTTCAGAAACTGCTACATGTATTTGCGTATTGCTTTAACTTTTCGTTAAATTTCCTCGTTTACCAAGATAACCTATTTCTCTGCTTAAATTGCGCCTTTTTTAAGAACGCTACTTTTCGATACCGTTCCCCTCTTCATCAAGTGTATTTATTTTTGCTGGTCTCATTATGTGCTTGGGAGTGAAACATCTCTCTTCAAAAAGCTTACCTTTCACCTGTCCTTCTTCTCCATGATTTAACCTCATTCGTGCTGACTTTTGTTTCCCTTTTATCATTTGTTTCGGGCTGATTTTTACTGGTAGGAATCTCTCTCTCCTGACAAGCAAGAGCGTCTTCCACAAGCGTGCAGGAATTCCCACACAAGGAATCCTTATTTTTAATATATTGTTTTACGGTGTTGTCACTTTTTTCCTCAAGTTTCATTCATCATGATAATCAACCTACATTCCTTCTTCGACATCTATATTCCCATCCATACGCCCAAAGCCTTTCCCTTTGTTGACACCAAAAATCGTATCCTATCTCTCTCCACCTGCACTTTGATCGCTTCAGACTTGTTCACCTCAATGAGGCCATCAAATGGCTTTTCCCCGTCTTTTGTCATCAGATTTTACATATTTTTTAAAATTTTTAATGGGTAGCAGAATCTACCTATTCTGAAAGCACTTGGATTGGGGAATTCGTCGCATCTATTTTGAGTCATCAATCACAAATCTATCTCCCAACCCCGATTTTAAGTAACATGCCTCTTTATTTTCATTCTTAATTTAGGATTTAGAATTTAAGGTCTTAAGACTTGTAAAAATTAGGCGCTTTAGCTGCCTTTTAAATTATATCCTCTGCCGCTATTTTAGATTAGTTCAATAATGCCCAAACCACCGTGTCAAAATAAACACTAATATCTTGAACACGTCCCAGTAACTTAAATCATTGCTAAGGGAGAGCTTTTTTAAAGATTTTCGGTACCAAAATAAAGCGAAAAAAGTCTTTGGCAAAGTTTTGGTCGCAGTTACAAGCCTATCTAATGACCTAGAAGAGGACGGATATAGTTAACTATAGTACATGACAATACAGTGGTGTAATATACTTGACGGAATTAGAAGTTAAAATTTGTATCATGTACAAGCCGAACTTACCTATTTTGCAATAATTCCCACTTTACAGTACTTGCATAATGGGATTCTGTTCTACCTTAAGCGTTATCTTAAACTCGGTGGTGCAGACATCACTCAGGGCAGCAGTCCTGCTAAGAGTGGTAAGGTTATCCAACTCATTGGTACTTACCAGCTCTGGCCTATCCCACTCTCGATTATGGTTCTGCTAAATCGTAGTCTACTTCCACTGCAAAAGAAGTAATTTACAAATCATTATCATCTCGCGTTTGATTGCATTGCTATCCGCAAAGACCGCGAACGAGTTAAATTGACATCGTTGATCCAATGCCTACAGAGAAGCTCGCTGACCCTTTCAAGGCTGTATTACTGGGAGGCATGATAGCTTAAGAAGAGACCCGTCTATATCAACCCGTGCTGGGAGTAGGGATCGGCGACTAAACCCCGTCTCGGTTGAGGAGAGATATACCGTTCTTGGTAAAATTGCTGGAAGTTGGTGATTCTCTTCTCAGACAACCATGTCTTAACCGCCTATCCACCAACACCAGGAGTACACTATTGTTTTGTGGGTCTAAACACCGCCAAAACGTAGCGATAGTCGACAGTCACCTACAACTTTACCTGTTCTCTCGTCCATGAGCTAAAATACTCAAAAGTAATACGTTAAACGCGAATTATGCAGAATATGCTCAAAAGCATCGATTCTACTAAAAGAGGTTTACCGTATATCTGCGTTTTGTTAAGAATGTTGGTCATACTTTGTAACTGATAGTTTCCAAACATTTGTTCTTACAACAAGGTTTCTTGTTTTAGATGCTCCCTGTAGGATTCAATGGGGCAATAATTGTAACACCTCTACTTTAATTAATGAATTCGCCCCTCTGTTAATTGTAGATAAGTAGAAAAAAAGCTGCTGCAAAAACTGTAAAACCTAAACGTTCATACAGCACGGTTTTCGGTCTTACTCAGGTATGCTTAGATGACTAAGCTAAGAACGAGTCCAGCTCCTCGATAAACTGATGACAGTTTTCTTGCTTAACTAATACAAATAGTTTATTCATATGAGAAACTTATAGTGCAATGGAATGTCATTTTTGATTCTTAAAGTTTCTGATGGTTTGTCCTGTTGCTTCTGGTTCCTTATCATTAAATCGAAAGCAATGGTTAAGGGAAGGTATCCTGTGCTGTTCAATGTGGATTTACAAAGATAGGATTTGTTTCTATGGAATTTGTGTTCAGTTCTTACTAAAAGATTAACAAAGCCCTCTGGCACCATAAAATGCACATTTAGGCAAACATCATTACATATTTTTGATGAAATTTCTTGTGTTCTACTAAGCATCATGATGGATTTGCTTGAGGCCAATTTACAGGTTTTAAGCATATAAAGATTTACTATATTACTAACTTAAAATTATTTTAAGGATAGGAATGCATTTTAGTGGGCGTATAATTGGAAATCGGTACTGACAACCTGATTTTGTTTTCAGTCCTGTTTAAAACACTTATCGCACCGGCGCCCGCTCTGGAATTGCTGACTTTGCCCATTCTTCGATGGAGTACCTGATAGGGATTGCCTTTAACGACTTTGCGATAATAGCTGCGGATGCACGAGTCAGTCGCTCAATCATTGCATTGAAAGATGATGCTGACAAAATGTTCAAACTAAGCAAGCATTGCCTAATGGCTGTTTGTGGTGAACATGGTGATACCGTACAATTTGCAGAGTTCATTCAGCAAAACATGCAGCTGTATGAAATCAGAAACGGTTATGAACTAAGGCCGTATGCAGCGGCTAGCTTCACCAGGAGGAATTTGGCTGAAGCTCTTCGCAGCAGAAATCCCTACAACGTCAATCTTCTTCTTGCTGGTTATGATCCTGATGCCGGCCCTAAAATCTACTACATGGACTATTTAGCCTCCATGGTGGACGTACCGTACGCTGTGCATGGTCACGGTGGTTTCGTGACTCTTGCAGTCTTGGACAGTCAATATGATCCTGCCATGAAAATTGACCACGCTCTCATTCTTCTCAAAAACTGTATCAGTGAGCTTCAAAAGCGCTTTATTGTTAATTACAACCGCTTCATTGTTCGAGTTGTGAATAAGGAAGGTATTGAAACCCTACCCGATTTGTTTTAATCTTGCCATATGAGTAAATTGTTCCCAAATTCAACTTTTCTCCTGACCTGTAATTTTTGCGGTGGGCACTAACGGCCTCATTGATTTGTGGGTTTTTTCTTCAAATCTGTTTGGCGTGTGAATGAATCTGTATGTCCAGTCATTTTATTGCTGAACGAAATAGCCATTCCCATTATTGGTTTCACCAGGTGAGTTCTGAGTAGGATTTGGCTCATCGCCTAAGCGACCTCTCAATTTTTTAGCTTAGCTATTTGCTTTACTGTAAGCAAATAAGTAGCTTTTAACTGGGCGTCTTTCTCATTAGGTGAAATCGTGATCGACTTAGGTATTCTAGAACATCATCAATGACCTTGCAATCACATTTTTTGTGAGGAAGCTTTGGCGAAGACGTATCGTCTAGTCTATTTCAAGTTCAATGCTGTACCATTTTGGAGTACTGCCTACTTGAAAGGCAGGAAAAGGGTCTTTTGGGCTTTATTGCCAAAATCGACATACTTTCTGACCTTATCCTTTGTTACGGATGTTTGACGTTCGAAGGCTGCGCGGAAAACTCCCAAAGTTCCGATTTGGCCTTGGGTTTGAATGCTAGTACTCTGTCAAGTGTTATGCTTGTACAATATAAAACTTACAATGAGTTGCCTCAGCAGTCGCCTAGCCTTAGACTGGACTTGTCATCAGCTAAATCGATGTTGTGCGAATTTTTTGAAGTGGAACTTGATATCCCGTTTTACGCATTGAATATCTGCAACTTGTTCCGCAATTTTATTTCTACCTTTCTTAATATTGAACTTTGCATTTAGGGCTAAAAAGGGGTGATGAATTATCGGCATAGAACGCATCCACAAAGTAGCCTTAGAAGGGAACCATGTTTTCCGAAATTACTAATGCATGTTTTTATTTCACTCCTGTTTTAAAAAGCGATTTTTACATTTGGTTTTTATGCAGTTTAAAAATACCTGAGGGCTTGTAAGTAAACTGATTTAATTATCACTAGTCGTCATTGATGAGGAAACCGATTGGGAGATTCCATTGCGATTCCTTTATACATGCAGCTTTCGCCCTTTGTCACACCGTTTAGGTCGGACAGTTTAGGGTGTCCTACATCAGATCTGCGTTGGAGTAACAATAGAAGAGTAGGCAAAAGCTCTTTTAGGCGTTTTGCTTATTTGATGTATAGGTGGGTGAAGCATGTTCCGTAGGGGGGTAGGAAAGGGGAGAGAGAGAAAGAGAGAGTAGGGAGACCTAACAGCTCATAAACAGCAGAAGGGGCACAAATGGGTTGGTCTAGGTCAAGACAATCCGCTGGGGTTCAGTAATAGGTGTATATATATATATATATATATGGGTGGTGGTATAATTAGAACCTACACACCTTTCCCACGCATTAAAAACACCTCTACTTCAGCCAACGTTTCGCAATCGAATGTCATTTACACAAACTCCAAGGGATGGGAGAACACAAATGAGGATTGGAAGGGACATCAATAACGTGGAGGCTGAGAAGGGAGGGAATTTTTTTCTACACGAAAGCTAAATGCCTCGAAGTGCACAAACGCAATGAAGTGGGAAGGACAGTGGGAATGAGGTGGTAAAAGGGTAGACTCGGATTCACTAGTAATGATGGGTTGAGCAAAGTGGCGTGTCTCGCGTCTTCTCAACCGTCCTTCATATCACCCGAGAGAAAGTTGAAGGCTTATTGGTCGAGCCATAGTCAGAATGCTCTGTGTGTGAATGGGCGGGGATGTGAAACACTGGCGCGAAAGATGATACTGCAGTTAGAAATGGTGGTGCTAAGAGTGCGGAGACACGAGCTGCCGGCAGCCGTGAAATGGTCATGTCACGCTATGCTATCGAAAGAAGGCCGGAAGGAGCAGAGAGCAAAGGAGGGGATCGAAAGGTGGGGGCAGGAGGGGAGACAAAGTTAATCGGGGTGGTTAGCTCTTTGGCCGAGACACGGACGAAGCAGCAGCGCGAGAGGCTGCATTGGCGGCACGGAGTGCCTTTTGCACGGCTTCAGCAGCGGCGCTAGCGGCCGCACGCTTCTCCTCCAGCGAGAGTTCCGCCACCTGCGCTGTTGGTGGACCTAACTTGCCGGCGTTGTTCACAAGGTTTATGAAGAGAAAGGCTAGGCACAGGTTCAGCAGCAGCACCATCACCACCACTATGTTTGCCCATAACCAATCCTGCAGGATCAAAACTCCAACATCAGTACCAAGTGCTTCTGTGGTACACGGTCAAATCATTAACCCTTCTCATCAAGGAGCCCATGGTGATCCCTCTTGTGTCCACCTTCGCTATTTATACTGTACTCTTCGATCTGCAGCTATTCTTAGAGCCGATTAGTTTAACTTAGTTTGTTTTATGAATAACTTCTGAGTTGTCCTCTTTGAGGTGATTTTGTCAGTGAGACCTTTATTTGCCAGGACTTGAGCTAACAAACTGCTAGAATTTCTCTCATGCATTTTAGATTCTCCTATAAGAAAGAAACAGCACTGATTTACGGTGGTGCTCGGAAAAAGCGATTCCTCCGAGCAATGACGAGCATGGAGGGGTAGCGGCCAATCTAGATGACCATATTACCTTGATATCCGCCAGCCGAATAATGATTTCACCACGCTTTTTGCGTTCCCGATCGAGCAGCAGTTCGTGGCGGCGCTGCTGACCGAGACGGCAGACCTCATCGCGAGTGAGGAGACCACCGATTCCGAGACGAGGCGAACCAGACCCGCCCTTGCTCAGTAGCATGCCTTCAACACCCTTGGAGACGTCGGGCATGCTCGTCTCAAGCCCACCAGTACGCAAATTTCCCACCGACTCAATCTTGTAGGCATCCGGCAGGGGCAACAATTCGCCTGTGTCGAAGTCCGTCTCCAGTCGATGTGGCATGCCCGTACCTCCCGCCAGTCGTCGGACTTCATCACCACCTTTGAAACGCCGGTCAGGTCTGTAGGATAGATAACAAAGTAGTATTTAACTCAGACCCTAGGTCCCTCCCTAAGCAAACTATCCGAGATATGTCTCATTTACGAAAAGCTTATAAAGGTAAATTAAGGTGCAGGTGGTCCCCAAGTTATGAAAGCACCTGAAATAAGTGAATGTTTTCTGATTGCACATAAAACTTACGAAACTCCATGTCCTCGTCGCAGCGTCCCCGCAGCACCAGGAGTGTTCCCCTTCGTCAGCAATCCACCCCCTTCGGAAGCCTTGGTTGGCTGCACCCGCTTTTTCACACCATCCTCAATAATGTACGTCTCCACGAGGTTCTCCGAACTGTGGTGCACGTCGTCCAAGTTAGAAGAGAGGCCGGGCATCGCAAAGTGCTTCTCTCCCGCAGGATTTCCCAGCGCCGCAGCAGAAGAGGGTGAAAGTCGACTTGCGCCACCTCCAACTCCTCCTGCTGTAATCCCCTGCCGTCGCAGTGTGATCGTCTTACTGCTTGCCTGCGGAGTCGGCACTGTTGATGGCGGTGTGGTGAGAATGGAGGGCAGCGTGCGCCTCCGTGTCATCTTTCGCTCCTCTGGGGCTGTCGGCATCTTGCCCGACTTCATGAGATCGAAGGCTGAGAGTGGCGGTGGTCCTGTAAAACCCGCGGTCGCCGCTCGTGCCATTGGCCTCCCCTGAGCCACTCGCTGCTCTGTTACTGGTTTAGACGCGGTGTTTGCAAACTCCATCATGGCCATGTGCACCTGGGACCATAGTGATGACAAAGCGACACTTCCAATTATAGAAAACTGTGCATTCAAAATAGATTAGATTCAAAGAATAGAAATATTTCCGTGCATTGCATGGAATGGACAACAAATTCGTTCGCAAAGTTTGTTATTCGGAAAAGCTTGCGCACCCTGGGCGCCAAGGCAGCTTCCCATATTCCGAAATCTCTCATTACGTACGTCAAAATAAAGCACATAATTTTACTCTAGAATTAGAATGGTCATCAAATAAGCGGATTCATTCAAATCAACTACTTATGAACAAGTGAAACAGCCGGTCCTGGACCGGCTCTCTTATGTATCCAAAAGTCCCGGTTTGAAGTGCATGCCCCTAATGCTTATCCTGCTGAATATCGGGAGATCGTGTTCTTCGACTCACTATTCTGTGGCTTTTATTTGCTGCTGTTGTTTGATGCTTCCTAGATGTGTACTTTTCTCCTGTTCAAAGTATGATAGACGGTTTGCCAGAAGTGTCATTCTGTCAGTGACACCTTCTGGTACTCCTTTAAATCATTCAAAAATGGATTTAATTTTACATGATTTAACTAGTTTTCGGCATTTTTAAGTTAAATCTCACCTGTGAATCGTTGGAAAGAACAACCTGTGCTGTGTGCAAGACCGGAGGCTTCTTGGCTATTGGCGATGGGACAGCTGGTGTAACGGGTCCACCCAAAGTCTCAAACTTGGTCTCCTCTAAGTTTTGAACTGTCGCGAATTTTGGTGACCGTGCATTCACCGTCGCTGTTTGAACCTTCGTTAAAAGAACGGATTAATGTAATTTGCATTATTTGAACATGACCCACATCGTTTCCACTAGCTAACGCTATACTTGTCAAAATCAGTGAAATTGGCAAATAACGAGAAGGGCTAGAAGTGGAAGAATGTTAAACCCTACGTTTGTTTGTTGATGTACACTTCCTCTTTCAGGCAACGATGACGCGCCTATTGACGCGTGAGTGTTGGAACGCTTGATGTGCGGACTTAGTTACGGACAGCCTTACCTGAATACAATTGGTACGCTTAATCCTCCCACATTACGTCTAGCCTCTTTGATGAATGATTTGATGGCGAGATGAACGGGGCAAATGATAGCCTTGATCTCATTGAGGCAGTTGCTGGTACGATCAGCATTGATTCTACATATCAGTAAACCATTCATACAGCCACCGAAAGAGGGCGATGACAGCAAGTTCTCCTTCAAGCAAAGAGTGAGCTATTCGGTAGCAAAGAAAGTGGAAAAAGTAGGTCGTTTACCATGACGGTGCCAAAGTCATGTTAAAAGTCCGTTTTGACCCTGATATTGCTAAAATTCAGTGAATGTTTACCTAGTAGATTTGAGATAGTCTTCAGCTTAGCACCAACTTTTTCCCTGTGCTTACCTGCGCCGCCTGTGGCTTAATTTCTTCAGCGGGTTTGGGTCCGTCAAGGTTACTCTCGTTCAGAGTGCCACTGGTGCTGCGTTTGAAACTGGATCGAAAACTGCCGCGCCGGTTGCCGCCACTCACCTCGAGGCTGTTGACGAAGAGGTTGTTGGTGTTCGCCAGCCTCATAGTCACCCCATTCGGGGCGACCTGTGCCGTGGTGGAGGGCGTTCCACTGCGAGTGATCATGTGGGCGAAGGGATTGTTCCGCTCCCATTGTACCCCTTATCAAAATAATAAAAAATTGTTTTTAAGCTGTACTTGTACCTTCCACTTCATGGAGTTAAAGTGGTCTCGAAGTGGTGGCTAAAATCTCGCTCATGTGGCCTAAATTCGTGGTGGTTAGCCTCGTAGCTTTTTAAACTGACGAACCCATTTGAATGAAGTCGGAGGCAAATTCAGTGGCGATAGCGCGAGCTTGATCCGAAATGTTCTTCGCCTCCTCCGCTCTAGTCTCGGCTGTCTTGGCAACACTCCGAGCAGTTTGAGCCCTGCAGAAAAGTTAATGTAATTGCATTTAGATCTGACCATAAAATTCCCGGGTAAATTAATGTGACTTTTAGGTATCCTATCGGTAGGTTAACTTGTGAGCTTAAGCACAAATATCGGCACTTGGTGTTTCTGTATGCTGGAAGCTGGAGAAACCGGGAGGCCATAAATCCGATTGGCATGAATTAACCAGGTCCCCTACACAAATTCCACCCAACACCGGAAGCAGAGAGGGGGTCAGCACGAGGACACAGTTTGTCAGAAGTGCAGCATTTTTAGGCTCTGCAGTCCGGCTTCCCTTTGACCTGATTAGACCAGATACCAATTAAAGGGCGAATTTAGCCTGCAAATTCCTGATACGTTTGTTTGTGCAGCCACATACACACTGCCATCAAAAGTAGCTTACAGGCTGTCAACTTGGACAAAGGAGAAAAGTGTAATTTCCGTTAGAAAGTAACTTTAAATGCACACAAATGTGTAAAGTAGAAACTCCGTTGTTCAAGAAAAGCGATCGCTTGTAGTGGTTGAAAACGCTCATTGTGAGCTGAAAGGAGAGCCAAAGTAAAGGTCTGCATGCATTCATTTTTTAGAGGAGTTAGTTAATAACTAACCTTTGGTGAGCAGTCTCAGACGATTTTTCTTGAGCTTCTTTGGCCGACTCCCGAGCTTTTCTCACAGCCTCCTCTACATTATCCTTTAGTTTCGAATGCCTAAGGAGGTAGAGCTTAGTCCTTTTCATTAATGGCTGGACAATAATGTTCTCCTTGTAGCGACCCTCTTCCCGACTTCCATCCGGATGATAGGTGACTCCGTAGCCATCCTTCTTATTGTTAAACCACTCCCCTTCGTAGCGAAGGCCATCTGACCTCTCGGCCACACCGTAGCCAGATCGTCGATCTTCATTCCACTGACCACTGTAGGTCTCCGTCACATTCGGGCCCAGTGGTTCATCCAAGCTGTCTGTTGCACCAACTCCGGTAATATCGGCCCGACTCTGGTGCTCCGCGAACACAGAATTCCCCGTGACTCCGCTGATGTTTGAGCGCAGAGAACCACCGGCACGCGGCCCATGCAATCCACCGAATCGACCGGAGCTAGCAGAGCCAGGTCCACTGATCGTGTGGGGACCCACACTGCTCAAATCACCGGTAGATTTGGGTTTCCGTAATTTACGTAAGAGGAATCGTTTGAGGGAGGTGCGCCTCTCATTAGAAGAAGAGCGAAAGGGGGCGGCGGATTGAGAACGAGAGGGAGGAGGTGTGGTGCCCACAGGGTACGAGGTGGCTTTGAGCACGAATCCCGAGCGGAAGGCTTCGAATCTTCCACCGTGGATATGGTCAACGGAGCCTGCAGAACCACCAGAGCTACCGGGCCCCCGCCAGCCACCACGATCAGAGTCGTGGGTGGAGGGCAGACTACTCTGGGATTGAGCGGCGCGCACTGTGCTGTGATGCTCCGCTGCCAACCCCCAGGGTGCGGATTTGCGGACACCCAAACCCTGACGCATACCTTTCGACCAGGCGCCGGCGTAAATACCTACAAATAACAAATAAGGTAACGTCATTGTGTTTAGGCACGTTTACTACCCTTTCTATCATTGAGGGCATATTCTTTGTAGGTTTATTATGACCTTATTTCTCTTTTTTTTCCTCCCCGGACCATTTCCTCCCCTTTTAACCTGATGTGCAACGTGTGGACGCAGGTGAGAATATTGAGGCATCACAGAGATGCACTGCTGGCGGCAAATGGGGTACGTGAGATGGTCAGTGGATTTCAAAACGCTTTCACTCTTCTAAATTCTCATGAAATAGAAATGTCCATTAGCGATTTGAGTAAATAAGGCAGACACTTGGCTGTTCAAAAGAGGGACCCCTCATCCACACCCCAAACCGATCGATAAGGTGTGCGCGTGCGCGCGGCGCGTGCGGCATTGCGTGAATTGCGTTGGCCGTTTCAGCTTCAACAGAGGTGCTAATTGGACACGCGTGGAGGCGCACCGCCCTGCGCAGCCTCTTCTTACCCACAGGCAACACGGCACACTGCATCCTGTGCACAACCTAATGGTCATGGTCGTGGTTGTGGTCGAATTGATCTTGCCACAACTGCGAATATCCACCACCACCTACGAGGCATATCCCACACCCTAACTGGGAGCTAGGCTCACGCCTCGTGGATTTAGTCGGATTCCTGCCACTAAGGTGTCACGGTCAGCCGGATACTTCGTTAAGACCGTTCAAGGTAATGCAGCCAAAATACGATCGAGTTTTGAAACGATACACGCAAAGTGTGATGACTGAAAGACTTAATCGGACCCAATCCGATTTCCACCATTAGCAATCTAGGCCTGAAAGCAAACTGTTGGAAATGTCTAAAGTGCTCTAAGAGATGGCAAATGTCAAAAGAAGTCTTACGTGAAATGTCTGTCCCTGTTATACTACCAATTTCAATCCATTTATATAAAGTGATGTTTGCGTAAACTGACGCTTTTTAGGTTAGACGAGGGTTTCGCACCTTAGCAAGGAATGCGAGTGGCTACAAACCACCACAGCATTGAGAATTAAGTAGCATAAATTTGTCACATTTGCCAACAGGGTCGCAGAGGAGCATCGGTCCAAAGTTGCTTTTTCCTAGTATGGCACCAAATATCTCCATTTATCTTGTCCTTTCGAGGCTCCCTCACTTCCCTTTACTTAAATGTGTCATGTTTATAGCGGCCGGGGTCAGTTAAGGGAATGGAGACGTTCCATATATCCGACGCCTGTAACGAAAGTTTCGAGCACCATAATAATTTTCTATGTGAAAATTCATGAGCTCTTTGAGGAATTCTATTATGAAGCTGGACATTAATGTAGATTTTAAATGAAGATTTTCCTTATAACTTGTGTCCGTGAGCAAGTGACCCGTAATCCACGTGGCTCGTTTTCCGATTTCGGGAAAAGTGGTTCTGTATTGGAACTTCATTTGCCAGTAAGTATAAATGCGAACAAATGAATAAGGAGGACTTATCTAGCGAGGAAAAATTGCTCGAAAGTCTTGCAGAGCAAAAATTCTCGATAAAAGTAAACAGTACTACTTGGACTTCTTCAATATAAACAAAAGCCATCGGTATTTGATCCTCGTCACTGTTGGAAATGGAAATAATGGAGGAAATTATGCAGTAGCCGTATAGGCTTGTAATAGGCTGAGGTTCCCACCTTTGCCTCTGTACCATATGCAAAATGGGACATGTACTCTCTTTGTTGTCGCATAGCGGAAGTTTGCGCTTTTGTTTCAACATTCTTTTAATAAATGTGGGGAAATTGGACTAGCCAACACCAGCGGCGAACACACACGGTGGGCACTGGTAGTGATAGACGGCTTAAGCGAAAGTAGGTGGGGAGTAGATTACGACCTCTTGGTGGGTAGTTGAAAAAGCTTATTTTGGTGTTAATTTTGCATAGATCGGTTTGATTAACATATTCGGGAGATGGGCTTTGCTCAGTTCCTCGCATAAATATTAGCGGAGTAGATACTCAAAAAAAACACTGCAATTAAAGCTTTCATAGTTTTGGCAAATTAAACTGCTGTTATGTAGATTAGGCAGTAGGACGATAGAGTATCCTTAAAGTCGTTTCCGAACCATCACAGCGATTAAATTTCAGTATGTTTCAAATTGTCATCCACTTCTGTTGCCGTAAAAATTAACCTTTGCCTGTCTCCCGCGCGTCCAGCAACTTCATCATCACTCTTACAATGGCAAGGAGGTGGCGACGCCAGCCATTCAGTCGTTTCAGGTCAAAGTTGGAACTACTGATAGCTCTTGTTAGTGGAAAATGTGCAAACTAAGTAGACAATCAAAAATAATTCCCGTTATACGCTCAGTGACGTAAATACTGAGTCCTCGCCCTACCGTTATGATCCTAACGCAAAACAGTTTAAAAAAGATTGACATTTATGCTGATCTTTTGATGGTTAAAGTTCAGCTTTCCGAAGTGTGGATGCACAATCGTACCTTCTCTTAACTTGATGTTAATCACTTCTAAGGTAAAAACCTTACTCTTCAAGTTAATCCCTACTAGCTGCCCACTCGGCAGCTTGGTGATTCAATTCACGACCATCCCCTGGGGTTAATTAGCGTCTTACGCTGTTCCGTATGCTTTTTCATCCACGTAGCTATGCAAATTTACCATTTTAGCCTTTTAAATTCCACATTAGTATTTGATTAGATTGGTAGATTAAAGAAAAGGTTTTCTGTCGATAGAGGGAAGGTGGGCTGGATACAGGATGGATGACATAAATCGCACATGCCCAGTGTCCACTGGTTTTTTAGTAAATACGGTCACTGTAAATGGATGACATTTTGGAGTGTAAGACGAACGTCAGGAAGCCTTTCATTGAATTTTTTGTTACATAGAGAACCGTTTAGCATTTAGTCTTCCTTATGGTGCTTTAATTTCGAGAAGAAATTTAACTTTAACATGTGTTTCCTAAAAGTTAATACCTTTTTACTCAGGATTACGTAAGAAAATGACCTCGTTTTAATTGTACACTCGTCTGGAGAGGTTTTTGCTATTTCCCGTGATTTGGGATCCGTGCCAATGGCATCAGGTAGGGCTTCATGCCGCCAGTACTGCTATTCATACAGCTCTTCCAAACGTTTGTAACGAAGCTTAACACAGACTGGTGTGGCTTTTGGTATCTTCAGGGATAAATTAATCTACCTTTTCATTTTCCTTCTTTGGCAACGCTAAAATATCCCTGAACGCATTTCCACTTCCGCTGAGCATTACAACAAATTGAAATGATTGTGATGCTCCATTAAAACGCAGGTTCGCAGGTACGTAAAATTTGAATACGGAGACAATGACATATTCTTCTGCTAGAGCAGATGCCGTCCAACTGGAAGCAGTGCATCATTTGAATTGTGGAGACTTTGCTAACGGATTCATCAATGAGCAATGCGATGAACTCCAAGGTTTATTCTGATAATTGTTAATCTCTCGAGACCCAATGACGATGACATGCTAGTCGCATTTCTTGTCAACAGTCTCTTAAAATCTTCAACTTAACTTTAACCGAATCTCTCCCTAGAACTCATCGTCAAATTATTATTCCCTAAGGTCGCTTTTAGCCGTCTAAGACTTTATATCTACACATTTTTTGCCATTAACCACCATTCATGGGTGATAATTATTTCCTTAAATAAGACAAAGGAAATCAGTTGGCATTTAAAATGAAACCAGGACAAGAGTTTAGATTGTACGTAAGATTTCCGGTCAGTTGTTTGCACTGCAGTATATGATCCACTAAGTGACCTATCCAAAATATCGCCTAATCAACCAGATCTCACATTTGATGGACAGGACACTACCACAACACCAGAGAGAGACCTGGGTGTTGTATTTGGCACATTCAACTTACTTCCATCCGAATTAGTCTCCACACCGAACCCGTCGAACTGGTTCAAATGCCAACTGCCTTCATACCGCGCGCATGTGGTCAAAGACTCCTTGACTCCATAGCGTCCATAGAATCCTGAGGTGAAAGCACCCCGGTAAATCCACCGTCCCTTGATTTGCACTCCCTCTCCGTGTCGCTTGCCCTTGAGCCAGCCTCCTGCGTAGAGGTTTCCCGAGGGCCACACATATACGCCTCTCGATTCGAAACCCATGTTCCACTCGCCAGAGTACTCTCCCTGATTATCCGGACCCGTAGCGATACCGAAGCCGTGGGCTCGGTTCTCGCACCACTCACCCACATAGCTGCCACCATCGTCAAAGTCGAATCGACCTCCTTCTGCAGTTGCCATTGATTAAGGTGGTTAGAGAAAAAGATCCATGAGTGGAATGACCCAGTGGGAGCGTATGTGTCTGTGTGATACTCCTTCTTCGCCTGAGTTGGAGGGAGGGGAGAAGAAAGTTGGCCAGAAAGGGGTTGTGGATGTGAGGCGCGAATGCCGATAGGGAGCAGTACCCAAATGTGTGCGTGAGTGAGTTGAGGCAGTGAAAGTGGAAGGAAAGCCACTCGCAGCAACTGCAGTTGGCACACGTGGGATCGCGTACGAGGCGGAAGGTGTGTATGTGTGTGCTGTTGCAATTACGTGTAGAGGCCGTGGAAATTGATTGCACTGCCGCGGTCGAGATGCAGCAGCCAATCACAAGCGCGCATATTCGTGTGCCCGGTGCGTGCATGCTGGCCAACATTTGCAAGCCCATGGACAGAGACCAGGCGCCATTCGACCCTTGCTTGAATCCCGAGTGTTTGTGTGTGTGTGCGTATGCGCTTCTGGAAGGAATGCGAGTGATAAACAGTTAGGTGGACCTTTGCGCTCCTACCTGGGATGGGCTAGGCTGTTTTGTTGCGTGGGAATAGCTTCCTATGTCCAACGGCGATTGAATCCACCATGTGCAATATTAATTCACGTCGTCAAAACTTTCTAAGTTCCCAAATTCAATCTAGAGAACCTGTAAAACCCTTCCACAAAATCCAAATTTCAACCGAGGCTTACGGTGCTTGCTAATGTCAATATCTTGATTTGTTTACGAGATGCTTTAAGATCTCTCATTCCCTTTTGGACCGTAAAATCCGTCCAAGAACAGGGAGCACATTTCAAAATAGAGCCAAGATAATTTATTTCGGTTATTTTATTAAAAAAACGACGGGTCACATCCTGAAGACGCCTAGCAAGAGCCACCGTAGTTTCTCTGCCTCGTCATGTCTATAAATATTCGTTTTCATAAATTTATGAAGATCCTCCTGGCAGACAACAAAACGTCACCTAACATGCGTTGATTCAGGCTATGTTCTTCTCATTATTCTGTTTCAACTTCCTCGATGCATTCGGCGACGCCTCTATTTCAGCGCTGTCGCGGGCTCAAAAAATATGTTGGTGGTTAATCTGTCAAGTTTTTTATTTTATGGAGGCAAAGATCCCTTTTCGGTCAAAAATTTTTCCATGCTATGCCATTTTTACAAGTAGGTGATGTGCAAAAGCGTAAAAATCATCTTTATTAAGCAGTTGGGATAATTGTGAGGAGAAAAGCTCCACTCCCTTACACGCACGAAATAATAAGCTGGCAAAATTTAAGGTTCTAATTTAAAATTTTATCCTTTATGCCAAAATGCTAGTTTTTGCAACATTTTTGTACAGAAGGCTCAATTTAAGGAAGGATGGTGTGCGTGTACACAGTAATCCTCCACATTACTGCACCTAAACCACAAAACTGTGGCTGATTGTGGTATCCTGGTGATTGAGTTAGTTGCAAATACATCGAAAAGTACCGTCAGGATTAGTTAAAAACTAAATTTCTTGTAACTTCCAGAATGAGAAAATCACTCTTTCCACGCAGTTTACTTGAAAGAAATTAGGTGCCACCATGGACGACAGGGGCATCGTTGAGATCCAGGCTCCCTGGAGGCGAATCACTGTTGCTGAATTGGGGTCCAGAACGCCATTTCGCGGTGATTTACTGCATACACATATTTTTCATGCCATTTACTACGGGGACACGTGCTTTGGGGGGGGGGGGAGGGCGGTTGGTGCTTTGCCTCGCAGGTACGTCCTCTCAAGTAACAAGAAAGCAGCGATTCCCCTGCAAAAATTGCAGCCCACTCCACAGGCAATGCGATTGTGAAAACCTGATACCGCATTGTATGCACTGCTATAAAAGGGCTATTAACGTAACTCTGGTTATTGGTAAGCTTAGTTGCTCCCATCATTAACTGACTACAACTTCATCCGTGGGAAATGGTAGCAACTTGTCAGTAAACAAACATGGTTTTCGCAACTCGCCCCTTGTCTCCCAAAGATTTTCATTATCCTCGACTTCTGTAAAGGACAAAGCCATTGAATTATGAATTTGCCTAAGGAAATGCATGTATGGCTAGACACAGCTTGCTTAATGGTGTATTAAGACATAATATTACTTTAATAAAATCATATTTTTCGCGAAATTTTGTCCACACTGCATTAACGAGTCCTCTTTCGCTAAAAGGGATGAACTTTGAGCATGCTGAAGGAAGTAGAACATGCGCATCGAAACTCTTCCGAATGGCGAATCACTGCTACCTGACGATGAGGAGGGTACCATTGGTACATGTGGAACCTTCGACAACTCCACCTATCTGTTTGACATGGGGGAGTTGGATGCGCAGCAAATACCTCATGTTAAAATAGGCGATACCGAGCAGTTTCTGCAACGTTGCACACCAAAACAATTTGATGGCATGGCGACACGATACACGATACAACTTGTGAAACTTCTTGGCAAGCAAAGTCTATTTACACATGGAAGCATAGATGGGATGATTTCAAAAAAAATGGTTGCAAGAACTAGCCAATTTCTATGGCTTATCCAATTAGCAGCACAAAATTAGGGCAATTCAATTCCTTTGCCGCTTGCTAACTGCACGTGGTTAACATGATAGTACATGCACTAAAGAGGATCCCCTTAATGAAGCATTACCTGACGGTGAATCTGTAAAAGGCAGTGTCTCAGTCCAAATAACTGATCTCATACACGATTTCTGGCATGTCATTCGTATTCTCGATACGTATTTGTGAGGAGCAAATCAGAATGTACCAGTAAAGCTCGTTCCATTTGCATAAAACAAGATTTAAAAGGAAAAATGACGTTTCAATAATGACTATCGCACGCCTTTTTGAGGTGCATTTAGTTGCTTGTTTGCTCTAAAATGGGAAACATGTTGTGGGAAATATGGTATGACTTCACACAACTTTGCAGATTTCTGTGGTCCCTAGCCACTTTACTAAAATAAGATGGGGGAATGGAAACTGAGCTCAGACCTAGCAGATGCCTATACTAGTTTAGAAGGTTTTCCACGTGAACTTGGCTAAAAGCAAATCACCAAAGGCATTGGGTAAGGAAAACTTACCAAACTGTCATTAAAAGTAAAATAATGGTTTTAAAGGTGGTGATGGTTGTTTTAACTCCAGTGAAGTAAGTGAGTTGAATCCCAGCATAATCAAGCCCAGATCTGCGAATGAACGAGATTCGTTTTAATAGGGCACTTGAGCGAGCGGGCTCTTTGTTTTCCCTCCTCTGCTTCGTAGCGGGCAGATCACGTCGTGTTTTTTTGACGGCCCACCAACTTTTCCACAAGCCTACATCAGGTTCTCTCCAAGCTCATTCATTCCAGTAATTGTAGTGCTCCTTACGGATCACTAGGAGGTCTCAAATGCTAATGACGCTGCATTTAGGGATGATCATGGGTGATGATTGATAATGATGATTTTAGGGATGTGGCTAAATCACTATAGGAAAACATCGAGGACCCTATCATTATTAAACGGTTTGACCGCTTACCAGTTACGACCGTTGGCTTACTAATTAGATATAAGATATGTTAGGCAAAATAAAATTAGTAAACTCTGATTAGACTGATAAATAGTAAATGTTCTTTTGAAAAAAATAAAGACCTCGCCTAAAAAAGCCAAAGATTTGCTATCTAACTAAGTTGCTTAAAGCTGTTTAAAAATTGAATTCCCTCCTATAGACTTAGACAACACATTTCATTCAGGAAAATTAGTTTTGATAGTATTGTAACATTTAAGTACTTTAATGGCGTCAATATAAGGTTTGATTATTGAATAACTTGATGGCATTAGCAAACAACGTTTTTTTACAACATCTTGTTCTAAGCAATCGGAGTGACTAAAAGCCTTTGTTGGCGGTGCTCCCAGTTTTATTTGTTTCGTGGGCCTCGAGTGTTATGTCATTTTGGGAGGGGTTTTCTCGACTTACCGTTGTAGGCAATGATGTGTTTTCGAATGCCTTATTTCTAAAACTAATTGAGGTAAAGCAATACTTCGTTTAATTCCGTTAGGATGTTGGCCCTTCCTTGAACATACTGTACATACCAGATATTGAAGCCTTGAAAGAAAGGCAAATTTCAAGCTCTCAGTGTACATCAGTTCTTCCGGAGGCAATTTTACTGTCTGATTTTTTAAGCCCGTCAGAAATGAGGTCTCTTTGTTCAACTAATCCGAATTCCCGGTTTTATGGACTCCCAAGTCTATTTGCCATGAGATTTTACAATAGACGTTGGGTCAAGCTGCGACCCGTCTTTTCTTTCGCGATGATTGGTGCTGTCGTCGCAATCACAGGTTTCCGTGATCCTGCTGTAGTGGTAAGGTCAACAGCTTCGTCCTCACCGTTTTTGTGATGCACTGCCAATGCATTATGCTCATATCTTTTTAGAACCAAATCGCATCACTAGTAAACTGGATGGGTGGTAGCATGCGAAGAAAACTAGACCAAAATGTGACACACCTAGTTGCATTTCGTTGTGCTGGTGAGAAGGTTAGGAAAGCTGCTTTGACATCTGTCAATGTCGCTACAATGAAGGTTTCCTGGGTTGAAGACGCGTGGAATTTAAGACATTCAAATCCTGAAGTCAACGCTTGCGACCCGGATTTTGTTGTTCGTTCTCCTCTTGTATTTTTTTAACGATGGTTTAGAATCAACACCGCGGAAAAGTGTTCCAGGAGTGTTGTCTCTTCTTCATCGGCTTTTCGCAGAACAGCGAAACCCTGGCTGAACTTGAGGCCATCGCTAAGGAACACGATGGTACCCTCGCAAAAGATCTTTCTGATGAAAGACTCACACATGTTGTCGTTGCTGATGACTGGCATAAGAGAAGCGATATTGTTGTGGGTCAATCGTGTCTTCATTCACACGTCATTAAACTTGTGGCATATCTAGTTCCTATCCCATTTTTGTTTATTAGGATATGAGTGCTCTGCTTGTCGGTCCAAATACAACCACCAAGGTGTCATCCCCCAGTCCCAGTTCTTGTTTGACCGAACTCGATTTGCACGCCAGACTTACTGAGGTCGCGTTTCGCGTTCCTGTGCTCCGATTGGACTGGTTCTGGAAGTCGCTACAGTCCACTTATATTTGTCATCCACAGGATTTTCTCTATATTCACAATGCTCGAGCTACGGACTCCCCATACGCTTCATTCTTATCTTCTCAGCGTGCCTCCGTTGATCCCTTTTCACCTCAAGTTGCTCATCGTCCTTCAACTGAAACGTTAGGAAAGGAGAATAGGAGCCCTCATCAAGACGCAAGTGAATGCGAATTGGCTTTTCAAAGCTGCATTTCTCCCACAAGTGGGTAAAAGTCTGATGTCATTATTATCGCCTCGTTTGTCATTTCTGTCAGCATAATATTCTTACGCAGACATTGAGCAGTCTATGCTGCAAAGGAATGACGAAAATGCGGATCATCATATTAGTAGGGAGGAGGTGATAGCTCAACTGGCTGATCCACTGCTCATTTTATCCTCAAATTGCCGCCACTCACGAGGTGCGAATTCATTCATTCTCCCGGAAACCCCTTCTCCACCCTCCTCCTCGACTCATAACTGCTCCACCCTATCAATGGAGCTGCATGGGAAACTGCAGTCAAATGAGGATATCGAGGAGAAATCGAAATCTCCAAACTCGCGCACCCCGCTGGAGGCAATTAAAACATCATTTGGTGCGTTGGAGCTTCATTTTTTAGTGTTACTGGTGTAGTTTCCGGTTTTACGCAGCTAGCAATGCATTTTTAAAATTTTCTCAGAGCACTCCCCGCATCGCTATCGGGCATCACCAAATGCAGCTGATAAGAGGACGCCTTTGCAATCACGTCTCAAGGATAGGCAACACCGAGTCTTTGAATTTCTTCTTACTGAGCGCAATTATCTGAACATTCTGGAGTACCTAACACAGACCGCATTTTCAGTGAGTACATTAGAAATTCCTCTTTTATTCTTTTCTCCTTTGCTCGTTCTTGAACATATCTTGTCCGCGTATCGATGTTTGTAGACACAATGCTAAAAACGGGTGTACCTTTACAGGTAAGACTCGACTGAAGTTAGGTTGTGCCTTGGAAAATAACGGTTGATTTCTTCATTACATTAATTTCATGTAGCTCCTCATGTTAGTTTACAATGGACAAGCAACAGCCATATCGTAGTCACTGTTACCGAAATAGAGCAACTGCCTCTTTGGCTTCTACTCGACACGCCAGCAAACATTCCAGTATAGCTAAAATATCTTCGGAGGTTTTTTTACCCAACATTCCTCATCTCTAATGAGTGTAATGATATCGTTACCCTTGACTAGAAGATGTTTAAGTGATTTTTGTAACTTTTTTGAGTTTGTTTTTCCCAAAATATTACAAACGCACACTTGCGACGCTAGAAGTGCTTCTACTATCTCATGGCTACTTTCGTTCATTCACTTGCCCGTCTCTAGGAAGTGCTTGCTGAGGACCAGGTAGGTGGACCGATTCTACCCAGGGCGGAGGCGGACATTGTCTTTGGAAAGCTGACACCCATATATCAACTCCACAAACGCCTTCAATCGCGACTCGCCGAACTTGAGGGCACTTGGAATATGGAAACCAGTCAACTGGGAGAAATCGTCCTACCGTATATTGATGAAATGGAAAAAGTAGATTATTTCCTTTACCGTAACTTTTATCATTTATTGAGTCTGCCTGTGACACTCATATTCAGCAACATTTGATGATTAGAATTTGTAGTTTTACCGACCCTTTTGGGCCATTCGTTGATACGTAAAGATAAGTCACTATCTCTATGCTAAAAGTTGGCCCTTTAAATCATTACCAATTCTCCATTTCAGGTTGTTTTTTTAGCTCTTGATTCTTTAGCCCTAAACCTATGTAATTGGTTTAGCTTCTACTTTGTTTCTCCTAGTCTTTTCCACAACATTAGTTGAGCCTCAGCGTTTTGTGTGGGTGTTAGCGTTGCAACCTATCGGTTCGGTTAGTCAGTCAGATCGGGCGTCTCCTATTTGGAAAGTGTAATTTTCTTTACCAAAACACGAAACTTTGGCTTCATGTGGGATTCTCTATTTTAGTTTAATCGTTTCGAGATTTTGATAAAGGACCTTTTTGGCTGGGCAATTAAGCCCAAAATGATTATTATTTTTGTTTTGTAAACGTGCATTTTAAAAGATTCACTTTCTGCTGTTTAAAAATCTGGCCATTGCTGGGGGCGTTTACAACCTCAGCGAGGTTACATGTTTGTATCTAGATGTGTCCATGTCAGCTACACAATCGTTGACAATCCGTCGGATGTGGAAAACTTGTCTTACGACATAGCCTTACTCTTATTTGATCTCTGGTTGTGCTTGATTGATGTGCGTAATCTATGATTGATGGGAGATTGCAAAAAATCTCCTTTTCCTGCCACAGGTATACAGTCACTATATGCAGTTCTACAGTGCGCCACACCTACAGCAGTTGGGACGCGAGTATCCGAGATTCTTGGCTTTCATGCGTCAGGTGGAGAGACGTAAGGAGTCCGGACGTCAGAGTCTCTCTGATCTCCTTGTGCGTCCTGTTCAACGTCTCCCCTCCATGTTGCTCCTCATCCAGGGTATGTTTGTCTACTTGTTGGTCTAGCGGTCATTTACTGGCAAAATCATTGCACTTTACTTTCATTTCACCTAAAAAGGTAAGCTATTTGGTGACCTCTCCTTTATTCTCTCGGAATCGTGTGCTACCAATAGGGTCTTGTGAAAATTATTCTTAAGGTCGAATCCTGTAAAACAACTTGCTGTTGGGTTTCGTACATGATGATTTTTGTGGCCTAACTTCTAGGCATAATCAAATTCACTCCCACATCACATCCTGATTACGACGATATGTCTGCCTTCGCTTCGAAGCTCTCTGGTATCTTGGAGCACATAAATATGCGTCTGAAGAAGAACGAAGAACACATCTCGTTGCTGAATCTTTATCATGACATCAGTGGCGCTCCTGTAAGCGGCACTTGCTACTTACAGATTATTAGTAAAATTACTAAAGGACTAATTTCTGTTTTCATCCCTTAGCCCGAGATGCTATCTTCGTCACGCAGCTTGGTCCGCCAACTGAATGTCTTCCAGCTGGACATTAATGCCAGTGGCGCACCCACCTGTGAACCTGTAATTCTCTTCCTTCTCACTGACTGCCTGGAGATTGCGCGTCCGAAGAAACGAAACACGGGTGATAATCATGCCATTCAAGCAGCTTTGGAGGCTGTTGAGAGTGAGTTATTCTTTGAATGTCAGATGCCCTAATACAACTTTCGTTTTTCATATGGCAATAAGGTTGTCGAATATATTAGTGCTGACATGAAGAAAATAGGAAAGATGGATCTTCCTTATAATCCTAAACTTCTATTTGCGGAGTGATCAGTCAAGGAGCTGTGCTGATTCGTAAGAAATCAGTTTGGGTGATATGGGTGTTAAATGCATACTGATTTTAGAATATCCTACGGTCAGGTGTTGCAAACTATTTGGAAATGTAAGTGGTTCATGTGGATTCAATTTATTCACCAAAGTAGTCATGCGCATGATGAAACTTGGCTGTTTCTACGGTTTCATCGGTATGTCCACTGCCCATTCCTTTAAGGTCTACTCGATAGAACCCCTTACACAGCCCACTCATGCCTCACTTGATTATTGTTTTTTTTTTCGTATTCTGTCTAGTCCATCGTTTGTGAGACTTATCTCGATCGGTCTGCTACATTGATGTTTTACGCACGCATAGCTCTTATTGTAACGGTGCTTTCGACGCGGTGCCTATTCCATTGATATTCTTACATATGCATAGATTTGAGGTTTCACATGCACGTTTTGTTTTCTTCTGATATAGAGGTGCCTTGAATCTCTAATAGGGCAATCCAAATTCTGGTGCAGGAGACACGGAATCGTCTTATTTGTGCCACTACGCGGTTTTTTAAATACCCCGCTATGCTTTTTTAGATGTCTCTTGGTAAAATAGATTAGCATTTCACTCGAGGCCATGTAAAAATCGGTTGCAGTTTCGGTTGTATTTTTGATTATTTCCTTTTTAAGTGTGAATTTTAAATACCGTGAGGTGCCGGCAAACCTACTCTTTTTTTACTTTTTCGTTTTACGTACTATCATAATGAGTGATTCGTCCTTTTCGATGCCCTCCTGAGTATGCGACACATTAGTTTCAATGTTCTTATGCCCTTCTTTAATGCTATTATTAATGTAACTTTCTTTCACGACTCCAGGGTAAGGCACTAGAAACGGGACTCACTCATTGTTAGTAGTGCTGTGAAATTGTCCACTGTTCAAAAGTCGTGTTTGCGTTTGGCTTCCATGCGTAAAAACGTGTATGAAAACAGATCCAGAACTAAAGGCTGGAGCGTTAGTGGAAAATTTCACTTACACATGCCGTGGATACGACTGGACAATGTTTTTCTGATGGGAATTGAATCCGTCAATCATCACGAGTTGGAGTGAGATTGCCTGAGTCCACATTCTTCCATTCGTAGGACTCCATAATCTCCAGTATCCAACTAAACTAACCTGTAATCTGTAGGCGGCTCGCACAGTTCTCTTGCAACCGGCATCTATGATGAGGCAGTGGGCGGTGGTGAGGATGCCTCTGTAGCTGGCAACTCTTCGATCGGCGGTAGCAGGCGCAGTACTTCAATTTCCCGCGCTGGCTCCGGGGCCTCCGGAGTTACCAAATTCGGCCGAGGACCAGACGGCAAGAAGCGTCACAAATTCGCCCATCTACTGCTTCTTAAGCTCCAGGACATCAAACGGGTACTGGATCTGAACACTATGTCCCCGGAGCGTGCCGCCTTTTCTCTGATCGTGCGAGGTGCCTCGGAAGAGCATGACCAGATGTTTACCTTCTGCTTGGCGGCCAGTTTCACAGCCACAGCCGCCATCGCTTCGGGCAAGTGTCCGGAGGCGGTGGAGTCTGCAGTGGCAGCGGTGACTGCCGGGAGAAGGCCCTCCTCCTTTAAGGATGTCAGAAGTGAAGTTGCAGCCGGTGATAACGCGGAGGGAACAAAGGAGACGGAGGGGATTAGTAGCATTGCGGAGGTGCAGGTGGAAGAAGTGGACGAAGAGGGAGGCATTGAGGAGGGCAGTGCCGTGGCAAAATTGCAGCATTGCGTGCACGAAGCGAAAACGAGCTTCCTCCGACGCCTCTGCCGCAACATAATGCAAGTGTCTTTTGTGGCTAGCAGTCCTGAGGATCTTCTTGTCGAAATGCAGCCTGAGGTGGTGCTGGCGTTCGATCTCGACACAGTCTTTAGTAGTGTTGGGAATGGGTCCTTCAAATCGAAGAAGTAAGTCTGCGCTTCTCATTATTTTATGGCTTTTTTTTGAAAGGCTTTGCCATCCTTATGTAATTAGTAACCAGCGGGACATCTAACTTGGTTGTTTGATTTTCTGCTCTACGCAAAGTGAAAGGCCAACATTCCTCTTGGTTGTACAATATTTGTCAAGTTTTCACTTCTCCGAGACACTAGTTTACTAGTCCATGGTGTTTCTGCTCTACTCTCCTTACGAATGGGAAAAATCACTTAAATGTCGACTTTTTGGTGTAATTAATCGCACAGTATTTGCTGAGTTTCGCTAGTGAATTACTGAATGTCTTTCTTACCTAAGCTGTTAGAATACTTGTTCCTTCGTTGCTTGTTTCCTGCGTGCCTTTCATTTTGCCTTTTTTCCGCGTTACAAGTACATTCACGTGGTGGTTTTGCATTTGTGAATGTGCGTTCGTAAGCACGTGGTTATTTTAAATTGACATTATTAGCGTGTTTCATTTGGTTTCTCAAATGAGAAGTCTCGTGATTCATGCTAATACTCATTCACAAAAATTGAGATTTTCAAAAATAAAACATTTATTTCCCCGTAAACATCCTCAAGACATGGAAATTTATATCTTGATTCGTTTTTTATTGTTAAAGTCTTCATTAACGCTGTGACACACTTAATTTGCGTTAATTTCTCGGAAATCTTTCGTATGTTTATTTACGTCACTTATGTATCACGTTCACCTAGCAGTTTGTCTCTCAAAACATTCGCATATAGTCTATTCATAAGTGATAGATATTTGGATTCCGAGGACCATATTTGGTAGCAGAATTCACTATCACCAATGGTTATTTTGGAAATTCCAACTAAGCTGCTTTGCAATGACGCGCGTTGGTTTTGAATGCTCGAAATTGGTTCCTCGTGGGTTTAGTAGATGCACACACTTGTAATGGGTCAGAATATACCAATGGTCGAGGGCAACGTCTGTCGGAGGTGGTCACTACCAAATTTAACTATATCGGGAATCATAATGCATTAGCATTGAGCTTTTCTATCCGGCCTCCCGACAATTCCGCTTTACTGCGTATCCGTGTAGATTTTCGCGTCACTTGGGTCGTGCAATTTCAATGAAGACGCCACGACGTCCAGCAAACACACGGAACGCGAACGGACCCTCGACGATGTCTTACCACTACGAGTGCAACAGCGCCACACGGCAGGGTGGGAGACGTGTCCCCTCTCATGTTTCTGGACCTCCACTAGGAGCTCTTGAGAGCGCTTCGAGCATGGCTCTCTCTTCCAGCATCTCACTTCTTTCCACTGCCGCCGCTACTGCCGAAAAGGAGAATCGCCACCATTATAACAACGTTTCCTCGGGGTTTGCCACACCCTCGCGTCCCTCTGTCCTCGGATCCATATTTACTGGAGTGGGTTCCTGGACTTGCCTTTATCCCTACTTTCACTCCCTTCCTCTTGTATTGGCATCACCCAAATGTGAAAGCGAGGTGTCTGAGGTAATGGGTAATTCGAGGGCAAAGGTTCTGGATTTTGTAGTGTTTTGACAATTTTGCCCGGCACCGCTTGGTTATGTCTTTAGTCTATGATAATTCAGGTGTTGAAGTTTTTTGTGGTTACTCTTCTGTGTTACTTACCAGAATAGGAAGAAAGGTCTATATTTTCTATCGCGCCGAGAATACTTCACATTTCAGAGGTAGTTGTGCATTTTGGAATTGCCAACAGATTCATTTATTGCGTATTGATTGCAAACTGCAGTGCCGGATCTTACCTACCAGGTTCAGTTGTTCTTCATAGGAAAATTTGTCTCCATAAAGCTACTCGGTGAAATGATAAGCATCTATCAGCTTCTATGAGTTTCATTCAAATTTTGTTTCAATGCATTTGTTACTACTATCCCATCTAGAAATCATGGGGCAGAAATCGAAAATTAACTGGAAGAGTCAAGCTCCATGTCAGCGAGATGCTGAAAGGGCTTGTTTAATATAATAAAAACAAGTTTTCTCTGGTATAATGTGGAACCAGATTTTGTATCGCCGTGGAACAATGGACAGCTGTCATGCGAATTCGGTTTATCTATAAATGAAGAGCCTATTTTTGAGGAGTGGAGCCCGACTTACGATAGCATTGTTCAGGAATTCTACCATCTAGTACCTTATTCTAACATTTAATTTTGGTGCAGAATCGACACACATTGTAGAAGTTTATTGATTCTGCTTTACAAACCTTTTAAGTTCTCTTTTGATTTATTACTAAGATGGGTTATTCATTCCAATCGTTTCAGCTGCTTCTTCACACGACCAAAGCAACTCCAATGAAGTCCCCCACTAGGGTAGTGAACAAATTTGATGAGACGATGGAAGCCGAGTCACAGCTGCTGAATGAAAGCTACGTCTCACAAGACGCCTCCATCACTCCTACAGTTGCCAATACTGCAGTAGTAGCTAATTCTGTTACTGTCTCCGCTTCAAAGGCGGAACAAAAGAACCTCTGGCTAGAGCTGATATCTGATGAGGAGGGAGAGGAAGGAACATCGGGTGGAAGAAAAAACCTCTGTGACGGTGGCAACGAGGAAGACGATGTCGTCTCTGTAGACTCCTCCTCGTCTTCGGGTCCTTGGCCCGGCTTCTTCCCACCCCCCGTCCCCTCCACTGTCACGAACAAGAAGACTAAGAAGGACCTTACTGCTGCCACCTCCTCCACTACCTCCCTCCGATCAAACTGCTCTTGCTCTGCGCGTGACGGTAGTCATGCTAGACAGTCCTTCGGTGGACTCATGTGAGTCGACATTTCTACTGGCTTATTGCTATCACCGCCATCTTACCAAATGTGCTTTGCGTCACATAAATCCCAAGGTCGCCTGTAGCTTGAAAAATAAGAGGTGTATTGGTCCTCAAATTACGAAAACCTACGTCTATCTGTTTTGCTGTTTTAAACACCAATTTACTTACGACACAATTTGATCTAACCGGATGTCATATTTGCAACTTTGGTAGTGTACGTGTTAAGTTACTAGCGCTAATGCTAGTACTCTGCAACCTTAATTCTTACCTTTTAAAAGTATTCCTTAAATTGGACCTTGCTCTAGCACTTTACTTGACGCTTTAAATCGGCGTCGAGCTTCTAAACATATATTTTTATTGGTAAACGAACTAATTTTTCTCTTGTCAGGAATGCGACTCGAAAGAGTATCTATCACTCCTTCCTGGCGGGCATTCGCCGATCGAAGCTGCCGGAGCGGAAACACCAGCATCAGCGGCAGCAGTGTCAACGCAACCAGCAGCACACGGCTCCTAATTCAGGTTCTTTGTCGCGAGTGGCTCCATTGGCAACGGCGGACGAGGATGAGTGCAACGAGGAGGATGTGGTGGTAAAGGATGTGTCAGGAGGAGGCAAAGCCAGCTGGTTGATGCGTCATCAACCGCCGCCGCGCTTTCGATCCGTTGATCTACGTACTCCCGGTACTGCAAGTCTCGATAAGGTATGTTGGTAACATTCTCTGCCACATGATTTGAGTGGTAATTTAGAGCACTGATTCATTTTTCCTGTACACAAAAAGGATGTCTTTCAGGTCATTTAAATGCATTCCTGTCCTAGGCAAACACTGATTTTTATATGCGGTTCCTGCGCTCACTTGGAATGGCTGGTTTAAATAGTCTATATTAGAGCAATGCAAATCTGATGAATTTGATAGCCTAATTTGGGATTAGAGACCTTTAGTTTTTTTCGTACCCCCTGTTCACCTAACCACGGTAACAGCACACGTTTCGCCTATGGTAAATCTCTACTTAGTCTTCTACCTCATCGTTCGTAAGTGTATTATGTATCCTAGGTACAAACTAAGTTTTCTTCCTATCAAGCAGATGCTTTCGTCTGTACTTTATCCCGGATTCCGGAAATTTTAGGACTATCATTGATTTTCATAGATCATGTCTCAGATACCATTACCTTGTAAAATTCGATATCATTGAATTAGACAATTTCAAGTGTGATATAGCTGATATAAAATTGGTGGTTTTACTAGCAGTGAGTATTATTGACAGATGCTTCACTTCTGTTTATTTACCGCTTAGCCAGAGCAATATAAAAACGTGTCTGACTGGCATCTTCCCTGAGTTCGTTCAATCCATGCTCATCGCAAATGGGTTGTAAATCCTGGAGAAGTGCACACACTTATTTGACGAATGCCATGAGTTTTATTTATACCTAGTCTTGGATGCACTCGTTTACTGATGAAATGGGTTGGTGTAGGCGCTAACATCCTCTATTTTAGTCTGCCTCTGAGTGCAACCTCTCGCTTCGTGTGAATCGCCCAATTTCACGGGTCCCGGCAACCAGCAGTTCCACCTCCATAAAGAACCTCTTCACCTCTCCCTTCCGCGTCCCCACCGCCCCTCCGCTTCGAAAGTCAATTGCGGCAGCAACACAACTCGTGGGAAAATCAAAGATAACTCAGCGCAATCCCTCTCCAGAAAGTATAACCAGCTGGAGTAGCCTTATTACTCTCGGCGAGGGTCGCGGCGAAGATGCTGCCGATGTGGAAGTGGTTATGCGTCGTCGTCCAGCTGACTCTTCCCTGGACACCTGTAGCATGATCGTTCACCCTTCACCATCTCTCCTAGCCTCCTCTTCCTCATACTTCAAGAAACTGAAAGTAGGCAAAAAAAGTAAATTCCGAAGACCGTGCGGCAGTGCCATCTTCCATCGAACCAGGAGCGAGATGGTGGTGAAAGAAGAGGAGCAGGAAAGAGAGTCGGCTGTGACGATTGAGGAGAGTAGTAGTGGACAGAGCTCCTCAAACGCGGGTTCCTCGAGCAGGCGAGAGAGCTTCTTCCAAAGGGCCTTCTTTTTTAAATGAACGAAAATCTGCATGTAAATCCCATCCCTCGAGTTAAAACTGGACCCACTCATACTCAATTTCCATCATATCGTTCTGCTTATTGACAGCAGTTTGAAGGAATTTAAACATGTATGCCTATTTTTTCCACATTATGAATTAATAAAAAGCCTGTATTTTAATTTGTTTTTTTTTTTAAAATTAACCAACCAATTCTGCCACTGTAATTGAGTAATTGGTCTCACTCCGAAGGATTTGTTCTCATGCGTTTTACAGCCAGTAATATCCATTCGTGTATTGTTCTACTTGAATTTAAGGCTTTTAGGGGCATATGGGGAGCAAAAAGGGTTCGGTTGATCGCCTAAGTCGCTGCAGAAGGAATTTAACCCATGACTGATGGCCAGATTCTTCGGGTTTAACGGTCCTCTCAGAAAATCATTGAGGCCGACGCGAGTGTAGCAATATCGAGGCCTCTGAGCGTCAAGAGTCGGGTAAGAGTTGGCATTAATACAGGCGTGAAATTAGGAACTTTTTCTATGAAGTTTGGTAGTTTTAACAGGTTCTAGCAATGATGATGGACTTTGCATGTTAGTCTCTTCTGATTTATGGTTTCATTCTTTAGTTTATGCTTGTGAATATTAACAGTTCATCCCACGTAGGGGAATTGGGTACTAAATCTACGTAAAAGTGTACAGTCAACAAAAAAGCCCGTCAAGAAGTTTGTACAGTTTTCGGTATGGCTCACTGCATTGGCTTGCTGTGAGTTGAAGGTACTTGTAAAGTAAATGCGCTTCCTTGTGTGCATGCATTACTGGGCGTAGGCAGATGCGCACCAGTCTAGCGCTGCGGTACTTTTTTGCCTTCTCTTCTACCTTAGCGTTATTTTGGACGCTTCATAGGGTAAACGTTGGTCGAACCTGATGGATGCTATTTGAGCTTGTCAACTTCGCGAGCTGAGCTGAGCTCCATTCCAAAGTTGTGGTTGCAGAAGCTTCACGTCAAATCTGGACATCATGCAAATTGCAGTAGCAGGAATTAAAAGAGTCACTTGAGTAAACAACTAGTGGTTCTGGCGATGAGTCAGCCAAGGATCATTACGATGAGTTGGACCCTCCACCCCCTTACTACAGACATTAAGAGGAGATGAGTGCGCTCGGAAATTATAACTTTTGGTAATGCTTAAGGTGATTAATAAGATGATTGGTTTATACCTACATATACTGGAAGGTAAAAGTTGTGGTGGAAGCTAAACAAATGGATTTTACTTTCGTGTAATGCATTGATGGTAGGTGACGGGCATTGATTTGTTCTTAACTTCTTTGAATCACGTTATAAAATCCCTTTGTTTAGAAAGGATTACTTGCTGGTTTATCTGTGACGAGAAAGGCCTTTTGTATTGCAACGTTAGTTAAACTAGCGCTTGTTTGCTTATTCGCAAAGCACCCATTTACTAATCGCCCCACACACTTCTGAGCTTCTCAGAAACCTGTGTGTGTGTGTGTGTGTGTGGTGAACTATAGATCCAGAGCAGACAAATAGAACTGGGGCTTTAAAACAATTTGGCAAGGTACTACCAGGTCGCAAAACAGTCGTAGGAATAATTAAACACACTCTTCTTCACGTGAGGACGATACTGCCTTGGCTTCTCATCCTTTGTACTTCGCCGAGGATAATGCTCCGAGCGATCACCATCATCTTTCCTTGGTATCACTACCTGATGATGGCGTGCGAGGAGGAATAAGCAGTTAGAAAATGGAATTGAGATGGAAATGGAGGTGGTTAGAACTAGCCTGTTTGCCCCAAGTGACGAAATGGGTTCTACAAAAGTTTCGCATTTGACTAATGAAAGGTGCTTATGCTGTGTAGTGTTGCTTAGTGATTCCTAAAGTTCTTCGGTTTTTGCCATAAAAATCTCATGAATTTACTTGGTTACCTCGTGGTTAGCCCCATTCAGTGAATATGTGCCACAGCTGCCCCCAAGTAGTGTCTGCTGGAAAATAGGTAAACGTCCTTAAGACTGTTCATTCTCTTGCTTTGACTGATGGACCACGGCTAACCATATTTTGCATTTGAAAGGTGCTTATTAGGAGGCGTTTCTTTCTGTAGACTAAATAACCTTAACTTGCGATACGACCGTGACCTGTATCCTTCTGGTCGGGGCCAAGAATTCTAATCCAGCAACCTGTATTAAACACGTTTACGTACAATGCATTTGTTTGGCGAAGGGATATCATTTATTCTGGCCTCATTCTTAATAGGGTACCACCATTTAGCATGCTGATTTTATCTTTGCATTGGAGAAGATTCTTCTTCATAACAGCTTACGATATGCATTGATATTACGGTAAAACGGTGGCCAGGTGCTAGACGTCTAAGAACTAAAAGGATGAAAAAATCAACCGAGAATTGTGTCGTTCCTATATCTCAAGCATTCTGTACTATTGTAGTGGTGTGAGAGGAGGCTTCGGCGTGATACTTTGTTTACTTAACTCTCGGTATCGGGTCACTTAGGGCCCCACTATTGTACCCTAACCTGGTGGCCTAGCCTCCAGGCCCTTCCACTAGCCCCAAGTCCTACTGTACGTCGAGAATACACACTCTACCCGAGTATAATGTCTTCTTTCCTCCTCAGGGAAGTCTTGAGGTGCTACATCAGCAACCGGTGTAGAGATCGCAGCTCCGTGGATAATACTAACTTCTTCCTGCATCATAATCGGAAGGGGCCATTCTCCTTGCATTCTAGCGATACAAATCAGATAAAGCGCGGGCTTTTCAAACCTAAAAATTGAGATAATAACGATGGTGGTTCGGAGAGTTGTGCGAAAAAATTGGTTGGTTTATGCTTTTCGGGTTCAATACTAGGTGCCTACCATTTTCTTATTACTTACCATCAGTAGCATATTGCGTAAAATTATTACCTTTTTCCTATTGCTCAAATTTGACACAAGACTTTCAAAAGTACTTGTCCGCAAATTTTCCGAACTCAAAAATCTGTGGTTACACTTTTCGTGTGTTTCGGCGAAATAAACGCAATAGAAAGAACTGAAGATGCTTACGAAAAGAAGCAGAACACGTGCTAGAAACGTGCGTCTAAAGTGAATTTCGTACCTTATTTTGAGGTGAATGCAATTGGCGAACTGTTACATGGCGAAACAGTCTACGCCTATGTGGAGTTAATAATTGTTCACCAGAACTATAAACAACTTGTAGTTGAATAAACGAAAAGTATCCACCAGACCAATAGACATAGATGGCACGAAATATTGAGTCGTTCCAGCCCCTTTAGCGGATTTTGTATATTTCACTTGGGCTTAAACCACCTAAATTTGCCGCTTCCGTACCAGATTTTTCGTTTTGGCAGTTGGCCAATTAAAATGTCCAAAGACGTTGTGATCTTCCAATCAGTTAATTTAAAATTTCCGCTAAGTTGGAGATTTTATGACTGCTCGAGTTCGTCATCGTAGGTCCACAAGTCAATTCAAGCTAGCTCAATACTAAATCGTCATCGAGTCAAGTGATTTGCCCAATCCAAAAGACGCGTGCGGCTGTGGTGTTACAGCCCTATCGTGTTACCCTATGACATACGTATCAGCACGTCTTCGAGTCAATCTCTTGATTGCCTATAGGTCCATGCGGTCTAAACCAATGGAAAGGCGCTATACCTGGTCCAATCCGCGGTTGGCACAAACGTGCATTAAGCTCCGCTCTTGGCGCGTGCGCCCGCACATGCACATACAAGCGCTTGCATCCGCACACTGCTGGTTGAGCAAGGTACGGAACATCACTGCAACTGGCGTTTCTTCAGCAGGCTTCACTTCCCTTCCAGTGAAATTGTTGGGTATCAGAACATCCTCATGTCCCTGATCGATTTACGTCGGCCTCCCACGAGTGGGAAAATTCGACGAATCTTCCACGGCTCTCAGTCCCAGGTTGGCCATCGAAAACAGAGTTCACCTACCATCGCTTCCCAAGCCCTGCCCGGACTGGGACGTGAACTGTCCATTTCAGAGGTGGGCCAGCTCGCGGGAAAGACTGGTCGATATCTACGCATCTTTTGCGAACGCGTGTGTCCCTCTGCTAAGTTCAAAACCATCTTTGTACAGAATGATTACACGGTGGGTGAATGCATAAAAAGGGTGGTTATACAACTCTCCTCTGAAGGAAGTACTGTCGCTAGTCAAGTCAATCTCTTTGAAGTCATTGGTAGGCTTCCAGCAAATTCAAAAGCTATCAGCGAATCAGGCGCAGTAAATGATCCTGGAGAGGTGTTCAGTGAACTGAACTCACGTCCTCTACCCCCAGGGGAAAATATTTTAAATGTCTTTTCCCTCATGGCACCTGCACCAGGACTGTGTCGTCGTCTGGAATTGCGTACACAACCCCTTTCATCCGCAGTGACATTTCCATCCCGCATTCGGCCGAGAATCCATACCACGTATGATTCGATAAGTCCCAGTTCACAACTAACGGCACCCCAATGTCCGTTCCTCCTTTTGATCAAGGGGAGTAGGCCTGAAAGTGACCTTCTCGTGCACAGCTTTTCCAATATCTGTCAGGGCAAGCTAGGCGAAATGACAATGGGCACTTCGGCGTACAACGACATTCGTCTATACCTATCTCCAGAAGCGGGAATCTCTCGTGAAACAATGAATATCAATAGGGATCACTACAATGGCCTCAGATCACCCATTCGTTTCATCGCCAAAAGTCACCCTGTTAGCACCAAATCTAAGGCAATTCGTTTATGTATTTCTTCTACCTACAATGTTATTCAACCTGAGTATCCTTTCACAGTGATCCTTAACTGGGAGACACTAACAGACTCCAATACCTTCCCGATTAATAAATCTCTGGAACCGGGTGACATTCTTCGAATCGAGACGTTGAATCTCGTCTATGTGTTCCTCTTTAAGGACTCGGAAACAGTGGCCGAGCATAAGTTGTCTCTGGGCTTCCTCACATTACCTCAGTTACCCTCAGCTGGTGGAAAACCTCCTACAGGTCAAAACGGAAGTCGCTCTGCTGCGAGAACCGCACGAATCGATGCTCTCGTTCGAAAAAATTCCAACCTCAGTAACCACAGCGTTGGGGGCCCCAGCATCCTTCCAACCCCTTCGAGTGTGGGTGTGGTGGTGGGAACCCTGTTTCCTCGAACCTCTCCTAAGAGTGGGGACTCGAATTGGAGCGAAATAGGCGGCATTCTTCCAGATGTAGGAGTGGCAGCCGGGTGCTTTGCCCATCTCCTTCGGTCAGTTGTCAGGCATGGGTTGGGAACGAACGGGCAAAACTATGTGAAGCACTTCAACGAAGACGACGTGTTCCGGGAGATTAAGCAGGCCTTATCAATGGAGCTGGAGAAACTCAATCGGGTGAGTGGAGAATTGGTGTCTGTGCCTATGTACAATTTTATGGTACAGGTAAACAAATGCAATCTACCCTTCTCCACTGGGGAAGAATTTAGGGGGTGGCACTTTCTGTAACACTGAATTAGTCTTAAGGATACATAATATGTTTCCGGTTTTTTGTGACTTTAAATAGTCTTAAAATGGCAGTACAAAGTTTTCCATTTTTAAACAACCGAATTGGCTTTATGAGCTTTTTTTATCAAATAAGATGTGTAAAATACGCCATTTAGAATGTGACTACTTCCAAGTACTTTAAAACCTGGTGTGGCGCAGTTTGAAATACCACTTACGGAGGAGAAGTGTCTGTGCCTCTCTGGTATATTGCATTCTTTACCCAATTTTCCTGCGTAGGGACTTAAAAATTTGGGTCACAGAAAGCCCCGATTCAGCACTGGGGCGTGCGTGTCCTTATTAGTGCAGCTTTCGTAATTGCAGACACGCACAAGACTGATCCGTGGGTGTTGACACCACTCCGCCCCAGCCCAGCCCGGTCTTGAATTTCATTATCGTGCAGGCGTGGATAGAAATACGTACTAATCAAGGTACTGTTTGTGTGACGCCAAAATGGGCTTCGGGCATGCTAAAAGCCATGGGACCTATTCGAAAATCGTTCATCTATGAGATACGATCTTGGCGTTTTCTTTTTCAGCCTCGTATATGCTTAACGTCTCGGTTTTTCTGATTCCCGTCAGCGTCACAAATAGGTGCGATAGCTTATGACCTCAAACCATGTGGCAAAGAGGTTGATTTAATCGGAGACCAATTGCTAAACAGTATAATAGGTGTAGATGTTTCGTGGTCCGAGGTTAATTGCTTTTGTTTAAGTTTTGAGTGACGTTTGAATGGGTCATTTCCGTAGCACAAGTATCAAAGCTGCGGTTGTCAATTTTCCTCTGAGACCTTGGTGTTGACCGTGTGAAATATTCATCACATATTTATTTTGGATATGAGGACCTTGAAGGAGTGTAGACTTAAAAATTCCCATTTCCACTATTCGTTTCAACAATTGCCTACACGATGGAATTCAGTTTTTGTGGATAAAGCTCTCTCAGCCTTATGTTTTGCTTTCTCGAAGCAGGTGGGTGATTGTTGTGCAAAGAGAACCCAGTAAACACTTCCTAGCTGAGACATAGGCAATCTGATTTAATGGCGGACATTGGTGGCAGTTTGTGCGCACTCGAGCATGGTTTCACTCCCATTTGAGACCATTTCTTCAGGTTATATCTCTATCCACTGGACTAAATTGGCCAAAGTGCTCATGTAAAATTAGATTTACAAATTAATTGAAAGTCTGTTTTGATTGTGAGTGAAAAGTGATGGATGGCTGGTCGTTATAATCCGAAAGAGGAAAGCCGTTCTCATTGGATTTGATATTCGATGTACCCTCTTTCACGCCACCTGTTAAATAGAATCACGTGTCAACGACTTTGTTTGACTTGACACTCCGAACTATGCCTCTTTGAGTATAGGAATCCCACATTCAAACCCTCTTCTACCTAAAACTGGACGTGCACTCGGTTGGCAGGCAAAATACTTCACTCCGCCTTCTCGTAATCTCTACTGCCGTGGGTAAAACACGAAATACAGGATCTTTTGATCTCACAAGTCATTACGAGTTTTGGTAATCCTACTAATTACCTGCAACTCTGTTAATCTAATAGTCGAGTGGCTCGGAAGTTAGGGAACCAATTAGCACATCCTGCATTTTATTCCCATGGAGGATGAGGGATTGGTAATGCGGTGCCATCGAACTCGAATTAGAGACGAGCGCTATAATTGCTCTCCGGTGTACTCCCATCTCCAGTCATTATCTTGAGTTTTCCATCTTTTTCAAATTCTCCTCCAAATTTTGGCACTTCTAAGCAGGGAGAAAGGTTCGTAAGTCAGGAAATGAAATGGAAAGTGCAATTTTCTGTGAGAAGATTTTATGCAAACGCCTTGGAGCGTTCGGTAATGCCTTCGCTTTGCTTCTTCCGTTCTGACATTAGGCAGAAAAGTGGTCAAGCGAGATCGAGGTACTGGCAACTTTTTTACATCAAACTAGTAGCTGCCTTCTTGCATATGTAAATAGGCTAGGGGCCTCAAATATCTCTTTGTTGTAGACAATAGCTTTTCGATACAAACCGATTGTGGGTGTAATTGGAGATCTCTCTTCTTCAGTGATTCACCATCTAGGAGCGACTGAGTTGAATCTCAGTGAACCAAAGTAACTGCCTTTCTTCTTGTTCTCCTCAAATGCACTGGTGCATTGTCACTACGTTCCTAATCACACGCATGCATAAATTCGGTTGTGTGGGATTTCATGTGTGATGATATGGTGTGCGTCCCTCGAGATGGTGTCTCGTTGCGTGCTCCCAAAGTGACTTGTCAATTTCACCGAATGTGAAAGCAAACTAGCGTACGTCTCAGTGGCCCAACAGCCTGTTTCTCACCCGCAGATGCCGCTGCTTGTCTGACCCTGATTGACCTTGCCCCGATGACGTCAGTGATGATCGGCTCGATAAGGGTGTTATTACCACCACCTGATGATTTTACTTCACTCCAACTTAGAATACAAATTTTAGGTGAAGATAGGTGGTTTGCGACTATGAATGAGGCACACCTGGATTGCAATTCGAAGACATCCTTTTTCTGGTGCTTGTAGCAGTAGGTCTTATAGACCCATTAGAAGAAATTTGGCAAGTTCTCTTATGTACTAGTAGGCATCGAAGCGAGACATTTGGTGTTTTCCTTAATAATTGACACCGGTGATGACTACTTCGCATCATCTTGACAATGCTACGGTTTTTCGGTCGAATTTTTTGATTTTGTTTCTAATCATACAATGCGGAAGTATTTTAGCAAATAGCATCCATTTTTTACTTTTAGCTATCGCCTAATTGAGCGGTAGTAAAGTGAAATTGAAGAAGCGTTCGCTTAACGTTTTTTTCTGGTCTAACCCCACATTCGCTGTGATTTGCTTATAATCCGCTTTAGGCATTTAGCTGATCTTCACCAAGCGCCTCCTCATTTTGCAAGTATTCCTTTGAGGCGCTCTGTGGAACCGTCAGTTCCATTTTAATGTTGCATGCGATTTCGGGACTGACCTCCTAATGGGAGATGGGGCCATGCCCAAAAGTCGGTCGTCCGGCCGTACTTTCGACTTTTGGCAAGGTCACACTTCCTTCCCCGCTTTTAAATTCTGCACGGGTTTGAATAAGGGCACAGCATTTCTCGATTCATCGGTTCAATGCCATTTTGTTCCCACTTTGGTAGATAGCGCGCTCAGCAGTCTGTTGGGAACTTTAATGATATCCGAATATAAGGAGAGAAACGTCTTCTCAAAGGCAGATCAAACTGAAGAAAAGGGAGGCCTTTAAAACACAAATTTTACGTGCACTTGTCTCATGCCAACACAAGGAATTAATTACCAGTTCACCTAGTATCTATCACACCTTGAAATGCCGTGTTGTAGGGGCAGAGTGTTCTTATCTTAGCCCATCTCATGTCAAAGAGGTCTACCTATCTGAGGGTCTATGGCGCCATTATCACGCACATCACCTTGAGGATGATTGGTTATGTGGCTTCACAGGTATATGCATTCAAAGAAATTGAATCAGAAGAGTCGTGTAACTAGCCTGTTTACCTGTAATATAACTGCCTTGGTAATGTAAAAACGCAGATTTTGAGAGAAAATAACAACGCAGCTAAGTCATTTCGTCTGGGGCGGAGATCGTGAAAGAGAGGTGTGAGTTTACATCTGACTCACCTCCCTGTTGGCTTGCGCAGTTATGAAAATTCACTGTTTGTTTCTTGGCTCAGGGCTTCTGCCTAGAAGGAAGATGCAAAGCATGCCAAAACTCGACAATCATTACTGCCGTCTCCACCTGAGATGCCTTAACAGGCATGTGAGTCGCCAGGCTTCCAACCTCACAAATACAATGCTAATGCTTAGACCTTTCAGACTGAATTCTCCCAAGGCCAAGGCTACATGTCTAAACAGCCTGCAGTTAGGTGACATCCCATTATTGGATTTAAGCAGGGTGACACATTGCACCCCTTCTGCCTGGACAATTCAAGGCTTTTGAATTAAATGATGTTTTTGGTTGCCAGTTTACCAACCAATTTCTAGAATACTGAAATCCGAATAGGACAGATGGGAAGGGAAGTTGGTGCCTGCATTTTTGAGTAGGGTGACTGATCATTCACCTAGAGATGGGAATTTTGAATTAGCTGTAGGCCCGTACCCATGTGTATGTGTTGACGGCAACGGCAGTCGGAATTGCATTATCTCGACGTGCACATCTGCACTTGACTGTGCCGGACGCGAAATTGCGAGCAGCGAAACGACAGTAAACTCCTCTCGTCAACAGTCCAGGGAACTTTAAAAGTACTGCTGTTTAGTTGGAGAAATTAAAGACTACCAATTTCCCCCTCAAATGCGCGGGTGGGTAGGTGGGTGAATTTCACATGGCTACATTAAGATAATGCATTACTTTGTGACAGGTGGTAATAGGGGCTCAAGCCGCGCTGATGTTAATCACATTTCGATGCTAAAACATGTGCTTCCGTTCTCCATTTTTAAGAAAATTTTGTTATTGAGCATAAGTTTGCTGCACTGCCGTTTCGATGAGATCTAGTTATTGACATATTCAAGATTTTTTTCCTGGATCTCAGTATGGGTAACTGAAGTGACTTGCTAGAACTTATAGGGACTAGTGCGCTTTATTGTGCTCCTCCTATCTTTTCATTATCTTGTATCCTTGTAGCATAAACATTGGTTGAGCCTGATAGATTCGATTTGAGTTTACCGATTTCCCTAGCTGAGTCGAATTTGGCTCCGAAACTGTGGTTGCAGGCGTTCCTCATCAGCTTTGATGTATGGCACTTGGGGAAGGTGCGTTGCGCACTTTTTGAAGGAAGGTGGAAAGAGAGAAAGCTACCGTCCTAGCCTGTCTCGTTCTCCATACTTCTCCGACGATGTTGCCTCAAGTGTCGACCATCACCTTCTCCTGGCATCGTTGTCCGATAACCGCATCATCGCTTGCGAAACAGAATGGACACTAGGAAAATGGAAATGGGATAGAGACGGAGGTGGCTAGAACCAGTTTGTTTGCCTCGAATACTGAAGTACCTTTTAAAAAGGGCAATTTTTGTCACAAAAAATGAATGGTTGGAACAGTCACCGTAGAAACGATCGACTGAGGCATCTTAGTGCACAGCTGGGACCAGGTCTTGCTCATGAAGCGCGACTGAAACACATGCCTAGGGTCTGTCTGTTTTTAATGACCTTAACTACATCTCTCACACAAAACCTGCGTTTTCAGTAAACGTGTCAACTGGTATTATATATTCAGGAAAGATATTACCATAACCATATTCTTTAACTCCTTATGCGCCATTAAAGAATGGAAGGCTGCCGTTACTAATTCAGCAAATTGGCTTGCTGGTACGGTGATTTGGGTGGAAGATAGCAATTATACCACTTTCTTCTCTTTTGATCATGCAAAGTTTCTTTGATAATCTGAATCAGAAGAGCCCGTGAAATGTCTATCACGCCGTTGGGTGACTTAAGAAAAGTACCATGGTGATAATTTCTGTCTAGTGAACTTGATAAAGGTGATGCGGTTTGGGACCTTTTCTACAGCTTCCTAATGAAAATGAAACATAGGCACGAAGACTACATTCAGGCTACTCACAGAGTCGCATTAACTTTATGATGTAAAGTGGCAAAGGTATGAGGAAATATCAGAGCCATCTTGGCTTCAATTGGGCTTGCCGGTGTTCCCGAACTCGATTCGTGATTTAAGATTTGCTGATCTCTTCCATTAGTAGAAACGCCAATCACTAGTTAGTCGTCCTAAGTGTTATTCATTTCGCAGAGCGAGTCGTTTTAAAAACCAACTTCTTGACGGTCACTCAAACGAAATCTTGCTCTGCAAGCAGTTTCATTTCACTCGAAGGAGGATTTGAAGTGTATCGCGGCACTTGCAATTTGCTAGTGACACGAATTGTATTTCGTCCAGCTTCTGACTAGATTGAAACCTGGTTTTATGGGTTTTTGTTGCTTCTGTTTTTGTCGTTAAATAACTTAAGGGCTTTCCAGACCCCCCACTTCTTGTGCAATCATTCACGCGTTTTTTTTTCTGCGGCATTTTTCATTGTTCACTAGAAAAGGCAAAGGGCGATCTCATTATGATTCATGCTTAGCACTTAGGCATACCATTTTCAAACGCAAGAGTAATTTGCACATTATCAAAAATACAGAGGGACTTTTGAAATTGTTCGTGCTTTGATTAAAGTTGAGTCAACTTGATGGGTCTCAGTGTCACATTGAAAATTGCCAATAAGTGGAGGGAATTTGTTGTCTAGTCGTAAACTGCTGAGGTAACGGTGGGTAAATGGAGTGCCTTGCCAATGTAAGGCACAAGCAGCGTTTCCGACTCACTTTACAGCCGTAATAAATTGGAGATGTCAATTCTCGTGTCGTCGTGACCCGTTAGCGACTAGCTTACTCATTCTGTGGTTCTAAAGGTAGCTTTACCCTAACCGCGTGGCATGACTAGGAAGAACGCAGCATAAGCAATATGAGAAGGCCTCAATACAAAATCTATGAAGGTCAAATCACTAAAGATAGCAAGATGAATATAAACACCTTTTGTGCTTTTAGCTGGCCTCACAACATCTAACTCCAGCAATATGGGAGGCGACTTTCTGTTACTACGTGGCGCAATATCTCTCACCAGGTTGGTTGAGGAGCACAGTGTCCCTACCGTCGCGTATTCAGGTGGCTGAGCGTCATCGCAGCAGCAGCCGCGTGCGCAGCGCAGACGGAAATAGCAACAGCAGCACCACCGACTCTCCTTCCGACGTCTTCAATTCGCCCCTCCAGAGACCACGTCAACTATATCCCGCGAATGCTACCGCCCCCGATATTGGTGAGAACTACGATCCCGACTTTGAGAATCTGCCCATGCTTTCGGCGTTGCGCGACAAGGTTGCTGTGGAGGCTGAAGCTGTTATGAACCGGGCAGTTCAAATGTCCCTTAAAGTGGGTTTCATTGCTCCCCTTCTCAGAGTCTGGAGAACAATTTTTGTATAGGAATATGAGACCTATGTGAGGTCAGATATGACGCGACCCTTGAATAGTTCATATCAAGTACTATTAAGGGTAGTGGTCAGAAAGAAACTCTACTACAAATGCACAGAAAAGCTGGGCGACTACCAGGATAGGTGAAGTTGACGCACCTCCAAATTGGCAGTGCAGTGCCTGAGTGACGGAAGATGAAAGGATTCATATTGTTAAATTGAGACCAAAACCAAAAGATACTTTTTTGGCACTGTTTATTAGACTTTTTCACTCCTCGACAAATGGTAAACGCGAGATCAGGAATTCGTGGATATGCAAACCTACACAAATGCCTATGGTTTTATGATGGGTAATTACATACCTATGTTTTGGTAAACGAAAGACGAAACCACAGGAAGGTGGTGCTAGTATTGTCTTGCTAGTGAATCATACACTTGGTGAGAATCCTCCGAGGGCTGATGTTCGTTGAATGCTGCTATATTTACCAGGATAAACCGCATTTACTCCAGGACTTGTGCTGCGTTTCCCAATCAAATATTTGATGTGTTGAGGCTTCTGCTTTTCCCATTTAAAAATTCCCCACTACCTGAATTGCTTACGTACGTTTTCTTGGGCTGCGTATTGTGGTACGATTACGTTTGGACTATTAAGACAAGAAATTCACAAGAACGCGATTCGTACGCCCACCGGGTTTGATCAATTTAAGCTTGAAAGACATAAAAAAATTCATGACACTTCTTTACGCCGCATGGGGCAGACGTCCTCTCACTTCACCACTCTATGGGGTCACAGCAACGCCTGTGTTTACATTTAATCGGGCGTATGGAGGTGCTTTATGCGTGGGCATGACTGGTGAATCACCAGCGCCAATGTGCTGTGGCGATTGGGAGGCTGTTCTTGCAGGCATTGAACAGGTCTCAAGAAATGGGGTTACGCGCCTGCCCGCAGAATGACATGTGGAGAAGACGGCTTGTCACCCACCCTTTCTCTCACGCCGATAATTGTGCTGTGGGAGGTTAGGCAGGGAGCAGTCTTGAGTTGATGCGTTTTGATGTGAAGTAGCACGTGCCACCGAGACTTGAAGTGCCTGATAGACTAACTCCAATTCGTCAGAATCGATGGCACTCTTCCACCTGTCATAAACCCTAGGCGTGTTTCATAAGATTTGCAATTTGTTTGAATATGTCCCTTAAGGTGTCAAGCTGAGATAAATTTGGGAAACTTTTTAAATTACAGATCAAATATAATTTACTGAAGTGCTCTAGATCATGGTATTTCATTTATTTATTATTACAATAATAACAGATTACTCCCTTTCGCCTTTGACTGAGTCAACACTGCTCGAGTTCGATCTACGTGGAGCTCTTGACAAAAGTCTATGACATATCGGTGTCGCAGACCACTCCCACTTGGATATTAATACCAGCGAGGCGTTAATTTAACATTTAAAGTGGCAGAGAATGGAAGTAAGAGGTATTGTTCCATCATCTATTTATGATTGAAGTCATTCTGCCACTTTAAAAGGCCCTTTCGCAGCTCCGAGGCTTAGCATCGAATGCTAGAATCTGGGTGCGCCAACTCAGTTTCAAAGCGCCGAATTAGCTCCAGCTACTCCCGCATGTGACGTGCAAGGGCGAGCATGCTTTGCATGGACTCAACAACCAGCCTCTTTGGGAGACAGATTGCTCGTCTCATGGGCCCCTGCTAAAGGAGCATAATACTTTCCGGGAAAACATTAGTAAATCAACTACGGGAGGCTTAAATAGGAGAGTTCTGAATTTTCCCGCCGTTGGTTGATTGAATCGCCAATGAGTGTACTGTCTTCGGCAGATCATAATTTCTTTATAAAGGCCTTGTGTTGGCGGGGAGTTGAGAAATGCGAGAACAACAAATTCACATGGCAAATTAATAAAATACCTCAGAATTTAATATTTATGACCTGTTAAAAAGGCGTACTTGGGACTAATCGTTCCCACTGTTGCCATCAGTGGTGTGAAGAAGAAGAAGAGGGAGCCTTGCAGGCAATTGCATTGTGCATGCCATGTTTTGGTTGCTTCATAGAGGGTAAAGAAACTGTAGTTTATCCTTCAAAACCCACCACTAGTTGTTTTCAAGGCAAAACGGTTACTATCATGTAGGTCTGAGCGCGTGTACGTTATTCCAGATAAAATCTGCCTGAAATGCTTAGAACAACACCTCTTACAGAGGTAATTTACAGATAGTGACGGCTATAATACCTTCGCACCTAATCATTTATGATCTTTGTGTTCAGTTCTTGGTGCATAAAACTTCTTCCTGATGGCTATTAAACAGGTGGTCATAAAATGTATATTGACGGCTCAAAATCGTTGAATAACACCTTGGAAGTGAGCGAATTGCCTCGCTTTTGCACCACCAAAAGGTGAATAACATCTTGTGTCAGTGAAGTTGCATGCCAGTTGACAACCCTTCACTAACACGTAGATTAAGTGAGCTATGTATACGCGTGACTGTGATGGAGAATCGTTTCGTTGTTCACATTTATTATGCAGCTTAAGAAGCATCACTGCATACTACAGATAACGAGGCTGAAGTGAATTTCCATTTTTTATACGTCTAACACAAATTCTGACATACAGTCATGTTTTTCGAGCCCCAATTTGGTAAGGCAGTGAAATATTAAAATGAAACGAGTGTTCTCAATCTGGATACAATAAAGGAGTGGGAGTTGTTGTAATTATACATGTGTTCCGGATTTATTTGAACATGCTTTAGCAGCTGATTTAAGCAAATGATTTTGACTTAAACAAAAATAAATGTTTTTTACATTTTTGCTAAGGTAGTTTTAGCAAGTCTACCTGGAATTACTCCTACAGAACGCCAATAAGGCCCGTTGGAGCGTCTTCTAATAGCACCTTTAACTGGCATCTCGAAAATTACCCTAAGGTGTGGCAAATAAATTTATCGAGTACGAGTATATCATCAACAAAATACTATATCTTCGTCTGAAGAGCGTGGAATCATCTTCAGGATGATTGCTATTGAAGGTGGGGCTTGAAATCCACTTTTGTAGGTGGCCTCAAAGGGAGTGACCAAGATCTGTCGCCTCTTCAGTAGTTCCCCAGGCGATGAAACAACGCGACAGATTCGTGATACGCAAGCCGCCCTCTTCGATAAGTTGGATTGGACGGGAGACGCGATCACTCAGGCGCTGTCTACACGTAGCCAACACTCCGAGTTGCCCTCGAATGGGGCGACAGCGATTCGGCTAACGCAGGCTCAGCCGTACAACGGCCGTGACACCAGCAGAGGGAGGAGGTCGACGTCGACAGCTAAGTTGGAGACGGATGGAGGTGATAGCAGTATGGATTCCTCGCCACGACGGAATGACTCCAGTGTAATTGACTCGGACGAGGAGGAGGAGGAGGCAACTTCACCCTCAGGATTCAGCTCGCTCAACTGTGACGATGAGATGCCCTTGACTCCGGGAGAGGAAGAGGATACGGGATTTGGAAGTAGTGCCACTGGAGGCTCAACGAAGGGAGCACAGCAGTGGATGGAGAGTGTTTTCTTTTGTCGATTCATTATCGGACTTTCTAAACGCATTATCGAGGAGTTTGTCGAAAACCGTAAGTAGAAATTCGGGCCATTTCAAAGATTTAATCCAGGCCAAACCAGGCCTCTCTTGGAGAATCAACACTCATCTCGATATTTTAGCTAACACACTTAAAAGTGACTTCATTCGTGTGCATTTCTTCTAAAATTGACAAGATAATGCATCTCGCCTTCGTTCATAGGTGTGGCGCAACCATTTCACCAACTTTCAGTACCGTTTTCCCCATGGAATTGCGTGAATCTTCCTAACCTCTTTGCCTTTTTTACCCATATGCACATCCTCATGACTTCTTCATTAATTAAAGGCAATCAGACAGCCATGAGATTGGTACCCTAATGGGCGACAGCCTCAGTTATATGCAACCCCCGATTGTCTTGCCCGAGCCGGTCATCACAACCATTTTGTATATTTCGTATCCATTTACGATAACTATTTACACCCAATCGTGTCACAAAGAGATGTGGGATGGTGTTCTTGGTCTGCGGGTCAGCACACTTTGGAACATGCCTTTTGTGGAATGCGGTTAAAACCAGACGGCCCTCCATTAGGTGCAATGATTTCAAAGCTCCTAACGCACCATCTGACTTCGTTTTCGTTTACTTTTGCGACCAATTTGTTGGCTTTTGAAAGAGTAAGACACTTTGAAGTCTTTTTCTGAACGAATCTTGCTTTCACTGAAGTAGACGAGTCTAAACAAAGTGAAAACGCTAAGAAAGTCGAGGGGTAATAACAGGATGACAAACGGAGTGGAAAAATAAATGCAGACCTTCTGTCACTCGCCTGTGCTTTTACTGTTAATGTGGATGCTATGCAAATTAAATAGATCTCTTTGACAAGAATGTCATCGTAAGGATCTGTTTCTTCCGATGAGTAGGTGATTCTCGGTCGGCTTGACATTAAACTGATTTTCGACCTGTCTATTACATCCTTATTTTACATAGAGAGAACACCAGCCTCCGTTCATGCCTGAAGAGGTATGACTTTGATTGCTTCTTGTTGTAGGTGCGCTGGTGATAAATTGGGAGACGGGGACACAGGTTTTGAACCTGGTGAAGGCACTTAGCAAGTGGATGCACAACGCAGGGGTGCAAAATTACAAGGAGGCTCTGCAGCTTCTGCACGACTTTGCCAGGCTGATGGCCACTCCAAGACAAGAACTTCTCAATGTAGGCGTCTCAGTCCACTCCCCCATTCCCCAACCAAAATCGGTCTTTTTAGCGCCCTTTTTATCAACACGTCCTAAAATAGGGCCTTGAAACAGGTAGCCACCCTCAGACTGAGAGCATCCCGCATCTATTACAGCATTCTAAACTCCACCAAACGGGCTGATCTAGTGTCACAAATGCGTGACGCATGTAGCTAAGTCAGAAAAATTGCCTTGTAACAGCAGCCTTAAAGTTGATTAATTGCAAGAGTTGAGCCTCTTCCTTCAAAGCATTCATCTGTTCAAAACAAATTAAATATTTAGTGGCATGAACCCAATATTCAAGATATCTTACTGCCTGCTGCATAACAAGTCAGCCATGTGGAAGAGCATGAGACGCTTACAGGAGTGAAGACACGGCTTAGAACTCAACCTTGTGGGTGCAGTTTCTTGTGACTTTGTGAAGATTTTCGGGAACTCGATAATGCTTTTAAGTTGCCGCACGGGGATGGGCTAACCTACTTTCTGTCTTCGGCATTAATAATAGAGGGAACTGGATTGAAGTGAATTACCCCTTAGCAAAGAATTTTGATTTTGAAAGTAAGTTGCTGGATTTCTGACAATGGGGCTTTGCGGAAGTCTTAGACTGATCTACCTCTAGAGAATCATAAGATCCTGACCTGATTGTGCTCTAGATTGAACTGGAATCACGAGTTACGTGGATGTGATTTTGTCGTCATAGTTGCATGGGTTGTTGTAAAGAGTTTTAAACGTCCAATCTTAGATGTGTAGTTTAAAGGAAGATGTTAAACTTTGGAAGACTTTCTTTTCAAAGGGGGATTGATGAGGAGCTGGACTTAATTTAGAATATAATCAACAATTTAAACAATCTGCTTTCCTCATGATTAATTTTATGAGCCTGTATGCGCTATGGATGGCCTGCTAGAATTCCCGATTTTGATGAAGTGTATAACCAAGGATTTATTCTAGCACAATGATTTAATGTGTACTTGAGGTACTAACATCCTGGAGAGTTTTGGATGTGCTTCCTTGAGAAGCATGGAAACGCCCATGCGAAATCCCTACCACTTTCAATTCACTCAGAACCTACCAAATTTCCTAGTAAACTATGGGAAATATGTGCTTTCTATTTAGATGTCATGGGAACAGCTTCGCACGAAACGACCTACCCTACCACCGTCGCTGCTCTACTTCCTGTTGAAAAACTACGAAAGCGGCAAGGCGATGCAAAGTGCCCGGGGATGGTTTACTAACGATGACAACGTGTTACGAGAAAGTCGTGCGTTTTTGTCAGTTACATGCTTTTAGCTTACAAAATGAGATAGCACTTGGAGCACTTTTCAACATCTTGTAGCAATTGATGCCGTCAACCTATATGCAAAGCATTGGCAAGAAATCGGGCAACTTTGCTCACTGTCTAGATTCCAGAGGGCGGAAATGGCCCATCGACCTCCTGACCCAGCCAAGCTTTTCAGCACTGTACAGGCAAAGATTGCTGTCGATTTGTTCGACAGGACGCTAGGTGAATATCTATTTTCTTCACATTTTTGCGAATGTGAAAAGTATTACGGTTTGTCTCTTATAATTAACGCTACTGATGTTAAACGAGTAGGCGATCAGGTTGAGAATTTCTCCCTGCTCTGATCAATCAAAAAATTTCATTTAACAACAATTTTTTTTATCCAAGCCGAGCACCGTCAAGTCTTCAGGTGGAATGCGCTACTAAAGGGCTATCGACCGCCAACCTCAATGCTGAAAGATAGCGGATCTGTGTGCAGTTCAGGCATCCGCATGAATAGCTCGCGATTGGGTAGTCAATTGCCCGATTTGATTCGCTTAAAACATCACGGTAGTAGCGATTCTAGCGATATTCGCGATTTTGCTGAACTCAATGCGGAGGTCAATGGACCTAAATCACATACCTTCGATACACTCGATATCCCCCGTCCGACTCTATCTTTCGAGGGACCCAGTCATTCCATTCTGGTTGGTGATTGCTTGTTTCTCTAGGCCTAATGAAAGTACATTTATAATCATAAACGCATCCCTAGAAGGTTAGCAAAAGTTAAATAGTTCTCTTAGAAACCTAGGCATGATAAAATTGGTTTCGTGAATAAACTTGATGTTCTACATAGGTTTAAACTGTCATATTTTTGATTCATTAATTTAATTCAGGCTGTCATTATATAGACGAGGAGCAAATAATAGGTGCAGTTTATGATAAAATGAAAACGTCAGTGCTTTTGTATTTGCACATCCAGACAGGTCGACCCTACAACAGCCGACGAGCGACAGCCTCCGAATTAGGAGGAGTGAGACGAACGGACGTGCAGCATGTAGTGCCGGTTCCCGGTGGCGGTTTCCGTTCCCGCGTCAGGGCATACGAACTCGGTGCCTCGTCACCTCACTTGCAGGATTGGAGCATCTCTGGCACCACATCATTGTCAAGGGGGCGGAACTGCGCTCGCCGCAGTGCTCTTCGTAGTGCCGGACTCTTCGGCTCCAGCCTCAATATATCTCAATCTCCGGACCCTCTTAGGCGATCCCAAGAGGCTCAGAGGATCCGTGATGACTGGTCTGAGTTCAAGAAAAGCCTTTCCCATCCTACCACGCCCTCCACTATCGAACCTGATGCGGAGACCCTGAACGGCAGTTTTTCCATCCACCTCCCCGCTGTGATGATCCAGTCGAGCCAGGATTTCAGTAATCCCCCACGCAGAAGGCGTGAAGATAGCCTCTCCTCTTTCACGGACTGGAATTTGCGCAAGTCACAACAAAGCCTCATCAGTGTGGATTTGGACAGATCGATCGCTAGTTCTGTGATAAACGTGCAACTGGATAAGGTTGCCAATGAAACGTATGGGCTGAAGTTCGTCGAGGGACATGTAGGTTCTCTCCTTAAATTTCTTTTCTGCGAGGAGGTAGTGCATAAAATTTTACTGCAATAAAATGCCACTTTTAACGATGATTTCTCTTTCGTGTCCCGTACCAGAGGATGCACTGACTGTATGCTAAAGTGTGCGCATACTTTCTTGGCTGTTGAGGGCTCGAAAAAATTTCATGCGTATCACCTCCTGCTGATTGTGTAATTATGGTGGATACAAACAAAAGTCGTGCAATATTTGCCCATTCAATTCACGAAAACACTCCTTTTTGGAACGTATAGTCTGTAGCATTTTTGAAGCCCTTGCTAGACTTAAACAGACCAGGCTTAAACCAACTTTGTCGTCACTGTCTTTGAAGTGCACCAACAAAACCAGTAGTTGACCCTAATGGTGGATAATTATGACAGCTGCCCATACAGAATGCTTCAAATCAAAAGCAAAAAAGCACTGCATTTTTGGTTTTAGATGACGCGATTCGGCCAACTGGGAATCTACGTGAAATCTATCACACCAGACACCTCAGCTTCGCGTGCTGATATCAAATTGGGGGACCGAATACTCGCCATCAATGGAAAAGATGTTACCGAGATGACCTTCAAAGAGTAAGCTTTACCTGCCTCATCCTGATGCTTATTTGAGTGACTCCTCCGACTCTGGTAAACTTCCGTCACTTCCTGAATCAGTGCGGCGGCTCTTTGTAGTGAGAGCAAACGATAGCTGTAGCAATTAAAACTTCACAATAAGTCAGGTGAAATCTGGTTTATGTAACTCAGCAATGCAGCCGCATAATGGATGGCAAGAACAACTTCGGTATAGCAAAGGATGTAGGACTCTTGAAATAAGCCTTTTTCAATTACTCAAAGGTCACAAAAGAGCAAATACTTTCGATTTTTTGCTCTGGTATGAGGAGAAACTGACATATTTCAATACAGTAGGATTTAAGAGTGCCTCTAAACCAACCTAAGACAGACCGTCTGTCGCTGTACTTTCTGACATTGGAAACGCTTGCAAATGATTGCATTCAGAGTTTCTGAAGATTGGAGATTCGTCGATTCACCACCATCACTTGTGAAATGTTCACAGAAAAGAATGCTGCTCCATGGACCAGGGAATCAACATGTCTAAAATTGCCACTGACAAATTCTTTTTGACAGCTGTCTTTGAAGCGTCTTGGTGTGTCACAAGGAAATGTGAGATTTAGACGGAGAATCTCCAAGTCGTCGAAAGAGTACTCCTTCCCGACCAATAATCGCGGGCGTAGAAGCCAGTGGCAGTTGTGAGTCTGGTTAGAACCTTTGGTGCATGTCCCTTGAAGCTACTGCGTGGCCTTGGGATGCAAATTCCGCTCGGTCAATGCAGTGGAGTTGGTGTCCTATTAACGGTTTGACTGATGATAAACTCTCTCATACGGAATCGCTCAAAGCTGTCCGATATGTCAGTAGGAACCATTGCAAGGTATCGGCATCTGCACCCTTCTCTCGTGACTTCTTTAATGCTCTCCTGAAGTTATCAACAAATTTCGTCCATTGTCCGTTGAATTGAGGATGAAGTGGCGCAGAGCCATTATGCGTACCAGCTTGATGGCAGCAAAAGCCAAGTCATGGAACTCCTTCATAGTGAATTGTGCTTCGCTGCCCGTGAACAACGTCTCTGAAAGCCCTTACTAGATGAAAATTTGGCCTAAAACTTTTATCGTCTTGGTGGCCATAGGAAGAAATACAGGTGTTATCTCCGACTCCTTTGGAAAGGCATCTACCAGCATGAGGTGTGAGAAGTCGCTGATTGGACCGACAAAGTCAAAGTGAAGTTATGACCAGGGTTTCTCTGGCTGAGATTAGGGTCATAACGGCGATTTTGCAGGATTTTTTGCTGTCTGTTGAACTTCAAGTATGATCTTTGGGCGAATCCGAGCAGCAATTATAAGGTAACCTTCCTGACGATTGCCGCTGACTGCTCGGGGGCTGTGGTATTGGTGTGCACCTGATTGCAGATAAATTTAACCGACGGTTCCTCTAGGCTCAGTTTGTTGGACCAGCCGAGACCATAAATGTTGCAATTGGCCTTCGCCATGTAACGCATCCTAGTGAATGATGCGTCATGGAAGGATACCAGGCACCAGGGCCATCCAAAGTCGTCAGTTGGCCATCGCCTACACCAGCCCTGGTTCAGGTTTTTCTATTAAACAGACAGTTTGCCAAGTCGACACCGGAGTTTCTCCAATACGACAGTAGTTTCATAATTGGTGTCCAGTTGTAGTCGAGCTGTTTAGTCATTGAATCGGATGGTAATGAAGCTTCGGCGACCGGATGCGTTTATCTGGGGGCCGTTCATCACAGCATATCCATTGGGCTTCCGTGCCACAGGGACGCCAGATTCCGGCCCCTTATCCAAGTGGCATTAGCGATAATCGAAGGTAGAAGCTAGTAACTTTGCTAATACGTTGAGGTTGCCAACAAATTATCTTTGGACCAATTCAAGTGGTTGAAATCACTACTACTCTGGTTAGGCAAAGTTTTCGTCACATTGGTGGCTTGGAAAAATCTATCACTGTGCCTGTAACATCTTTGTCTTCGTATGGACCACAGATACTACCTCTGGTCACTCTGAAAAGGCATTTTCTAAAGAGAGGTAGGAGATGGCATTGAATGAGTGAAGTCGTGAACATGGTTTCTTTGACCTAAGCCAGGATATGGGAAGGGATTTTTGAGGATTTTCCGCTGTTTATTATTTTTGATAGTGTCTGACAACGTGTACATCACCTTCGTTTGCCTATGGCCAAAAAACACGATTTCTTACTGCTGCCAGGATACCCCATGCAAAATTAGTGGGGTACCCTCAGGGGCGGTGACATGGGCAACAAAACATCGTCGCTAAACATCAAATCGCCTTTGGTAAAGCACGGTGGTTCACGGTGACGGAACAAAGGTTTGAAGTCATCGATATGTGAGAAAATTTGCCCTTTATTCCTCGCAAAGTTCATTGCCTGAATCAGAAAGTTGTCCTATTTTGGCCCATCATGGACTTCTGCAGCGGTTGTTGGAAAGTTTCTAACCGTATGGGCTAAGTGAAAGGCCGATGCAAACCTTTTGGTGGTTGCCATCGACCATGCATAGGGTACGCCAGGGGATTGTACTTGACATATAAAATTAAATGTCTTGATTGGACTCGAATGGCCTTCGTATTATTCTCAAATCAGACGGTGTTGCTGAAGGCATCTCCTATAAGTCGGACAGATAAAACACACTCTTCCTATCTCAGGAGGCTCAAATTCTCCGTTTTACTCTAGGACTTGTGACCTTCTGAAGGACTGTATCTCCCGAGTGACGCTGACAATTCAACGAGGCCTCGTAGAGAACCCAGATGACCTCCTCTGCACATGAGATTGTCGAATTTGACAAATTTGCCCCTAAATGACTGATTACACCTGTCAGCCTACGTCTTTCGTGTATTTTTTTGTGCTTGCCGCCACCGCATATCCTCTTCTCGCCATATTCTTTTCTCTTTGCAAATTACACTGCTTGAAGGAAGATAAAGCGACTCCTTCCATTATGGTACTCGTCCCTTCCCTCCTCTCCCCTCCCCTGCTACCCCGCAACGTATCACTCCATTCCGAAGCAGGGTTTCAATGATTTGGTTTGGAATTTCATCTTTTTAATACCTGAGCACCTGCATATTTTATCTTATGCATAGTTTACAGTGCGAGTGATCAAATAAACTTTCCAATAAGTGCTTGTTTGACCCTCCGAGTTATGAAGGTTCCGTGATATTCATTGCTCCGATAAAACGACATAAACAATGATCTTGGGTTACCTAAATATCATATAGTGTGCTAAAAAGTGGGTTAAGGTAGAAATCCACTCTGCTGCGAAAATTTGCTAGGAAATGCACCGCAGTGAAAAAAAAATTATGTAATATTCGTTGTAGATCGTGAGACAGTAATAGACACATGAGCCGTAACGAATTGCTACCACCCACATCAGCAATACATATCCGCATGAAAATGAGAGCCGTTAGGTTGAAATCCCACAATTTTATGAAACTCCGAAGTGAGGAGTTGAATTTAAGGATTAAAATTACTTTGATTGTAAAATACAGCTTTCTCTCCTTTTCATCCGTTTGTGGTGAGTGATTTCGCCATAGCGTGTCGCAAACAGATTGGCTGAGTTGAAAACACCAACATGGTCGGAAACAATTACACCTTAGTGACTTTGTGAGCAGCAGTTAAGTTAATGAAAAATTAATGAAGTTGGCGCATGATTGATAACTTCAGTGAAATTTTCCCGGGATAGCTTTAAATACATCATTCCAGTAAAGGTGGAATGAGGTCAATACTACTACTTGTAAGATATTATTGCTTAGAGTAGCTACTTGGCTTACTGGATTGTGCCCACCACGAGGACTGAACAAAGTCGGGCGGCAAAACATAAGGTCAGACGGAGAGCTGGCAGTCAGATCGGTAGGTCAATCTTACGAGGCAGCGTTGTCCTAAATAGCAGCAGCAGAAAGGAAAGTTAGTGATTTGCCGGCACTCTTTAGACATGTGAAGCATGTAGCTTCACCAAACAAGTGAAAGGAATCGTGACTTGAGATAGGTGGGTCATTTGGCCGTCGCAGGAAGCGTATTTTACAAACTCGAATTGCTTTTGTCGCAAGTCATTCCGGATTTTTACCAGTACATGTTTAAGGCAACCCAGATGGCGCCACTTTGCGTTTTTCACTCACCACTGTCATGCGTGCAACTTATTATTCACCCACTCGTCACCGTCTCTTGCTCGCGAGGTCTGCGTTCGATTTCCAAGCCAAACCTACTCCGCCCTCGTAAGTCATTTAATCATGCCATCTTACTATCTTACGAAATTTTGAGCATTAGTTGTATCTAGGGCGGCCTTTCTCATCAGTTAATGAATGCCGTCGATTAATGTTGTATTTTCTATGGTACCCTAGTACCCAAAATCACTTGAAGCAACCTTGACACACCACTCGATTGAGTGCGTCGCCTCGTGTAGGTGAATGGCGCGATTTTTGGGAAAGCCACTTCATTGAGCATTAATTTTTGTTCTATGCATCTTCGCTAACTGGTACTTACCCTCTTCTCACAAATGTGGAACGTTTGTGATGAAATACCACACACAAGCGTATGTGAGAAAGAGGGCATATGACTGTTATAAGGATCCCGAGCTTTAAGTCTTAGGAAGAGGTAAACTTAGGCTGCACTAATACATTTTCTTATGAGTCAAATTTTTGCGTGTTGAAGAGTGCAAAGATAGGTCTGTTTCAAGGAAGGATTTCTCCCACATTTGGTGCGTAAAATTAGGTGATACCTGTAGAATGGCACTACAGTCTCGACTTTCATGGACTGATGAAAAAGACCCAGACAGCAAAAGAGAACACCTTGCTTTCTTCAATTTCCACTTCCCTAATTAAAATAGCCGTATCATCAATCCCGATAAGATGTTGCTTTCCGAAAAGAAGCTTAAAGCTTTCATGAAACCTGTGCATTTTCTTGATTGGGACGGTTTTGTATACTAGCTATTCTACTCAGCACTCAAAAGTTTGATAATCCTCAAAAGTCGTTTTACCGTGACATGACCACAAATGGAGCGTTCCTGCTTCGTTCATGTTTTACATCTGACATGGCTATTTTGCAATGCAATGTGTGAACTCTTGGATCGTGATCTTAATTGTTCGACACTTATACCTCGACTTTACGAACCCTGTGAACGTGCCTGATGGTCATTGATGGCACCCATCTAATGTCCTTACTCGATTTTGACATGCTTAATGTGAATTAGAGTGTGGAGCTAATCCGCTCACAACAGTGAATCGCTATAGATTCGGTATTAGAGGAATATGACTTTGCTAGATTTCCCTGCATTTCGGCCAAGTTGTATTATGAGTCCAGGTATTTACAAATGCCTGAATTCGCAAATAAAAAAGTGATAAAATTTTATTCGCCTAAAAGTTAAGTAAAAAACAATTCCATTGCTTAGTTTCGGTTAAAAAGCACATAAAATCTATGCTGTTTATATCCAGTTTGATTGAGTCCTCGGAGATGGGTTGAATTGTTAAATAGTTCCCCTATTTCGAAGGTCCCCTATTCACACTTAGCTGCGGTTGTGGAAAACTGTGGTGGACACCATGAAGTAGAGCGATCGAAATAGCGGTTGATCAGCGGACGTCTGCGAGTTGTAATCTCCGCTGCCATCACCGCTCCCTCCACGAGTTCGGAGGGTGACCAGTATAACAAGAAGGATCAGCAGCATTCCATTGGCAGCCCAACCCACCCAGAATGAAGGTCCAAAGCTCTTCTGAAAGGGACATAATTAAATAAATCAAGGTTCCAAGTGAGTGAGATCGCAATCTCACTCATCACTAGACCTATATGGAAAACTTTGGATATTTACTTTCTTACAGGTAGATGAGGGCACTCACCGTTTCATCCATTTTAACCCACAGTGCCATTGCGACAATGTTGGAGATCACTGCAAAGAAAAGTAAGAATTTTTACAAAACCACCTATCTTGTACAGTCCAATTTGAACCGTAGCCTAATGAATGAGCTGGACAATCATAATCCATTTCATTCATTTAAAATGCGGTAAGACAACCATAATGTTTACACGTATCTTTTGAACTCCCGTGAGGCTGGAATTCATTAATCTCAAGTTAGGTTTGTCTCGATAGTAAGCGCTCTACCGGTCGCCTAGACTTCGGGATACTAGTTTTCAATGGCAATTTACAGCTCTTAAAACCTCGGTCTTTCATTCGCTGACTCTGTTGCGGAGCTTTACAGATTATAATATTTGCTAGTGTAGTAGTGATTGTAGTATGTCCAGATTCTGCGTGTGCCACTTGAAATTGGGGGGAGAACTTACGTGCCACGACGTCGAGCAAGATGTAGGCCAAAGTGAAACGAAACATGGAGTGTGAACAGGAGGAAGAGCTGCGGCAACTGCCAAAACTCAGTACCACCGCAAACACCGTCATGATTGCGATGATACAGCCAGCTATGCTTGCAGCGACCAATGATATGAGGAATTCCTTCTTCTGACCTAACGTTGAAATTGGGAGAAAACACATTAAAATTCCCAATATCTACTTGTATTCTCTACAGTTATCTGTATTTATGGGAGTAATATCAATGTAAGTGAATCTACCTCGACCACTTTGGGAGTGGCTGACTTTTGAGTGCGACTACCTGCCCTTATCAACCTCACCCAAGTATAGAGGAGTAGTCCACTACTCCAGAGCAGCGACGAGCGATTTTGCGTTGACAATTTCAATGATGGCCGTCTTGTCCTTAGGGTCAGTTCATCAATGTTAAATCACTTGTCTCAAGTTTTATCGTGGGTGACACAGCTCATCGACATTGTGCTTTTTAAAACAAGGCACCTAGGATTTGACCCTATGGATATTTTGAAATAACATAAAATGTTGGAGACAAGGTAAATTGGGGACTAAACTTACTGTACTGGGAAAGTGCGAATGAACATTGGCCTAGACTTTCTATTGCCTCTAGGGTAGGACCTAAAACGCAAACACAAACCTATTCAGCAATTCCCCCCATACTAAGTGTCTTTGGATACCCTAACCAAGAACCTATGACATTTGTTTATTGGGATTTCATGCTAAATAAGAAAAACGGATCTAGGCATAAATGTCCAACGATTTGAGCAAATTTTAATTCGTAAAATACCGAACTGAAGATGATATTTTAATCCACAACTTAGTGAAGTCCCCTAAGGCTGAAAAGCATAAAGCTTGAAATGCACGGGACTTAGAGCAAGGGGGAAACTCACATTTGTCGCAGTTGTATACAATGCCATAGCACTTATCGTTCGCCTTCAGCATCCATGGGAGGACAATTTCGATGGCCAGAGCGATGAGTGCGGAAATTGAGAAGAGGTCCAGGAAGAAGTATGCACACCGTCTGTGGAATGTCATGTTGCAGAGCGAGAGAAGCTGTAAAAGGCATGTCGATTGCGTATCGAAACCGCGAATTAATAGGTTGAGCTACTCGATGACCTTGCTTGCTAACCAATTGAAGGGACGCCTTGGGAATTGTGGGCGGAGGCGCATTTTCACAGGTTGCATTAAGTCAGTCTCACCTGACAGGATGAATGGCAGCCACTGCTAGTGCGGCGAGCACGCCACGTAAAGTATTCATGAATCCACACTCACATTTAAATCGTAGAAGTTCGAGTTACATGACTTTTAACTGCGATGGAGGATTGAAAAAACGGCATTAAGTTAATAACAAAGTGTAATAGTGTCTTTTTAATCTTATTCATTCACTCGATATCTAAGCAACACAGTGATTTTTTAGAAAAAATTTAAATCTTTGTTACCATTTTGGCCCCTGTACCTAGATGGTACTCCTTTCCATTTGAAATGCAGCAGCTTGCTTTAGATGTAATTCAGCAACTAGGGGCCTTCATTCACCCCGGTCTTGTCCACCATTCGAATGTCTTAACTCTCCTCTTGTCCCATTAGGCATTCTCTCTGGAACCGCACACCTTGCAACGATTTCAGGAGGGCCTGAGACATTTCGAGCTGAGCACATGAACTGTGAAGGAAACGGAAGCCGGACGTATTCTTATAGGCTTAATGGGGTCAGTTTGGCTGCATTGAGGAGGGCACATGTGGTGCTGATTTTGCAGGTAGAAGGCTTGCCTGCGGTAACCCAGCCAGGCACAGTGCTAACCCGAAACGCTAATTAGGTGTGGGTGATGGCAATCTCGACATTCAGGCAAGTTTACAGCCAACACCCACTATTTGCTTCTTTAAGAAATTTCTGGACGCATAAAACACCAGCCCCATGGACATGCATTGAGTTGCAAAAGGAGCTCGTGTTGTTTTTCTTTTCTCCCACAATCATTCCAAATAAACCTACTTGCTTCGAAAAACTTAACGTCTACTTAAAATGATCAAAATTTAATGGTGGTCAATGTGAATGTGTTTTCATTCAAACCGGAAACACGTATTTGCAGATTAAGATTCAAGTGAGGATTTGTAATGCTTTGAGTCTTTGTTTAACCCTGCGTTCTGGTTACGCGGGTACTTAAGGCTTAGCTTCTGTACCTCTGCCGGGCTGCATGGTCTCCAGCGGTTATCGGACGACAATGCCAGGAGAAGGTGATGGTCGACACTTGAGGCAATATCGTCGGAGAAGTATGGAGAACGAGACAGGGTAGGACGGTAGCTTTCTCTCTTTCCACCTTCCTTCAAAAAGTGCGCAACGCACCTTCCCCAAGTGCCATACATCAAAGCTGATGAGAAACGCCTGCAACCGCAGTTTCGGAGCCAAATTCGACTCAGCTAGGGAAATCGGTAAACTCAAATCGCATCTATCAGGCTCAACCAATGTTTATGCTACAAGGATACAGGATAACGAAAGGATAGGAGGAGCACAATAAAGCGCACTAGTCCCTACAAGTCAATTCAGTAACTTAGGGCGAAAATAGGAGGAGCATCTCGAGTAGAACATTTCAATAACTAGATCTCATCGAAACGGAAGTGCCGAGAACTCATGCTCCATTTCATATTTCTCGCCAAAAAAGCTAAATGCAAATACGCGATCCATGGAAGAATATGATTAACATTGGTGTGGCGTGAGCCTCCCACCTAAAAGCCAATGCATTGTTTCGGCGCGGCTGCACGAAATCCACCCACCCACGCATGTGAGAGAGAAGTCGGTAGTCTTCTCCTTTTTTCGGTTGATTAAGGGTACTTTTTAAGTCCTCTATGCTGTTGGTGATATAAATTGTCTGCCTTTTTGCTGCTCGAAACTTTGAGTCCATTCTGTTTTGGATGTCATCATGCGATTATCGGATGGTTTTGTAAGGTAAAGGGGAGGGTCGTGACTTGAATACATACCTCTGAAGAAACATCTCCCTCCCTTATTTTTATCCTGAAGGTCGATATGAAGCCTTGAGTGTCTTGAAGGTGTAAGAACAGCACTTACGCCAGATCGACTGACCAAACCACCTGTTTTCGACAAAAGTTCATCCAGGACACACTCGGATATAGTCATATTGAACCCCAGAAAAATCCAGTCATAATCGTTTAACCCTTATTAGTTGAATAATTCCCAAGGGAAAATATCTTCCGCAATATATGCATCCGCGATGAGTGCCTTAGAAGTGTAGACTGATTCTTATGGGGATGACGAGTGGTTTGTCACTTCACCTAACGAAAGACGGGTTGGAACACTCACTTTGCATCACCAGTCACCAAATAAATTATTTCATCTCTCAAGCTAAATTACTGAAGGCTCTTCACATTGCATTACATTTTCGCACTTTTTTACAACCAAGAGTGGAGGGCATCCCTCAAAGTGACGCGCACCTCCTGGTTATTCATAGGCACTTCTTTCTACTGCCCTACTCTCTTCATTTCAGCAAGCTGTAGCAAAAAATGTCCTTATTTTCGGTAATCCTTTTGAGTTGCTGGATTAAATCCTCGTGACTGCGATAGATTGCATCGCTTGCAGACAGCTTGCTCAAAGCCCACCCTGAGTACCAGCTTGGGTAATGAGGTTGAATGCTGGCGAAAGCATTTTTAAGCCTTAATTGAGTTGCATGATCTTCAATACGGTGGTTGAGAACGGGCATGACGCTTGAAGTGGAATTACGGCTTGGTGAATCATGTTTTAGAATGCCTCGTGAAAGCACAAAGAAATGAAGTTTAATTACAATCTGATGCCTGGTCTGAGGCCTTTCAGATCACAGCTTTGCAGTGTGGGAGAAAAAGGATTGTGTCATGAAAGCGGTGGGTATAGGTACGGGCACCAAGGAGGTGCTCGCTGCTGACTGGCTGCGAGCCTAATTGGAAACCTAAGGAAGCCTTGAGAGCAAGGATTCTTCCCACCACAGTTCCGTACCGCAAATTCACAAAGAATAATGCTTCAGTGTGTTTATTGACTGTGAATGGCTATGGAAAAAGGCGAAGTATGAGCACACACAAAGCGCATCACCGAGATGGGTACGGGGTATAATTTTCTTCCAGAAGGTCCAATTTTAGCACGACTAGGTAACACAAGTAGCGTAAGACAGAGGAGACGAAAGTCTTGACATTTGAGCTTTTTGGGCCTGTAAATATCCTCAGCAGCTTCCTCATAACAAAGTAAATTTGGAATCAGCAGTCACAGTTCAAGAGCAATATTTCCTTACATGGATTTGTCTTCAGTATTTATCAATTTAATCGTAAAAGCAATCCAAGCGAGAGACGTTGTTCACGAAGATGTGAGGAGAACGTGTACATCTCCTGTCAATCATGAATTGACAGATGAATTTACGGTTGCAATTCAAACACCACCGCATCGAAATGGAGTGGATGAGTAAATTGAAACAATCATCCCAAGACACTTTTTGCCTGCTACCACAACGTTATTATTTAAGGTGGTAGTTGAACAAAAACCATATCTCAGTATCCCTTTTAAGAGGCAAAAGGGCCCAGTTGGGGATTTAACACAGTGTCATAGAAAACAAGATCCTTCGACTAATTACGCAATTGCTCGAAGCTTTCAGTCTTTCACGAGCCATCCTTCAAGCCGGCGGTATGGAGCTCTGCCCATATCACCAAAGTTACTGGTCTTCCACTCCATTTTAAGGTCTATAATGGAGTTGTTCCTGCAATTGCCTACCTTACTGCACCTTGAGATCCAACCTGGGAGCTAAAGTAGCAACAGCGTACTGCTTTTAAGCTATTGCGATTCGGAGTGTCTTAACGGGGAAGTACAGCATTAGATTGTGGATGTAACTAGTAAAATGGGTAAAACTCTTACTTTACCGTTCTTTACTCTTCTACACGCAGCAAAAATTGCGCATAGCTGCTGAGAATACAAAAAAAGGTCACAGCTTTTTGCTGAAAAATGATTGAAACGAGGGAAATTATTTACTTAAGTGAGGTTTTTTTGCGTGACTTAACGCATCACTCTTCTGTGGACGCTAAATTAAAGCATTTTTACTAACTGTAAAATGCTACCTCTCTAAAAAGTGGCCCTGAAATGACTTATTTAAATTTGTGCCTGGGGTGCCAGTTTTAGAGCCCAGCAGTGATTGGAGATAGTAGATGTCATTAATACTTCACTTCTACTTCGTTCAACCCATTCGAGCCCATTTTTCCTGACTTCGGGGCCCTTAACATGAGAACCTAGTTAATCAAGGAAGATGTAAAGTTGATTTTACATTGATACTGCGGCATTATTTGGCGGAAAACAACTCACAAGTGGTTTCGTATGCACCCAAAGCACTCATACCTCCTTGCGACACCACATGAGAAACTGCTGTCACATCTCGGATTTCCTCCTCCAGCTTCGCACTTGTACGATGAGACCTATCAACTCCGAACATTGATGTGGGCGTGTATGTGTGTGTGTCTGCCCTACACGCCAAGAGACAGCACTCAGCAATATGTGAGGCTACTAGATGTAACCTTCTCCCGGCCAGTGACTCACGTCACCTCCACTTTCCCGTGTGACTGCTGACCAGCAACGATTCAAGTGGTCGTTCTGACTAATTCTTCCTGTAAATTGATTGGGAAAGCAAGTAGGCTGAACAGCACTTGGAAATGGCACAGACGTAGAAGGTAAGATGAAATGAAGTCACATTTTCATGCAAATTCGGCTAGACGCTGAGCGTAATGGCGTCAACATGGAGCACGCGGCACGGGGGCTGAAAGGGTCATGTGGTCAAGCACCGAAATGAACGAAGTCCACTCCACCAAAAACAACTAACACTGTTTTCTGCTTCCCAGAAACGCCTTTTCAGATAAATTCAATCATAAAATGAATATCGGAATGGATGAAGTGCAGTTAGCAGAGGTGGATGACTTGACTCTGGGGACGACGTAACTGGCTGCACGTGCTTCTGAAGGACGCACTTCAGTGAAGTGGTAATGTGGGTGGCGAGTTCATTGGCGCTTGCCCCCGTTCCCCGCTTTCTTGTCATTAAGCTGCGAAGTTCCCACTTGCGACGATGATACACCATCAGACCACCAGGCTTAACGCCCACTACTAGCTACTTGATTTGCTTTGGCGGAGGTTTCCTGCCAAGTTATGGATTCAACAGTACGGAATAACTACAGTAAGTGTTAGTCTGCCATCAATGGCTGGATGGTTCAGTTGGTTATCTGTTGGGATTTCGGAAACAAATAAACGGTGTCTAGCTAAGGATAATTCAAATTGAACTGATTGCTAAGAAAGAAGGAAGGCCAGTACAAATACCAATTACTATTTTTTAGAATACACATAAAATCTTTATTTGACTTATAGCAATGAGCTCGATTAGAACACGGCCTTTTAAGAGATACACTTCAACCGTAACAGAACGATATTTGTTCAAGTATTCCGTTCTGGCCTTTAGAGCTTTAGTCTTGATAGCACTGCATTTCATCCATTTCATCTCTGTTATCTGTCCATTAACTTTTCTACAACATCTTAGAAGTTCTTTTTAGGTCCGAAATGCGTACGACATTTTCGGGGCAGATTTGGGTGCCTCACAATTGCAAATGAACAGGCATTTCATTTCAGTCGTTTGGCTTTTACACCCAGTTTTATTTAGTTCTGTCACATCAAAAGTTGTCGGCATTAATCCAATTAGTTAAGGCAACCAATTTTTTAATGCAGACTTTGAAATTCTGCGGAAATTTTTTGTCGTCTAGTATGCCAGAAGGGGTCTCTGCCTACGAATTTTCAAGAAATGCACTTTTGCACAATTTTTAACACTGCAATGCACACTTGAGTGAAACATTAATCACATCACCAGGTGTCAACGCCCTAAGGTCACTTCTAGGTTCGAAGCCACATCTTTTCCACGTCCAACGTCTCATTAAACCTTCTACAACTCGTTCATACTGGTGGAGAACATGCCTGACCGATTGTAACATCAATCTAACCCGGATCTATTCATCAGGTCGAAAAAATTAGCTAATTTAGTATTAAAAGTCCAAAAGTGAGCCGTGTTTTAGCAACAAAGAATGATTTACGGCCTGAAAGGAATCATTGCCTCAAGTGAACCACGCTACTTAAAAGCAAAACTAGGCGTTACTTATTTTGAAGGCTTCTTTGGCCTCTCGAGAAACAAAATTGACTCATGAATAGAGGGACAATTTTGCTCTAGATCTGGCATTAAGAAAGCATCCATGATACGACGCAAGTATGCAATGCAATACTTTTGTTGTTTGCTTAACTCTTTGTTTTGGTTCCGCGGGCTCCGAAGGGCACGGCCATTGTACTTCCACCCAGTAACATGACCTCCATGCCATGTTTGTAGCCTTTCAGTCTTCCTGGACGTCGGCAATACATATCCTGCCTAGATACAATATCTTATTCTGTCTTTGGAGATGTCTGATTCCGCCATGTATATGCATGTATTGTGGAAAAAACAGCGTACTAACGGTGTAATAATCCGATTTTCCATTTAGGCTTAACTAAGTATATTGTTCAGACTTTGCACGTTGAACTCCCACATGTGCTTCCGGAGGTTGCACCTGGCATGGTCTTCTGACCGGGCTAATAGCCTCCGATTCTTCCCATGCTCTTCCTTTAGTATGCTGATATGGCTTAGTTAAGCTCTATGAAAGCCTTAGGGTGCCACGGATGTTTTAAGCAATTCGTGTATCTGCTGATTTGGGGAGGGCTCTCATTACCAAATATATGTCCTGAGGTTTGTGACAGGGAGAGTTGTGTAATGATAAGAGTTTGCCACAATTTTGTGATACTTCTGAAGTGGCAGGTCAAATCGTTTAAAAAGGGAAAAGGATGGAATCCCAAATCAGACAGCAGATTTAGTGAAATGTTACAACGGTTTCTGGCTATACGCTGATCGTACAACTCATGGTCATCATTACCTTTGCCAGATGGGGCGGCCTCTGTACCACGCCAGCAGCCCCAACTCCTGTATGTTGATAATATATTCCACCCTAGTATTATGTCTTCTCTCGTCGTCGGAGGAATCTTTGCGGCGCTTGAGGCTCAGGGTATGTACTTTGCTAGGCGGTATGGCTTCCAAGTCATGCCAGTAGCGCACCAACCCTTTGGTGTGTCAGCAATAAGTCTTCAGTTCTAGCATTATGACTTTCTTCGGCTTCAGGAAGGACTCTAGGCGCTACACCAGGGTCCGAAAATACATTGGAAATCGTTTTGGCTTGTTGACGCCTTTAGGTGACATCTGAATAGATTTTACTGATATCATGTGTGGAGCGAGACTCCTCGGTCTCCGCTTCCCGATTCCTAGCGTTCCTAGACAAGCCCGGTTGGTTTACTTTGGACATCTTTATTAAAGACGACAAGATGTACAGGGAAAATACAATATTCAAGAAGGAGGGGAGCCGCAGTCGCTAGGTAAGGGAGAGGGCGATCCAGTTACCAGGTTCGAATTTTTTTGCTTCCCTCCTCCCTGAAAGGCACATTAAAACAACATAAGTATTACACATGACTAAGTAGACATCGTCGATCCTCAAGGAAGAGATAAAGTCTAATCCCAAGAAAGACTTTGATGGTTTGCAAAATCCCAATATTATATTATATAATGTGTCTTCACTAACATGTTTTCCTCTTCCCAAGGGTATGAAACTGGAAGCATGATGTCAAACCAGAAAAATTGCTAAATAGTATTTAAAAACTGGAGGATGGTTATTAGTATATATATTTTATTGCATTAACGTCAATGTTTACCAGTTATTCAAGGCGGATTAGCGACATTTTCTGACAAGTCACTTCTCACGAATTACAAGCAAATAATCGCACGCGATCGTACCAATCGTGCTTTTTGCGGCAACATCCCATTGCATTAGACAAACAAAAGCATCACTGTTTTAATGAGAATGATGCACGACATGCCAAAGCGTTACTTTGTGTAACTCAGTAGCCCGACTTATTTGGTAACTAACCTAGTAGGTCACAAAGGCATGGCCTTGAAATTAAAGCGAGGCAAGATATGTTCTACCTTTGCAACTTTTTATTTATATTGCAGGTATAAATGCAAAGAAGGAGGAGCTGATGGTTATGTCAATATCAGAGATAATCTCTGAGTTGTTAAAAGCTGTCAAGGAACGCAGAGATGTTGACCTAAACAAGTATTTCCGCTTTCCATATAAAGTCTTAGATTGAAAACCTCAATATCGCGAAAATATGGACTGTCCTCGCAGCCTCGCCTCGTTGATATAATTGCAGCTGTCCCCCCTCAACATCGAGACGTACGGCAATGCTTTTTAATACGACTTCGTCATAGATCCTCTTGCCAAAACTGAAGGCAAAACCAGTTCGTTCAGCCAGTGGGGTATGTAATTACGGAAGCGCCTTGTTATCTTCTAGATTGTTGTTGTGGCTGTGATGTGTAAACCCCATAGGTGCCCACACATAGCAATGACCGGCAACGTTTGTGTGTAGGTTTGCTCTTAATTTGCTTGAATTTTACCCTAGGTACTGTCCCGGTGGACCCGACTCCGATTTTGAATATTCTACACAATCCTACACTGGGTATGAGGTCTGTAGGTCTTTTTTCGGTTACCGTTTTAGCCCACGTCCATGCGCGCTATACGCGCGAGGTACAATCCCTACGTCCAGACACGTCATCGAATTGAACAGGTTTGTTGAGGCTTATTCTGCTACCACTTTACTAGTTGCAACAACTGGGGCATTCATGTGACAAAGTCGAGTTTATTGTAATGGGTGGTACATTTATGTGTTTGCCGGAAGACTATCGTGATTATTTCATCAGGTGGGCAAAAATGCGTTTTCATTGTTTGATGATTTCTAGAAATCTCCACGATGCTTTGTCTGGCCACACTTCAAAAAATGTTTCCGAGGCCGTTTAGTAAGTCAAATTTACACCATGCCTATTTTTAAAGTTATTCTGAAAGAAGCAAAACAAAATGCATCGGGATAACCATCGAGACAAGGCCCGATTATTGCCTGAAAAAGCATCTCGGGTAGGGCAACTTTATTAATATAACTCAGTTTTTAGAGAAATGCTGAGCTATGGATGTACGCGTCTCGAAATCGGAGTTCAAAGCGTCTACGAAGATGTCGCGCGAGACACGAATAGGTTCGAATACGTTAACTGATGTAATTTTGCCCCTTCAGAGGTCACACCGTCAATGCGGTTTGCGAGTCTTTCCATCTATCAAAAGACGCTGGTTTCAAGGTCATCGCGCACATGATGCCGGACCTACCCAACGTTGGGTGGGAGCGCGATCTGGCCCAGTTTGTGGAGTACTTCGAGAACCCCGCCTTCAGATCAGATGGTTTGAAGATCTACCCCACCTTGGTCATTCGTGGTACTGGATTGTACGAACTCTGGCGGACGGGTCGATACAAAAGCTATCCTCCTAACATGCTCATCGACCTGATTGCAAGGATACTTGCGTTGGTTCCGCCATGGACTCGAGTCTACCGCATTCAGAGGGACATTCCGATGCCACTGGTAACAAGTGGCGTCGAGCACGGTAACTTGCGAGAGCTTGCTCTTGCACGGATGGATGAGTTGGGGGCAAAGTGTCGTGATGTACGAACTCGGGAGGTGGGCATTCAAGAGATACACAAGAAAGTCCGACCGTCACAGGTACTTTCCTTCCGCTAGCACCCAGGATGTTAGGCCTACGCAAATTGACACGTGGAAGGTCGGAGATACTTGTTGCATAAGTGGTGGAAGGAGTTGCATCTCCTGTGCAGCCGCCATTACCTACCTTAGGAACTTTATGTAGCGCATGAGCGCGGGGAAGGTCCTATTTTAGTTGTGCAGGCCTGAATAGACTGGACTTCGGGATGCCACCAATGGGTTGAATTACGGAGACCCGTGACAGCTCACACACCCGTACCTGCAAATGAAACCTAAAACCTTCAATTAATGGATTTAGCTCGGGTAGTCATAGCCACCAATGTGTCACTTCAAGCATATTTAACGACCTCCTTATCTTACGTTTGATCCAACCCTTAAGTGTTTATGGGTTTGGAATTAGCTTCAATATCAGCCTCCGAGAGTGTTGACAGCCATTTGGCGTAGATGTAATCAGAGCTCCATGTCGCCAAAAAAGATCTTAAATCCGAGGAGGCTATTCGTAGATCGAACTCATCCGCCGGGACTATGTGGCAAACGGAGGATGGGAGACTTTCCTTGCTTACGAAGATCCTCAACAGGACATCCTTGTTGGTTTGCTGCGACTAAGGAAGTGCTCTCCTGAGACCTTCCGATCGGAACTGCGATGTCGTGACGATGGTGATGAGGACAGCGATCCCCGGAGCTCCATTGTCCGGGAGTTGCACGTCTACGGAAGTGCCGTCCCAGTCTCATCGAAGGACCCAACAAAGTTCCAGCACCAGGTATGGTGAAATAAATGAAATTTCACTTTGCGTACTATGTTAACGGTATATTTCTACATTAAGGGATTCGGCACACTCCTGATGGAAGAGGCTGAAAGAATCGCAAGGAACGAGCACGGATCGCTGAAAATCGCTGTTATCTCAGGTGTTGGCACGCGAGACTATTACAGGAAGTTAGGATATAAACTTGAAGGACCATACATGGTTAAGGAACTCAGAAAATAAATAACTGATCTTACTTTACTATTCAGCATTACCTGTGTGTTACGACTCTTCGAAACGGTCGTCCACTTTCTATTATGCACAGCAGACTTGAGTTAAAGAACGGTTCTTTACAAGTTAATGGCTATAATTTGGGGGTTTCTGTCTGAAAACGCAGGTAAACAACCCGTAGATATATGCAGTTAACGACCAATGCCAGTCAATGTCGCATAACTGATGAGCAACAAACACCTGCTTTATCGCGAGAGAATTAAGTACAAAAGCCACAAGCACACAGAACTGTTAAGTGGGGGATATTTACACCTCGGGGCCTTCCCCACCCGGTACCATCATAGCTATGTGGCTGCCATTAAGGAGAATATGGGCGAGTTTTGTAATTCGCTTGCCTTTCGCAGTGAACTCGAACTGTGTGACATCCACCAGCACCATGTTGACATAGCCGTCAAAACCGAGGAGGGTCCCGACCATTTCCTTGTCATTCTTCATTATGATGTGTATCCTGGACCCAACACATTTGTCGATTAACTCCAGAGGAAGTAGGTGTGTCGAACCGATGGCTGATTCCATTCTAGGGTTAAAGGCAGAGACGGTAGGACTCGAAGTTTAAAGAAGGGCAGAATTATCAGACAGGGGTCTGAGGATGTTGGCAGTTCCAACGACAGCTTTCTATGCACAAATGACAACGCCTCGACAACGGTGATATCAAGAATAGGTAAATGAACCTAGCGTAGCAGTGAAATTAGTAAATATTGTAGTGAAAAGAGCGGAAGAAACACACACAAACCGTCTTAGACGCACCCGTGGTGTCCTTGGAATGGGCGCCTATAGAAGGTTGTTATAAACGCCAAAGGCCAGAAACAGGAGGAAACCCATGATTGCTTTAGGAGAAAGTTATTGGAAATTTGCATAATCATAGCTTTAATGCAATTGTTTATTTATACAAAGCGATAACCATGAGATTATGCACTCGTCGGCCAAGTACAAATATTAGACTTCATTGGCGGTTTAGACCCTTACTAATACAACCACTAGCCAATTTTAAAAAATGTTAGTTAAGTCACAACTTTTTATATGCACTGAGGAACAGTCCTCACCCGACTAGTACACGAATCTTCAATTGATGATCAGTAGCTTGATTTCTCCTTCCGGGAAAAAAGTATAGCCAAACAAGTTAAAAATTCAAAGCGCGTGCTTTTAAGTCTACTAAAAACTACTTTTACTGCTTTTAAACGTTTTTGCATTCCACTTTCTTCCCAGGCGGTTTGGTTGCACTTTCTAACGTTTTCATTCAAGCCAATCAGCGCCTGGCCTTCGGCGTGCCTGTGTGGTATGGGTGGTCTCTTCCCATCATTTTTTTGCTTTTTAAGCTTTCTTTTAATGCTTGAAATTTTTCATGCATTTTTACTACTTTAAACGAGCAAGTTGGGCTTACCTTTATCAAGTATTTTTTCTTTCTCTACTCACTTTGTCACTGGACATGCTTTTGTCGATGTTATGATGCATTCTATATTTCATTTTACTTGCAATTGTGAATTTGTGAGTTGTCTCGGTCGGCTTCGTCGGAATATACAAATGTGTTGAAGGAGGTTTCGACATGTCTACCAACGTTGAGTTACTTGCCTCTGGCGTGTCCCGTTTTCGCTTACGCATTATTGGGCGTTTTCCTCACTTTTATTACCACTGGAGAATTTGGCGTACAGATGCATTTTGCAGGTTGTACTAGTTATAGCACTTCTTTTTCCATAGTGTAGTTGTTCCTCACAGGCGTGATTTGACTCTGAGGCCACCCATGTATACCCTTTTCAGGTTAAGGATGCTACTACAGAAACTTATTAGAAGGCCGCTGCAGTGTTTTGCTAACCAAATCAGGAATCTGGAGAATGCCCCTTCTGTTCCTACTATGCTCAACAATGCTCCAACTTCTCATCGAGTGCCGCGTTCGAAGGGTTAGTGTGGCGATGATAGTATACGAAAAACCTTAGCTTTTCAATTTTATCAATGCTTTTCCTTACCGCTTTAGTTGAATTTCTTGCGAAAATGCTTTTTATGCCCTCTCAAAGTCCTCCAGACAGTCGACTACTAAAGGTAGCCGTCGTTGGTTTCCCCAATGTTGGCAAGTCCTCCCTAGTCAACATGCTTGTTAATTGGCGTGTTTGCGCCGTTTCGGGCAAAGCTCACACCACTCGCTCCAAACAGACTGTCGTCTTCACCAAAGACAACATCCAGCTGGCTTTCGTCGACCTTCCCGGCCTCGTATCTGCCCGGCAAATTCGACAGTAATGCTTTGTTTTACCTTTAAGCTGCTCACTACCTCGCTGTGTAGATTCAAGCTTGAGCGAACATTCATTCGGGATCCTCATGCGGCCATTTTCGATGCCGATTTAAGTAGGCTCCCATGAGTCCTTTTTGCATGTACTTAGTTCTCGTGGTGGTGGATGCCTCCAACAAATACGCTAGGAAAGCACTGGATCCAGAGGTTCTCAAGGTGCTTCACTTTTTCCCCGATAAGGAATCGGTTCTCGTTCTGAACAAGGTAATAGTTGGCTTTCCGGATTACAGCTTTGCCCATCAAATAAGTTGTTGAATTCAAGGATGCCTAAAGGGTGAATGACGAAATCATCAGTGAGCTACGTCACAATGGGCTTTTCTACCTCTAGTAAAAAAATAACTTCTAGATGAGATTCCCATTTCTCGCCTCTCAACGGCTAGTAGTCTATGACTCTACTACATTGCATTTAGCGAAGAGCTAGAGGGTGTCACACTGAATAAGGTATCAGCTCACATTATTGATTCATAGCGTGGTAAAATCTTAACACGTTCTCTAGTAATATCTTGAAGGATAAGCCGTCACCAGAAACCAGATACTTTGTTGTTTTAGTATGACATTAGTTATTTTTGAATTTTTGACCATTTTAAATGCTACTCGGAAATTCAAAAGAATGTAGTTACCCCTAGACCATCTGTTTTGTTCTTTTGAGCGCATTCAACATGTTTCATCGCAATTCGTTGTAATCTGTTATCGCAATATAATGATACGCGTCATGCATTAGTGACACTGATCAGAGCAGTCTGGGAGTCACACATCTGTGACGCTGATAGTGGTGTTAAAAACGTTCTTATGTTATGATGCCAACCGTCCAGGACCTATATCGGTCTATTAGCAGCATGAGTTTGGAAACATTCAGGACACTTCCGCTTTAACTGAACTATTTTAGGTGGATAAATCGCAGGGTGATCGGACTCGCCTGTTGGAGACGACGCGCCGTCTCACCGGGGGTTTGGTGGGTGGTAGGCAGGCGCACCGCGACGCCTTCGAGAACAAATTTAACGAGCGCGCGCAGTTGGCAGAGCAGGAGGGCTGGGCACGGCATCATCTTAGCGTTGAGGAAATCATCTTTCCCCTCCTTCCGCCCGAAGCCCACGAGGCGGCTCAAGCGCGGCTGCAGCACATTCAACACCTCTCCGCTCTCCTCTCGCCCACCATTCAGATCGAATCTGCGCCCCGGTTGAAAGCCCCTTCATCTCCTGCCAATTCTTACCTCCCTCCTTCCTCTGCTTCCTCTCTTCCAGCGTCTGAAGGTAATGATGGTAAATCTTAACGTTTTTGAAAATGAAATCTAAAACATTACTTTTGATGGTGATTTTACCCATCTTACTAATGGATAATGTTCTCTCCCAATGTTTCCGTTGTTCAAATAATAATGTCTTGAACTCGGTCAGTGACACCTTGATTTTATGTCATTGATACTGTTTGTCGGTCATTTCAATATGCTATAATGCAACTTAGTATGATTTAGGATCTAGTGTGGGTTATTATGAAAAGTTCTGGTGAACTGAACCCGTTTTATTGCGTGAACTAAATGCATCTGTTTTTTCAGATCCCCCACAGTCCCACTTGGAATGTGAATCCCCTGAAGTGGAGTCATCCTTCGTTGATGAACAAGATTTCATATTGCAAGGCCAGTCAAATGCCAACGATGTTGGTAAGGCGCAAACTATGCCAAAGATACAATTTAATAAACTATGATGTGCTTTTTAATGCATTTTTTTCTGGTTTCCCTGACCAAATGCTAGGATCCTCAACTTAACCAGGAGATCCTAGCTTTCATAATGTCATCCTCATGGGTTTTCATCTGTATAATGATTTTTGCCCCGTGACTGTGTTATTTCATTGGGCGATTCGTTTGTACATTTTTCTTGAATTTCTTATTTTCTCCTACAATTTCTTTATCCTCTCATATTAAAGTCAATCACCGTTTAGCTTCTCGTTTGCCCACTTGATATTCACAGTCTTAACACTTAAATTGTTCTGTTGGTCTTAGGTTCTTATCTCTTGATTCTCATGATTTTTGTCTTGCCATCTAGGTGCATATTAGCCTAAACATCTAAATGGTGACAGTGAAAAGCGCAAAATGCTAAGCGCCCATGTGACTTTTATCTATGCTCACTTTTTCTCGCATACCGGTAGTTTTGAATTTTTAAAAATATTGAGTGCAAATTTTGGGCAAGGTTTTGCGCAAAAGCTGAGATCTGAAAACGTGCGCTTGGAAGGTGCTTTTATTTGCATAACTCACAAGTCTGTATTTTAAATGATCAAATAGGGCTCTCATACGCTGCTGATTTTAATGTGTTTTTTTGCATTGAATTGAACGCATTTTTTTCCTGGTTTGTTTAAGAGTGTCGTCAACTTAGTGAGTGGCTTTTAACCCTTAGAGCGTCGATAACACCTATCTCCACGACTGCTGTTAACCTCCTCAATCTCCTATGATCAATCTTTAATATCGCCTACAATTTGGTTTGTATTCATTACGAAAACTTCTGTTAGGCTTCCTCTTTTGCAATCACGAAATGCTTTGGTGTTTTTTTAAGATTTGCCACACATCCATTTGACACCCGAAACTCCTGAAGTGGCATCATCCTCCCTTGGTAAATTGAATGCCCCATCAGAAAACTCTCTGCACGCCAATGATATCGGTGAGTCGCAAACTGTATTCAATTAGTGTAATCCTTATTAGTTATGCTTTGCCATTTTTCGTTCACGACAAATGGTAGCATGCAGTCTGATAGCCGATTTCCCATCATCCAAGTAAATTCATTTTCAAAAGTCATACATTTGCATTGAGGTTTTTGCGACCTATGGGGAAGGTTCGATTGACTTATTGGGAGATTCTCAGCTGTTCTGCGTGTTCCTTTCAATTTAAAGTGTTTGTGATAAACAGGTTTGCATATCAATTTCAGTGTTGCCAAATAATCCAATTCACCAAATTGGCTCATTTACGAAAGTTGAAGGGGAATGTTCAACCCATACTGTCGACCCTCCTCATCTGTCACCAGACTTTGAAGCAAAAACCTCTATATGTGGTGAGTAGCTCAGCATTCTTCATGGCTGATAACTTGCTCCTGGTATCTGCCCACTTAGTTCCATGGGCAATCATGACCGTTAAAATGAGTTAAAGCATACCTCTACATATTCTCCTCCTTCTCTAGAAGCTGCTGCGGTATCCACTAAGCGTTGTGTGACGGACATAGAGCATCAGATTATCAAAGACTTCTTTATCGACTACAAACGCGCTTCACCTGTCGACGTGCACGCTTTAACAACTTCCCACACGTCTAACAACAAAAAGGAGGTTGATTTTGCAACTGAAGAGGAGCGTTTGGAGGGCATGTTGGAGCGCGTGCGCACGCAGATGATGTTGAACTCAGCCTCCAAGGAGGAGGTCGCCTTGCGACGACAAAAGTGGCGTGAACTCGGTATCCAGTTGCAGGGTGCGAAGCACTGGGAGGGCTTCAGTCAGGTCTTCATGGTTTCTGCAGCCACTGGTGAGGGCATCGATAAACTCAGGGTACGTCTTTCCCTGTATGTAGGTACTTGACAAAGACGTATGGATACGGTCGTCTGAATAGTCTTAGAATTGTCTCCAGGACTATTTGCTGGAACAAGCGAAGCCAGATCGTCAGTGGGTGCTCTCCCCATCACTGGTAACCGACGTGGAACCCTCAGAACTCATTCGTATGTCCGTGTGGGCTCATTGCTTGGACCAGTTGCCCAAGGAGATTCCTTACGGCCTCGTTGTGACGGTGGATGAGTGTGATCATGTGCGACAGGCTGAAGGCGATGATCGGGTCTATGTGCATGTCCGTCTCCGCTGCCCCAATGAACGTACTATTGTAAGTGCCACTGAAACGCTATTAAGTAGCGAGACTTTGCGCTAGCTTACATGGTTTGTTCTTTAACTTCACAGAAATGTGTGATCGGCCCACGGGGAGAGCGAATTCGTGCGATTGCAAGTGCGGCAAAACAGGAGCTTTCGAATCTCTTTCTAGCACCTACTGTGGTGAAGCTGACGGCAGAGGCTGTGCGTCCCACTCGCGGGTCTATGCAACGAATGCGTGCTGCTAAGGACTTTGCAGAAGTCTTTCCCAACTTTGACAATAGTGGAGGCAGTGCCGATGCATCCCAGCACATTGGCATTGAAAGCGCCCAGGTCTAAATACGTCATATTGTAGATTACTCAAACTCATTCAGGGGGTGGGTATTATTTGTTTCGCTTTGGGGTACATTGCCTTTATTAAATCTGGGTTCCGACTCCGAATGAAGGGGAATCGTGACAGTCCTTCCGTTTTCGCTATCGCAGCCGATGGAAGTGGTTGGTTTTAGCGACGTGGGGATATTGAAATATTAGCTGCAAACAATGTTGATATGATTTTTGTTAGGATGGGGATGTTATATTGCCTAAAATGAGCTGAAGCAGCTTCGTAAGCGCCGACACTCGATGTTAGTCGTGGGTAATTGTTTGCTGCTCGTGATGTTTCGTCAACCCAAAAAAAATCGGAAAAAAGGGTTTTCAATTTCATGCCAAATACACTAAAACCAATCAAATGTGGGATGTGGAGAGAGCTTATGTGTACTATTATAACTCGCAGATTGAGTTGATGATGAAATCATTTCTATATTCTGCTTCGGTTTCCGAATCGCCCAGAAAGTAGGCAGATAGGAATAGAGCATAGTTGTTCGCATGGTCATTCATTGCAGGACGTTCTCCTAGTGTCAAGCCATCCTGCTAAGGGATTGTTAAAGACAGGATGAGCCGGCCACTGGGACCAATTGTCCGGTGATAACTAAGTATGGATTAGACATGCAAGACGTCCCAGGCCTGCAGATGTGCCGGTCGCGACAGCATCAAACCACACAAGCCCACTGTAAATTCTCGAATGCCTCAATTTCTGGGCGCTTGCGTCTAGTCATGGCGAACCGATACAGATCATGACATGAGCCGAGATGCGGGACTAAAGGCAACAAGGAGTCGACGTATGTCCCCAATTCGACCCAGGGAAGAAACCTTACATTAGTTGGAACAGCGGAGTGTCGAGGAAAGTATTGTCACACCTTTGCCTCATTTGTCCTACGCTTTTACTGCTGGACTGGTGTAGATCTCGCGCAATCAAGCCGGTGTAAACGTAAATCATGGCAACTTAATTCGCTCTCGTTCGGTCTTTGGTTGAGAAGGGACTTGTATTCTGCATTCTTGGTGTCTAAGCCGGGATAGAGATGGACTGCAACAGTACCAGTTGTCTTCTGCCCGCCTTTGGGAAAATGTAGTCACCGCTGTACCTGGCTCGTGTGCAGTTCGTAAAGCACCGACTGCATTATAAATACCCAAGCAGAAGGGTATTTAAGACTAGTGTCGAAAAGGACACCCAATGGACGAAGAGGGCTGTGTAAGGCTCTAAGATTATTTTTGCCAGAGGCTTAGATACGGGTACTCGGCTTTTTCGGTGTACACTCCTCTTTCGGAGGCATGATCTGATCCCCGTGCCTACAGCCTCCTAAGCCGTCTGTGCGGCAATCATTGACTCTCTCACACTGGTGCATCGTATTACGACCCATAAGGTTTATTTGATGTTTTTAGTTTAGTTGCATCATTTTTACTTACCTCTGCCCAACAGATAAACAATGAAGCAGCATTCATATGCCTCCTTAAAACGTCATTTGCTCGATTATATAACTAATTTTAGCTTTACCTAATGAAAACCGTTCCAAAACCTATGGGAACTGCACAAATATTGGAAGCGATGTGCAATGAATTTCGAAGCTTTACATTTTACTCTCAAATAGACCAGAACACAAACTTATAAGTACTAACAACCGATCTGTAGGATCGCAGGGTAGGGGACTAGTGACCAGTGAAAGGTTTGAGCTCGGGGCACACCCATTTTTCCTTTAGCCTCATAGTTTTCTTCGCTTTGGGTGAGTCGAATTATATTAGCGCTTTCTACGAATATGAATGAAACCACACTGAATGACAGCAGTCGTGGTTGCCAGTGCACGCACGTTAGGAATTATAGCGTTGGAATTTGCGACTCACTGGCAGTTCATTGGCAAGGCGTATGATGTATCGAGTCAGTGGTATTTGCCAGTGACAATAGAGGAGTACACGTCACATCTTATTTGAGTAGAGGGGCCTATCATTTTGAGAGTGATTATATTCAACTCAGGCAAGCCTTTTACACATGCTGCTTTATTGAATGGTGTGGCAGTTTATTGTTTCCCTTTCATGTGTTTGGAATTTCCTTGATTTATCATTTTTGATTGCAAAAGGGAAAATTTAGATTTATAAGCACCACTTTAGGCCATATTAACAGTAGTCTCAAAAACTTACCCAACGCACTACAATATTTTGCGTTAAAACTTTCCCTTAGGCAAAACCTTATGGTAGATTTGGGAACTGGCTTCTGAAGGTGATTCTATTTGGTCAATTTAAAATCCAAACATGACCAAGACCTCACAAAAATATTTTAAATTGTTTAAAAATGCGGGTGACTTTATGACGCCCTGAAACCTTTCTGAAGATGAAAGAAGACAACACTTGGGCACAATATGTATTGTCGGCGTACAGAAGGGCTCGGGGAGAGGATACTGCCATGGCACAGAGACCATGCCGCTTAGCGGAAGTACAATCGCAGAGCCTAAAGTGCTCGTAAAACCATAGCGAAGAGCTGTACAGACCATCAGGGTATTAAAGAAACCTCTTCGTCTGAGCATCGTCTCCTGCGGGGTCAATCTCCCGCGTCAGCCATCACAACGTATTCGGTGCTGTAGGAACACCCACGAAACAACTGCGCCATTCATCTGGTTTGCATGTAGCTGAGGAGGTATTCTACTGGGTATAAAGAATTTACCGGCTATCATGCATACCCATCACTAGTCGTAAGAACACTGGCCTAAAAGCAGTCATTTAATCAAGGACGGGGTTTGTCATAGTTTTGTGGGAGTAGTTTCGCGTCCATTTCTCCTTGCTACGTTGTTCCCGAAACAGTGCTATCCAGTCATATCTATCAAGTTTCTATCCAGTTAGTAGAGAGGTGGAGAAGTGATTATAGGCAGCCCTAGTGACTATTCTGTAGTGACTAGTCTGGTTAGGAGAGCGAGGGGATACCTCGACAGCATCTAGCCGCCTTAAGACCATGATTTTAGTCTAACGAAAGCATTTATAGGGGTGTAATTCACAACGAGTGTATGCCCTGTTGTAAAGATTTTATTTAATTCAAAAAAGTGCTTTTAATCACCTTTGTGGTCCTTTGATTTTCTTATAATAAGACAGCAAATACGCATTTGGTGGTCTACAGGCTAGTTAGCATTCTAACCTGTCACTTAGGTATGTTTACTCTTGAATCGATAAATCCTGGAAACCTCCATAGTATTTGCCAGTAATGGGTGTTTGCGAGGTGCATCAATCATCTTGTCATTGTCTTTTGAAGTTTCTCTAGGACTCTCTTTAATCAGTAGCTTTGGGGTGGCGAAATTGAAGAGGCTTGATAACCCCGAAGCACTTCAATTTGTCTGTTCAAGTCGGAGTAAATAGGGATAAAATCAAATGAAACGATGCGATACCAATATATGTGACTCGCTTTCATGGCTTTTTATTCTCCGTCGTCACGGCTGCGGTCAGTAGAACGTTCAGAGGGCTCTACATGCAACCGGTCAATGTACTCATAGGGATAAACTTGACGGGAGGCAACTTCACCTCTGTACCGACTACACCTATCAAAGGTAGCCATAATGCCAAGCTTGTGGCAGAATGCTGGTCTTTCATCTTCAGGGCATCTTAGGGACAGATTTTATATTCATCCTCACCCTATAATGATAAATGGTGCGCCAATCTGCAAGGATTAGTGATCCACTGGACATAAGTGGTCACATAGCAAAACGTTTCCAAGGCAAATATAAAAGTGAAGAATTTTTTGAAACTGCTCCCTCAAAAAAATGGAAAAGATTAAGGGTTTCATTAAAACTTGACCCTTTATCCATTCCTCGCATTAATTTCGTCCAAAATTCAGAAATCATTTCCAACTTGCCTTTCTACATTCTTGTGGTCAAAATTCCACGCGGCTAGACTTCCGAGGCGCTGAAGATGGGTCTACAAACAACTTTGTACCCTGACGAACCAGTATGTCAGTAAAGAGGAATTTATGCTCTCTGCCACACATACACACCCACACATCCTTTGCTCACGATACTTAGTATCTAATAAAACGCTGTGTCTCCTTCATTGCTTGAATTCCCTTTTAATTTTTGTACTAGTAATCCCTCCATCAAGCAGTAAGGTTGCTCAACTTGTTTAACAGAGGTGCTCACCTCAAAGCAAGGTTAGTTACTACCGGTTCTCCCGTCTTCACGGTTTCCAATGCACATGTAGAAGCATGAAAAGCATAGAGAGCTTTTGTAACTAATCAGACGCTTTGGGGTTTTCTAAAATCATCTTCAAAAAAGAATTGTATACATAGATGATAAATTAGTAGGGAACTTGATGGAAAATAAGATAAGGAATGTGAGGTGCTCTAATTTGCCTCCGACTTAGAAAGAAAGGGAGTGAAAAGATTTTGATCAATGAAAGTAAAAGTCTTTAAAGGGACGCTATCCAGGTCGTCCGTCTGAACGGGAACGCCTATGGTGGATAAGACATTTTGAAGACGGAGTTATGGGAGGTACCGAAATTACAAACAATTTTAAAAGTCCGGAATCGACGTAGAAATTTATTCGCTTTCCAGGGAAGCTCTAATTTCGGGATTTCACTAACTCGCTGGCATTCATTGGCATAAACGCAAACGAAAGTGATTTCATATTATCGCTGGGATTAAATAATGGCTTGGAGTAGTCGGAAGTTTGTTAAAAGCCATAAGGAAGCCTTCTGCTATTTTTAGGTTGCTTTTTTATCGGTCTTGCTGGTTATGGATGAAGCAGGGTTCGCCAGTAGCAGGCTTGAAACTTACATTGAGCTGTCAAAACTTTGTCTGTAGGAAAAAGTTAGGCAACTCACAATCCATTTATCACCGTCTTAGTGCTCAAAGCTGCCTCTCATTCAGGCTGAGTTTAAAAGTGCGAGGAGCAATTAGAAGGTTCAAAAGGCATACAAGCAGGAGCAGTTCAAGTTGACGTTTGATCTACTTCTTGATAACCAAATACCGGAACTTTTAGTGCATCCGCCCCGACGAGAAAGTACATCTTGCCATAGTGTTCGGAGGTTTACCTCATTTTACCTTCTACTTCAACGTCATCCCGCTTTTGCACATGTGTTAATGAAGTGCAAAAATGTTCACTCTTGCGTAAATAAGAGAGCTGGAGGTTCTCAAGTCTACTAGCACAATGCGGTTGATTGTATTGGAGATGCCTTGCGATCTATCACCCCAGAAGACTATTCCTCCTTAATCTGAGGTGACATTAAAGACTGGTAACTCTGATTCGTGCAAAAACTGATAGCCCTATCTTTGGGTTCACTCTTATGGTCAGGATGGCAGTGTTGATACGTTGAATAGGTTGGAACCACAGACCTGACAGGACCGACTTCTGAGCGACTCCACATGGAAAACCATAAAAGGCAAAATCACGTCAGAATGAAATTGTTTTGCATTTTTTAAATCGGTTCCCCTTATAATTTGTTAGTGTATGGGATTACAACAGTCGAGAATAAGTGCGTGAGAACATATAAGAATTAGGGTATTAAAAAAGACTTGTGCAATTCCAGTGTGATCTACCCTTATCTTCCATTCCTGTGACCTCAATCTGGAATTTAACCTCAAGTTCAAATTCGCTTCAGCATATTCAAAATCTTTAAAACCTCAATGAAATTTGAGGCTCCCCTGTCCAACGATTAAACTGTCCTCAATGCATCCTTTCGTTTCTTCACCTCCTACAGGGAACATGCTGGTGTCTTCCAAGTTCAATCTCATTCGACACCACCTATAGGCCATTTTTGTCGGGATTTTTTCCTACAAATGCTTTCCCATCCCCTTCAAACCACAACTCACCTGGCAGTCACCGGCGGAAATCCCCCTACCTGAGCCTTCAAATCTGATCACAGAATCTCTTGTAGTTCCGCTTGACGATATCAGATTGCGATAAATCACGTGTGTGAAGAAGTAAATTCACAGAAATTTTCCTTTTTTCACCAAAATGCAGGATACTTTCTCCAAGCTTTTAACTTTATAGGGATGTATTAATGACGGTTACAGTTGATGGGGTGCTGCATTCTGCCATGAAAACAGAATGCTCCAGGAGTACTGACAACATACTAATTACTGACGATTTGGACTAACATATCCCTGTGCTGTTACAACTTCTATTTATGGAAATACTTCAGTTATAATGCGACCTAATGGATTCGTGAGCTTTTTTTTTTCAAACAAATGCATGAAGCTACTTCTCAAAATCCATTCCTTGAAGCAACCAACACGACTACCTCTTATCCTTTCTCAACAAAAAAAGGTAGTCTCAAACCACACCTATGCAAAGTTTGTCTCCAGATGCCAAGAAAAGGCTGAGCTCCTTCTCACACCCACTTCCCAGCACTTCATTCCATTCCACATGTAAGCGCTTAATACTAATGCCACAAAAAACCTGATGCTTATTATTTGGATAAACATTAACATAGCACTTTGGAGACGAGGCAAAAGAAAGCAGTATCTCTTTTCCTCCCTCTCTCCATCCCTACGCCCCATTGTAAGGTGCCGTATGAGGCCTTCCCAAGGGTGCTTTTGCGATATAAGACCTGACTAGTTCCGGAGTTCCACCCAATTCTGATTATAAGGAATAGAAGGAAAAGATGGGAATGTTTTTCCCGGGCAAGCTCCAGTAATATTACATAGAGTAGAATTGCAATTTTCTTCTGAGGTTGGTTGGACTTTATCAAGTGAACAATTGCATCTCCAGCTTGACACCCGCATACACATCAAGTGTGGCCCTCAGGAGGGAAGGTGTTGAATGCCTCATAAGTGCAGAGTCAGCCTTGTGTTAAGAGGTTGTTTGGAGACAAGAAATGGTCTGCTTACCAGCTTAAGGTTCCAAAAAAGCAACCCTTTCTCACCGCAAGTCAGCCAGTTAGGTAACAGATAACAAAAGAATTTGATCGAAATCTGGCAGCTTATTCCCATCTTTCAGTAATGTATGGCATGTGACATCAGTTTGATCCGTTTTGGAATGGTATTGCAAACTGCATCCCCACGTTGTGAATCAAATAGATGCCATCATCCCTTCTTAATCAAGTAAATTGCTAAAAATATCACTTAACCACTATTTTGCAAGCTTAATTATCAACTTACCTAGATTGTTCAGTTACCGATCACTACTGACATTGTTCCCTTTTCTTCTTACACATTACTTAAAAGAAGGGCTTGTATAGCGCTGGATTGCCATTCTTCTTTAATGGCTGCCTCCCTTGTCACCTTGTCTAGCCCTGTCTCTTCCATGTGTGATTCTAACCCTGCATGCCACCACAAGTTCGAGTACGAGGCCGATATGTCGCCTTAGTATCAAATTTCCTGTAAAGCTCGGTGAAACCAAAGGTCATCCCAATCGGTATACCCTGGTATAATCGCTGATCTGTGTCCTACTGCCAAAATATTTGCATGTCCCTCCATTGCTTCCTCTGCCAGGGGCACAACTCGTGCGACCTCACTAGCTGCATTTGTCAACGTCCTGCCATCCATATTACGAGTAAAACAAACTGCCAATGAATGCTTTGTCACCATTGCCTGCACCGGAATGGAGGGAGTACTTTCCTCTTAGGAGTAAATGGTATCAACTACTGCATTCCGTGCATTAAATTCAATGACCCTATACGACATTAAGCGATAGGACGTTTTAGTCTATTTAGAAGATAAAGAGGATTTTCTTTCAAATGCAGTTATTGTTAAGTAGGAAAAAATTTTACTCTTATGTACCGAAAATATGACCATGGATTGCAACAAATTCACTTCTCTTAAGGTTAATAGCATCCAAAGTGCAACTGGAAGTAGTCGCGTGCCTAATGGACCTACGGCTTCTTAAAATGGATAGCTTTCGTCGTCCATCTGTCTTGATGATAGATGTAATATCAAGATCTCAGTCCTTTAATAAATGAGAATGAAAAGACATAAATAAATCTTGTCACCAGTCGAAATGTCTTCATCACGACATCACTACTTGTGCAACCTACTTGGCCTATCGTCATGGCACGAAACCCTTCATTTGCGACCCCAATGATCCCGACTCCAATATAGTCAGTCGTCAGGACAGCTGGCAAACCTCGGGCAAAAGAAAGGCTAGTATACTTCTGTGCTGCTTACAAGATATAAAACAGAGGAAAAATTATTTCTATACGTGCATTTTTAACGGCTGACGTAAATATGAAGAGGGTGGATCAACACTACAGAAGAGCAACCCATTTTGGGGTGGGCACAGCTCCTCGTAACAACAATTCAGTCATCAAGTTAGTGGATTGGTCAAAGAAAGAGGACGGCAATCCTTTCAACGAGCACCACATATCGCTTCCACAATAAAGCGAACACCCAAGACATATGCCTTCCTTTCATCATGCTTAGAGTGTTGCTTACAGATCTGAAAACTACCTAGACTCGCTTTATTTACACGCTTTGATTTTCAAGAGTACGAAAGTTCCCCGACAAGTCAGAACAAGCGTCCAAACCCAAAACCTTTACTTTTGGATTAAAGTGCTTTCGGTTAGATCGAATAAAGTGGAGGAAATAGAGTAAGTACTAGGTCAGGCAGTTTACAGTAAGTGCGCCGTAGTTTACTCCATGGCATATGTGATGGCAGCGACCGGTAAAATTCTAAGTGAATCCGCTCCTACTGTTTTATTAGCGAAAATGGGCCTCTTTGCGATAGTCTATTTAATTCAGTGGTTTAGATGTGTGCAACAAGTCTTCCATTTGCCAGCGTTCTACTGTCCCCTTATTTAGGCAGTGGAGCGAAGGCATGGCTCTTCCGAAAGGATGTCAAAAGGGAGGTGAGGATGCTCGACTTCTCCTGAAATATAGAAGTTGTGGAGTTTGCCCGTGCCCTTGACTGAAAGAGCTGAGCACTTTAAAACACTTTGACTGTCGAAAATGTAAGTTGTGAAATAATCTGAACCCTGGCCTAAACCTTGTAGGTACTTTACTAGGGCTTGCTGAACTCTAAAACCTGCAGTGACTGCTACTACTGGGTGGAATACACAAGTAGGTGTGCAACGCAGACGTCTACTGGCCTTCCCCTTCCTCCAGGTTTGCCTGTTGATCCGGCTAGTGACCGTATTGGAGTTGAGATCATTTGAGTAGCAAATGAAGGATTTCACGCCATAACGAGAAGTGAATTGGGCTGCATGAATAGTGACGCCGCGAAATCTTGACCTGACCTTTAAAGATTACCTAACAATTAGAACATAGTACTAAGTCTTCTTTCTAATCTCCACCGTCGTTTTGACGTCAAGCGCGAATGACTCTGCAAGCGCAGTGTTGCACTGAAATCTTTGAGTGGTGTAATTCAGAAGACCAAATCATCAGCAGCTGAAAAATCCAACTAAGTTCTAATATTGGAAGCAGTTTCAAAATGCCGTTGAACAGGCAGATGGTAAAGACCAAACCGTAATAAATAAGGGTACTTTTATTACCTAGTTAAATAAGAAAATGCCACATTGTCACTAAGATTAGAAAATTTTGCAATAATCTTGTTGTAGTCATTAGACCCACAAAACATGGTTTCGTATTTGCAATAGTTGTGCGTTCAACATTTTCGTTAGCCGAGTCTCAGAGGAAGATCCGTCACCATCACCACAAAATTTGATGAGGAGCAAGTGGCATATTTACGAAGCATTGTTCAGGCAAGAAACTCAAGCCACTATACAAATGACAATATTAACGCACACTTTAATCTACGAATGCCTTTGAGACATTTTACAACTCACGTACTGTAGTGCAGTTGCCGTAAAGCAGTGGCAATGACATTAATCAAGAGAAGGATGCCTTTAGCGCTTCTCCCAACGTGAGCAATGCGTCCCTACTTTTATGGCTTTGACGCTTCTGTTTGAGATCCACATAAACAGCGAACACGACTGTTTTCAAGTGTTTTTCCCACTGCTCTCATGCACCGATTTGCGTGGGTTAAAAGGAGAATACTCAAGTTACGACAATAAGTCATCTCTCGGGGTGAATCACACTTCATAATCCGAGAGCAAGGGTATTGCCACAGCATTCTTCTAGTTCACAATCCCTTACGGAAATGGTATTGATCAAATAAGGTTGGGAAGGAGTTCTTCGATAACGAGGCTCCTGAGAATTTGCGTAAAAGTCGCATGTGGTACAACTCCAGCCATTAGCTACAGGACACCGGCCCTTATGCCTCACTGACGTCTGCACAAGTTAGCTTTAGCCGCAGTGACTAAAGCACCCTTTTCCACCAAAAGTTTAGAGGAAATTCAGATTGCTTTAGAAGAATGTCAACAGAGCTACAGATTGACTATCTAAATCTGAGAGAAATCATATGACCGTTTTAAATTTTTTCTTGTTCCCAGCACAAATAGCACTGGAAACCAACACGTCGGTAAAAATTCCGGTGGCACTCAATAACCCAAACTTGACCTTTAGCAGCTTAAATCGTGGAAAATAGCGTTTTCACTCACCCATTCTTCTTTACAGCTTTGTTTTCGATACAATAGGATTCGCATACTCCACACCCATGGGTGCAAAGGTGCCGATTGCATGCCACACTACAGGTATTGGCTTATCAGTGAGAATAACAACTCCGTAAGAAAGAAATTCATGCAATCTTAATGCAGGCGTCTGTTACTTCATAAGTTCTAATACTATAAAGACAAGAACATGAAAATATTTATTTAGACTAAGTTATAATAGAAAACTGAACATCTAGTAAATTAGACAATCTGTTGTTCCCCATCCTTCGACTCATAATCTCGTTCGGCCTTGGGGCCATTGTTTTTGCTGTAGGAGTGAAGGAATATCCCAATCACCACCAAGGAGCCAGACCAGACATATCTGGGAGCAGAAAACAACACGAGGTGGAAGGTGGATCATGTGTCTGTGCTATTGGCGGAATGCAAGCTGAAGGGAAGTGGAATTACTAGGAGCACTTCCTTTCAAACCGCTATACCATACCAATGTTAAGAAAAAAACCTCAATTTTATGCCTAACTAATGCATGCACAAAATTAATAATAGCTTCACCATTACCCACTGAACGTGAAAATATACATCTGAAATTTCTATTCTTCTTTTTAGAAGGGGATAGGGGATGTGGTTTTCCTAATCACGGGTAAGCCAGGGCATGTGCTTATATCGCCACTTGTTTTCTAACAAGTCGTGATATCTTTCCACTGTGGGAACTGAGTACCTTCCCAAAGAAACAATCTACCAGAAATTTTTGGGAGAAAAAGAGGACTCACTCGATAGAAAAGGGCTTCCGAAAGACGAGAAATGAAAGAACGATGGTCACAGCCTTACGAACCGTGGTCACTGAATGCGCAAAAGAAATAGCAGGTAGATTGTCTTCAATCACCGAATGTGCTTTTTTGCACAAACTATGTGCGTAAGTAGGCTGCGAAAGCAAGCCTGTTTACAAATGGAGCAATATGCAATATAAAGGGTTTTAAAGCCAAATCAGAACTTGTACTTTTAAAGGTAAAATTCGGATCTTGTGCACAATAGCATGTTTCGAATAGCATCTTTACAGTTCAGAATATAGGTGTATGAGGAGGTGGGAGTGGCACCAGACTACATCGCATACCGGTAACAGCTAGAAGGGCACCAAAGTGGTGCACCAGGAGGAGAACAAACTGCAGGCCGAAATAGCCAGAGAGTACGAAGAGTGTACTCCAAAAGAAAACATCACTGAAGTGCTACAGAAAGGAGAAGTAAAAACAAAGCTCTTGTATAGCATAGACTATGAGGATATCAAAATAAAAATAGTCTAAAACAGGGATAATTTGGCAGCGTTAGTGTAAATAGCGCACCTCAAAAAAGAACACAGCCGAGGAGATGAGGTTGTTTGTGAGGAGGAGAAGTACCAATATCAGTACAAATCCAAATGCATAGGAGTAGGTCAACTGAAATAGGAGGGAGCATTGGGCAGGTTAACCCTACGGCTAAAATGACCAGTCTCTTTTTAAGGTAGATAAAGCACTAAGAGTTGGATAGGCAAGCAATTGTAGAAGAGCTGAGTCGTACTTTGATGTGGAGAGATTAGCCTAGTCTACTAGCAAACATTATCAGGGGATCGTCAGTCGTTGAGGAAAAGGTAGGCGAAAGGTGCACACACTCAAACGTAAAAGCAGTTTACAAACAAAAAATTGTCATAATTTGACCCGGTTCAATTGCAACCGACACACATGTGACGCCATCTGTCCCAGAAAAAAGTGACCTCAGTGATGCACACCAAAGGTTAAGCTGGTTTACCCTAAACAGTGTAACAAAACACGATTAAGTCGAGGTGGTGGCTAAAATTATACATTAGTGACATATCAAAGTCATAGTCGTTGCAGGTTTCTCGCTCTAAAAAAATACTTAGGTCTCAAAGCACGTACAATTTGAAGGGCGGGGATGTGATAAGACTTCATCGCCAGCTCTTGAAGATTACCAATGTAGCCGTCGCAGATGAGAGCCAAGCTGATGGCGAAAATACCTATAGACCAAAATTAATACATACAATATTATACACTGTATTATATTCTGCTATAAAGTAACGGAGGTTGTATCCTATCGGAACATGAAAGGTGAGGCAGTTGAGGCTCACATGGGAATTTGGTAATGAATGCTACTAGAGTCCTAGGAGAAAAATGACCACTACAGCGTAGATGTTCTATTACGCCAATTTTAAACTAATTATTTTTGTCTTGTTTTTCCCTTCTGATCTAGTTCAGTTCTCTCCAGTCAAGTGTGTCACATAACTGTGATGAGCGGTCTCAGATAAGAAAATAGGGGCGTCATACATATGTAATGATGTTAGCAGACGTGTCAGTAAAACCAAAAGTGCGTGAAAGTAGTTGGTGGCTCAGAGTTTAAATGAGAAAAGGATGCATACCTCGAATATCGAAGGTCAGTTGGACGCTGACGTCAGTTAGAGTGAAAAATATAAGGCCGACGATCATGCAGGCAACGGCAACGTAATCGATGAATTTATATTGTTTCCCTAAAAGTATGTGGAATTCTTTAAAAAATAGTTTATGACTAAGTTACTCGCGATGTCCATCGAGTCACCCATGTCTTTGAAAGTGGCCTTCACAACAAAAAGTACTCGTCCAAGCTCATTATGATACAAGGTCAACGAGTTGGGAGGGCATCAGTGCCTACAACAGCTACGTATACCATAAAACAGGGTTACAAAACACCCTTTGGAAAGTAGGTAGGAAAAGTAATATTCAAACTACGACTTTTTCCTATTCATCAGAGTTTAAATAGCATCGGCCAGACACAGTAAAAGGCTAATCCCACAAGTAGGCAACAGAAATAACAACTCGATTCGCAAGGCCCATAGTTGAGCTAACAAAAGCAGTGATGACCTTCTAGTAATAAAAATCGCATTGGATAGCTCGGACCTCAGAATAGGGTAGAATTTTCGTAAGCGACTGAGGATACCTAAACGGAGATACTTATAGCTTGAAACCAGTTCATTTAATGTTGCATAAAAGGAAAGGTGGTAGTTGAAGAATAATGACAAACCTTGAATGACAACGCTGAAAACCATTACGGGAATGAGCTTGCAGCACTTGAAAATGACCTGAGTCGGATAGTTGAGATAGACAACGGCGGCATTAGAAAGGAGGATAGTGCCCGTTGTAGTGATTCCAACGGAACAGTAGAGCCAAGGTGGAAAGCTGTGGATGGAAGGAAAAAAAAGACACCCTTACTTAGAGTGGTAGACAACACCGATTATTCTGCTCTCAATAAATGATATGATTCCGTAAAGGCAGAACTGGTAGGCGGTCAGCGCCATGAAGTGTTCACTGAGACCAGGCGTTTTGAATAGATACTCCTAAAAGCCCCGAAAAATAAACAGGAGGCACAATCCAGCTGTAGGAAGTGTTTTAACTATAAATATAAGAAAAGTTTAGGAAGTCGAATAAAAATAAATGCTTGACGCTCAAAATGGCAAAACATTATGCTACGAATTAAGGCATGAAAATGCGATTTCTACTCTTTAGGAACGCATGATAGCAGCGACGATTTCCTTTTAATTTTCAAGGCAACTATGTGAAAATCATTAATTTCCAACCTGGACGCCTCCATAGACGATGTAGAGAATGAAGATACCGAGGGAACCGATCATAAAAATACAGCCCTTAGGAAGACAAGAAACATCTTGTCCGAAAATCAAAACAGGGCTCTTTGGCATCTGCTCTTCGTCTTAAAAAGAAAGCAGAGCAAGTAAACTTAACGAATGAAACACATTCACTCGAACCAAAGCATAGGCATTTTGGCATAAAAAAGGGCGAAAATTAAAAGAGCAAGCCCAGAGTTCAATCGATGTACATTAGGATGTGTATCTTCGAGAGTAAATGAAGGTGTTAACTAATCTAACAGCGATTTATAAGGTAGATTAAGCGGTATATAAGGAAACGCTGTTGTACCAAGGGCAGGCATGCGCTTTCTGGTGTACTAGTGTTCGGCATCTAACAATAAAGTACCTAACGCGGTAATTAAAAAGTTTTATCTGGCCCCTAAAACATCCAAAATCTTTACTAATGCAAACACATGAAACAATTCATGCACTACGTAGTTTCTCCTTCAGGAAACTAACATTGTCCACGAACATTGGACTAGTGCAAATGTCTCTCAAAATGCTGTGTTAAGGCAAAGAATTGGAAACACCCACTTGGAATTTACTTCGAGTTACTTAAAAGCCAAAAGACCATATGGAATAAAAATCCGAGTAGTTAAGAAATGTAGTGATGATGCAAGAAATATAAGTTGATTAGACTACTAAGTATATTAATCTAAGGAATGAACAAGTGTGTAAGCGCACATGCAGATTGGGCTGCTATGGGGCACTTTTCGTAATAGAAGGCCTCCAATTCTGGAAAATGCTGATTAATATGAGCAATGGTGATTGCAGTAAGCGTGCAGGAAAGAAGCCGATTTGCGCGAAAGCATGCACCAAAAGGATCAAAGGCGAAAAAATGTGCGCCAGGCCACCACGAACTTACGTATATCTATGAAGGAACGGCGCAACCGAAGCATCTCAAAAGAGGAACGCGAACCTTACACACCAGTCATACTTTAAAGCAGCCAATAAGTAACAAAAGGTCGAATCATTTGAGTAAAGAAAACAAAATGAGCATCATTTCCTTTTCTAGTCTTGCAAAAGGCATTAGTTAAAAATAAAAGGACTGCTATTAAAAAAACAATCATTTACTTGCGTGCTGTCTTTTACGGGGAAGGTATCCAGTGAAATTAAAGGGTTCTAAATGTCAAATCTGCTCTATTAAACATTTTGCAGTAGCCTGATACTCAATGAATAATATTTTTAACGGATTAGTTTGTAGTACAGCGTTTTAGCCTTATCTAAACCCTTTTAGTGCTTCTGTAGTAAAACAGTAGGAGGATTTTCTCCATTAACATGCATCAAGGCGCCTTCAAGGAAGACTCGTAATATTAGAATTTAATAATGTAAGGGGATCTAGGCGCATTTTAAATTTTAGGGCAAACTAATATGCTAACACAAAACCGGTAGGCTAGTTCATTTTTTTCGTTAAAATTCATTTGGTTAAATGAGTACCTTGATGTTTTCTACAAATTAATTAAGTGTTCAAGCTTATGGCCATCCTCATCACCATAGAAACTAAAGCCTTAGCGCCACTATTTTTTCTGAGGCCATAGTAAGCCATGCCAACGCTGATGAATATTCATAATTAACAAATGGAATGTCTGGGATGCTGTTGGCGTAATGCTTTCATATTTTGTCTAACTTTATGCTTGATTTTACAAAGGTTCCAATCTTTACTTAGCGTACTTATACCCGGCTGCGTTTCTTTGGGTCATGTCACTATCCTTGACTCCTCTGTACGTCAGTAGCATATGTTCTGCCATGCCACAATGGCCTAGTACAACCTCAGGTAAAGCTCGGCTTACTACACATTGGACAACTAAATACTCATGCCTCCCAATGTTGGCACAACATATGGAGACTAAAGCATTGATCCAGATTAGCATGCTGCTATACAATATATGGAATCAATGTCCGTTCCTTGCCTCTTCGAGAACCTCATTCAAAGACTGTAGCAGGTGCCATTTCTGAGTCAGCCAAAATATGGTAAAGGATGAATTTACTGAATTTCCTCATGGGCACAGAAAATTTGATCGAAGTAGTGGTGATGCATCATTGGAGTTGCATTGTACTTAAATTTTAATCCATTTCAAACTGTACTTCAAAACCGGGGTCTTTTACCGTTCATAGCTAGACTTTGTCTTAAAAGAGTGCACTTTGCGCACTTAACCGTTCTTGCGTAAACCTTTCCGCAAAAGCATTAACATTTGGATAAAAGCAGAATTTAAAGAAGTTTCAAGGAGGTACTATTAGGCGCCTATACATTTTCGCTACTTCATTCTCACTTTAGTGCCTATAACTCATTTTTTTAGCCTTCTCTTAGCCAGGAAAGGTGCAAAGGCAGTGTCGTTTGTTTATTGGAGTCAGGCATCTCTTCAGTTATTTATAGCATTCCTACGGAGTACGATAGGATAATTGCCGAGGGTGGACGTCAGCCTAACTCCCTCATTAAAGTTTTTGCACGATTAAGCATAAGCATCAAATGACCGTATTTCGTGACATAAAGGTCCGGTAAATGACAATAGAATTGGTATAGTTGTCCCATTGACCGAGTTCATTTGTCACTACCAACAATATGGAGTTCGGAGTCTTTCCTAAGCTAGCAATAATGTAATACGATGGTGGTTTATCCCTCGGTATTGATGAGGCGCCTTCTTGTACCCCCGCCGGGTGTGCTGGCCTTCGGGGCATGCCAGTGGTTCAGACACCTTCTCTGTGCTGAATATATATATTCTACCCGTGTATTGTGACTTCTTTTGTCTTCAGGACAGTCTCGGGACGCTACAATAAGTCGCATCAGCAAGAGGAAAGGTGCATTGCTAGCATGCAGAAGACCCAAATCTATACGCTTATTCGGATAGTCTGCTGAGGTTGACGGAAATTTACAGTTAATCGAAGTAATAAATTACTCAAGAAGATAAAAAATTTAGAAAACGCATGCTTTTTCAAGCCAAACGGGATTTTGGTTAAAAAAATTTGTGTTTGCCGGGGGGTAATGACAAAATTTTATTTAAGTTCTGCAAACAGAATCGCTGAGTGCGAAACTAAGTAAGCCAAAGTTTTTTGCCATCAAATGGATAAAGTTCATTAAGCTGTGCACATAAGGTATGCATACGGTATTATAAATGTCTTTAAAATCCGAAACAGTCTTAGATTTGGCAGAAAGTTTTTAGAACTTTAAGC